TTAGGCCCAGAGCAGGGCGTGCCCTTCCCCTTGCACGCCGCTAGTGGAGGAGGGAAGACTGAGCGGAAATAATCTGCAGACAGGGCTAGGACTGGGCTTTGCAGCAGCTTTAGATTTTCCACTGTCTCCAATGTTTTGAGATCAGAATTAGGACTTACCTTCTGATAAGGCTTGGAATCTGAGCACCAATGAGACTCCAGAGATCTCTTTATGCTTTGCAACCCAGCCGCAAGCTTCTGGAACTCCAGGCCTGCGTGCTTTATAATTAAGTAGTAGCCTAGCTGCCAGCTTTTGGGATACTGGAGGGTTCTCTTTCTCCTCACACACCGATCCTGGCTTCCTGTGTTTGGGAGGTCTCTTCCACCCCGCTGCCCGGGCCCCGGTTTTCAGAAGGACAGGACCTTGTACTCGGTGAAGGCCTGGAGTCCATTAGAGAGACCCTTTCCTGCTCCCTGCCCTGTCCCCAGCTGCTGGTGGGTCACAGCACACCAGGCAAAGGCTCCGGCCTCCTGCCCTGCCCCCCGCCTCCAGCTGCCTGCCCCGGTGCCTGAGGTGGCAGATGCGTGCTGGGTGACTGGGGCTCAGTCCCTCATGCCAGCGCACACGTGGCACCACAAGTTGATTAGAAATTGGGCTGATTTCTCCACACCTCCCTCAACGACACATTCCTCCTCTCGCCCCCAGGCCAAAAACAGATAGAATAACAGGATAAATTCTGTCACCGCGTTGTATGAGATCATCGAATGATGCCGCTTACCTGACTGGCACTGCCTGAGGGACCCTGAGTGAGCAGGGAGGTGGCAGTCAGCTGCCTCGCTGTCCTGTCGTCGCTCTTCTGTGCTGTGGGTTCCAGGTCGCCGCTCACAGCTGTACACAAGGGCATTGTGCTAGCAGGGTCAGTGGGGACAGAACCCCTGTGGACGAAGGTGCGCTTTTTCTTCACCCAGCAGCACCACCAGCCGCAAAGCCGGTGCCTGCCTCCTTTTTCGAAGTTGCAAAGGCAGTGCCTGGGGCAGCTCTGTGCTTTCCACCTGCCAACTGGGACATCTCAGGATTCGTTTCTTCTACTAACATAACATAGACCCTATTTCTTGTGAAGATCATAATGAGCCTCCCGGCTTTATTTTGGGCAAGGTGTATTGATCCCTCTCTGGACCGCGTGACATTATAAAGCCTCTTCACAGCATCCCCAGACCCAGGTTTCTCCCTGGAACTGGGGTGGGAACAGGGGAGAGTTTCAGGTCACACGCTTGAAAGGCACTGTGTTGATTAAGGGCCACACGAGTGCTGGGAAGACGCTCATCTGACCCCTTAATCTGCCCTTCCTGTGGCTCCACAAATCGGCTGCAAATCTCTCCCTCCATCCCAGAGTGGCTCCTTCATGGAAGCTCTCGTCCAGCTTCAACCTTAACGTGCGGAAGAACCACGTGGGAAACTCACTGGAACGCGGTTCTGCCTCAGTACGTTTGGAGCGGGCTTTCAGGGGAGGCCCAGGCTGCCCGTCTGCCCACCGCCCCGGGTTTACCAGGGCTCCAGGGCCTTTCACGCACCGCCGGGAGAGGTAGAAAAGGAATTCGGGGCTCCCTCAACTCTAATTACTGGAGGAAAAGGGAACTTCCTCCCGTGGGGGCCGATGCTTGTCAGAATGGACTGTGGACTCATGTCGGGGCATCCAAGAAAACTAACGTGGCAGCCGCCAAAGCTTGGTTTTCCAGGCAAGAGGCCTCCACTGCGGTGAATCCGAGGTGCCTGGCTTTACAAGGAGAGCATGGGGCGGAGGAAGGGGACAGAGAGCATCCTGTTCATCAGGCAGGGGGCACGGGGCGGGGAGTGCTGAGGATTCCTAAGAAGGGGTGCTCACCTGGAGACTGAGAGCGAAAAGCCTGGTGCTCCCTGTCCCTGAAGTGTAACTACTTCAAAATAATCTCAATTGGCTTCTTGTGCATTTGGAAGTCTTTCTACAGGGCTCTGCTACCTGGCAATGTGCAGCTCTAAAGATCTGCTGTTAGAACTAATTTTAAAAGCTTATTCAAAGAGTTGATGTGTTAAGCCGATTTTGTTCTTCAGGGTGGGGGCAAAAGTAGGTTTCCATTTATGAGTATGGGAAACTGTTTATTCTTGTGTTATTATTGTACTACATTTTCTATATGAATTGTAAACCTACTTTTACACCCCACCCTGTATGAGTGAGTGTTCTCTGAGAAGTCGTATACTGTAACTGTATTATTTTGGGATGGTGGAATAAAGAATCACCAAACAGAACACACTTATGATTGTGGGCTATGCACCCTACCAATGCATGCTACACGTTTTATCTTGCTTCTTTAAAACCACCCCATGATTATTATTACCTACATTTTAGACAGTGAAACCAAGAATTAGAGAAGTTCAGAACCTTGCCACAAATCACCAACTGTTCAATGGTAAAACAGAGTCAAACACAGAATTCTTGATACCAAAATTCATGCTATTAACCATTATGCTATACTTTTATTGAAACAAATGTAGGCGTATTATGTATTAGAATATTCAAATTTAGAAACTTTTAATGGACATCTTCGAGGATCTACAAAAGCAGACAGAACATTAGTAACTGCAGGCTTTACACAGAGTTTCTTGGGTTTTAGCTAGTGTCCCTTTCCTGTTTCCAGAGTCCGTTCGGGGTATGGCTGCACCCTCGGTCATCACCTCTCCTTAATGTCTTCTGATCTGTTTTGCGGTCTCGCCTTGTTTTACATGACCTTCAGGGTTTTCAGGGGCACTAGCTAGGTATTCTGTAGAATTCCCTGAAATTTGTGTTGGTCTGATGCTTTTCTCATGGTAAGACTGGGGTTATTGTTTTTTAGGAAGAAAACCACAGGAGTGATGTACCCCTTTTTTTTTTTAAGTAGGTTTTTATTTTTTTAAATTATTATTTTTTTTTAGAGGGGAAGGGAGGAAGAGAGGGAGAGCAACATCGATATGAGAGAGAAGCATCTATCTATTGCCTCTTATACACACCCTGACCAAGGACCAAACCAGCAACCCAGGCATTAAACTAGTGACCTTCGTTTTGTGGGGTGATGCCCAACCAACGGAGCCACACCAGCCACGGCGAAGTTCGCCACTCATCACATCGTACTGGGTGTGCATGTTCTCAGCATGACTTATCTCTGGTGTCAATCTTGATCACCTGCCTAAGGTAGTATCTCCCAGCTTTCTCCACTGTAGTTACTTTTTCACCTGGTTCAAATATACTCTTTGGAAGCAAGTCACTAAGTGCAGCCCATACTCACCGTAGGGAACTAAACTCCACTTGGACCAAGCAGTATCTACTTATTTGGAAAATCCCTCGGTGATTTTAAAGGTTGAGAATCACTAATACAGGTCAATTATTCTTCTAGTCCTCTTTGCCAGCAGGTAGTCTAGGGGTAGATAAGTGGGAAGGTTCTGGGAACGATTTTGCTCTAAGAAGAGTTACACCAGGGTGAAGTTTTTCCTTGTTTTCTCTGTTGGCAAGTGGAGCCTTACAGTCCTTGTCTGGATGTTGCCGTGAATACGACACTCTGGAGTGGCAGCCTTAGTCTTGTGACCATGGGGCAGGAAGCCAGGAATGAAAAGCCAGCGTTATTAGGATGACAAGCAGGATGAACCACCTGGGACTGTCTCTAGACTGGTTATATTGGACAATTAAACTTCTTTATAGTTTAAGTAATTCTTTGCTGGTGTTCTGTTACTTGGAGTTAAAAGCATTCTTGACAGAGGTCCTTCATCCACCTTTTAAAAAACTGTTTCTATCCGTTACATTGAGGATGTGGTAGGTACTTAATTTTTGAATGAATACATGAAGGACTGAAGTGAAGAAGCTATTATAACAGAATATCAATGTAACTAATGCCAGTGCAATTAGCAATTATATTTGTAAATCTGCAATTAGATTCTGTACTTCCATATCTTTTCTCAAATACAGTAAGGTAGACATTCTGTCACTGGAGAAAAACTAGAATGACAACTTGATTTGTGGTAAAGTTTTATGATGTATGTTTATGAAATTCAAATTGAGGTTTAATAAATGTATAGTGCTTATATTTTTAGGGCTGATTTATATATTAACCAAAATATCTCTAGTGTGGTTGAACAATGGGATACCTACTGTAAAGCAGGAAGAATGAAAAAACTAGTTGGCCCTTGAACAACAGGAGTGAGGGCAGCGGTTAGGGCTGCCGGCCTCCGTGCAGTTGGAAATCCACGGTTTTTTTTTTGACTTCCCCAAAACTTCACTAGTAACCCACTGTTGGCCGAAGCCTTACCAATAACAAACAGTTAACACACATTTTGTAAGATACATGGATTATGTACTGTATTCTTACAATTAAGTTAGAAAAAAGGAAATGTGAAGAAAATCGTTAAGGAAAATACATTTACAGTATTGACTGAAAAATCCACGTATAAGTGACTTGCACAGTTCAAACCCATGTTGTTCAAGGTCAACCGCACAACGTCATGCAACAGCACAGATGACTCACAAACACTAATGCTGGGTGACAGGTGCCAGACGGGATATGTGCTGTAGAACCCCACTGACATAAAGTTAATAAATAAGCAAAACTATGCTGTTTGAAGTCAGCACAGTGTTTAACCTTGGGAAGCCTTCTATGAAGGCTTCTGGGATGGTCTTTTTCTTGATCTGGGTGCTTCAGTGTGTGAAAAATCTGAGATTTGTACATTTATGGCTTGGGCATTTTCTGTATGTATGTTACCTTTGATTAAAAACGTCTCTGAAGTTTCTAGTTCAAACAAAACCAACCATACCCACACTACAAAAACTCACAATTACTTACAGGGACAAGCAAAATAAGCATCCAGGCTAGGCTGATAATTGAACATTGTATTCCATTATATTTTTAATGTATTAAATTGGCACTGAAAAGGTAGAAAAACCATTTACACTTGTATTTCAATAAAGGACAATAAAAGTCAAATTATAGCCAACTGCTAAAAAACTTTTTTATTTTTAATTCTAGGTACATGTATTGGAAAAAAACAGAAGGAGGAACTAGGTTCGGGGGCTTTTTTCCTGAACAAAGGATACCTCAGTGTTTCCCGCAGCACGCCTCTCAGCAGTTCTCTAAGTCTTACTTGTCACAGAAGATACTTGGTGGTGACAGTCTCTCTCACATTTGTTACGTTTAATTCCTAAGTGGTGTACATCTAATATTTTCACTTCTGGGTAAGAGAAAAGGCATTTTGGTCCATCAGTTCACCTACTCGCTCCTGGAGGACGTTAACCAACTCCGCTATCACGAAGACGTGGGTGTCATCGATGTCTTGAATGATGAACTTCTTCCCCAGGGCATTTGACTCGTCCAAGTACAGCAGAAACTGCTTCATGGCAGGGTCACTGTAGAGGACACACAGCGAGGAGAAACCTGAACTTCGAATTATACAGGAACCCGAGCGATGAGAATTTTGAGCGTGAAGAATTTTTAGGTTAATTTAAAAAGTCCTAAACTCTCACTCCCACTCTGCCTTAAGTGTTAATGATTTGTAGATGTAGATTTTTAGAACTGTTAGTGCAAGTTTAAGAGAAAGGGGCCAGTGATAAAATTTTAAAAGAATAATTTGTCGTTGATAAAAGTCCCGCTCAAAGCTTTGTAGTTAATGGGGCCTAAGATCACAGCCTCCTTAACTGGTTTTAAACATAAATTTCCTTGTCCACCACCATTACCTTTAAAAGGTCTATAGCTTTCCACTACCTTGCCAGTGACAAATTAATTTACAAAACCAGTTAAATGGTCTCTCTGATAAAGTAGGGTGGACAGCTAGTCACCTGGCTTTATAACTTACTTGAGTGATCCTAAAATGTACTGAATCTCCCAAAGCCTCAAAGTGACCTTATGTACAGAGTTGTTATGGAAATTAAAGGAGAAAAACACCCAGGATAATATTTGGTCTGCAGTAGGTATTCAAGATTTTTTCCTCTTCCTTAAAATTCTGAACCATGTAAGTCTGAACAATCATTTAGAATATTTAAAGAAAATTCTAACAAAATCTCGTTAAGAACACTGAGCTCAAAGAAGAGATCCAAATTCTATTTATTTGTGGCTTTAGTTTAGAATGGAAAGTCATAAGGGAAAGGAGGATATAATTTCTTGGATTTACCGAAGTATGTCTCTTTCATAAAAGCCCTCAATCACAACAAAGGACACTCTTTAGATCTAATGTGCTTAGCAAAAAATTAACATAAAAATGTCAAGCTGCATACAAGTTTTTAATTCTTAAAAAAAAAATCTTACACAATCATTTGGTTTCTTGAATAACGTTAATACCAATTATAGAGAGTGTAATTCAATGACTACAAGTACGTTTTACTTCTTTCAGGTACAAACATAGGTGTCAGTGAAGCCAACACAGCAAAAGACTTACTCTAATCACTAAATGAGTATGGTTCACAGTATATTAACTATTAATAAAGTGAAGCCTTCCTAATGATTTTACTTTCAACTTACCATTAAAATGATTTTGCCAACCATTTACTAGGCTGTAAAATGATGTGAATAGATAGATCTACCCATGTCAGAATGACAGAGGTTTTAACTTTAGTTTCCAGTATTGTTTATTTTACACTAAGGTGCAGAATCCTGAGGTTACACTTACTCACTTAGGTTTGGTGAAATTCAGTTACATTCTATGGATGCAGTATTAGAATGGCCATATCAGTGTATGGAATTGATTTGTTCAGAGGTAGTACATTTCCTGTTTTAAGTTTTTTTTATTCACTCACTCACTCCTTATGAAGTGCCTATCATGTGCCAGCAGAAAAAAATGGCAACGCTGAAAGTGAAAGGATCTTGCAAGTTTAAATAAGGGAGGGAAGGCAGGCCTTACTGAGCAGGTGGATGTGAACCAACCTCCGGAGGTGTCAGCAAGCCGCGGACGTGGTGACGTGGGGGACAGCACCCGAGGCGCGGTGAAGAGCAAGGCCAGGGTTGCTGGAGACGGGCTGGGGGGGGGGTGCTGTGGGGGGGGGGTCAGAGTTAAAACTGGTCCAGATGATGTAGGGCCCTGGAAATGACTTTAGGGACTTTGGCTTTTACCAAGTGACATGACTTGACTTCCCAACTGCCTTGTTATTTTTTTAGCTCGTCTTTTTCTGAATGTGTTACAAAAAGAGGTTTAATCAAAAAGACCGAAGGCCGCGCCACCCTCACCCCTCAGGCCCTTCTGTCTGTGCTCCCGCGCTTCCCCTCAGCTGGGGCTGCAGCAGCGGGGGCGGGGCGGGGGGGGCAGGCCCGCCAGCCCCTCTGTTGCAGACGAGGCTTCTCATGTGGCCGTCGGCCAGAAAGGTTCGACATTCACACCAGCTGCTTTAAGGAGGGCGTTGATCCTAGCCTCCGTCACCGCCACCTCATCGTCATGCAGGGTAAGGGCCAAGTAGAGGCAGGCGAGCTCCGAGACGGAGGCCATGGTGCGGGCAAATGCTGGGCGAGCGCTGGCAGCGGTGCCAGTCGCTACTAGTCGGATAAAGTGAGGGCCTCGCCCTAACGCGGCCTCAGCTTCCACGGAAGGACTGAGCCCCTTAGCGGCAGCTGGGAAAAGGGGCAGGCGTGGTGGCGGAGGCAAGGCTGGAGATGGGGAGACCATTTAGAAGGTGAGAGCAGTGATCAGACAAGAAATGAAAAGGATCTGGACCCAGGTGGTGACAGTGAAGACGAGAAGTGGTTGGCTGAAGTCTAGACACAGGCTGCACAGAAAGCCAACAAAATGGGCCGAGACTAGACTCAAGGTTTGAAGGAGAAGAACTGAGACTCTGAAATTGTCGGTCTGAGCAAATGGAAGGTTGGGAGTTGTCTTTTACTGAAATGAGGAGAATGTGGGGAAAACAGGGTTGCTGCTAAGATCAGGAGTTTGGTTTTAAGCACGTTACACCTGAGATGCATACCGGCACCCAAGTGACGAGGCTGAGTAAGAAACTGCATGTGCACATCTGGATTTCAGCAGTGAGGTCCAGACTGAAGGGACAAAGTCAGTCAGTCATCACCGTATATGTGGCATTTAAGGCCATGACAGCGGACGAGCATAGCTAGAGAGCTGACTCCAAGGACCAAGCCGTGGACACCCCAACATCAAAAGGTTAATGAGGACAGATCAGCAAAGCAGATCGTAGAGAAGTGGCCACTGAGGTAGGAAGAAAGCACGAGGAGTCCTGGAAGCTAAGTGAACAAAGGCTCTTCGGGGAGAGGCGGCGATCGACTGTGCCCACTTCTGTCAACAGGAGCAGTGAGAAGAGGCTGGGAGTTGACTCTTGGGTCCAGAAAGTCGCCGGACTCGGCAAGGGCCGTTTTGGTGCCCACGGGGGAGGCCTGCCTGGAGTGGGCTTCTCAATGGGGACAGAAGTTAAAGAGCGTGAACAAAGACAGGCTTTCTGAGAAATTCTGCTACAAAGAGCAGGGATAGAGTGGGCACTGGGAAGGGGGAGAGTCATAGCATGTTTGTGATGCTGATGGGAATGATCTAAGGAGAAAGAAAAGCTAAGAAAGCAGAACAGAGGAAAACCGATGAAAAGGTGTCCTTAAACCTTAAGGACAAGTGGGGCTAGGACCCGGTTCCCAAGGAGAAAGGCTGGAGAGTAACTCGGGGGAGGAAGAGTATGCAACTATGGGCACAGGCAGATTCATGTAACAAAGGCTACTGGACACTCTCTTCTCATTTTATTTTCTCAGTGAATCAGGAGGCAAGGGATCAGCGGAGTGAGGACAGGAGAGTTGTTAGAGGCATCAGAATTTGAAGATACAAAATACTGATTTTCATCCATTCTAAGAACCACATTCCCCCATTTTTTTTTTTTTTTTTAACATCTCTAAGACTGGGACAAGCCTTGCATTCAAGGGCATGTTAGAATATAATTGGCCGTGATTTTTCTTAGAGGTACTTAAAATATTGGTAGGTAATACAATTGATGCAATCTTAGATCTGATAAACCGTAACAGCTTTACTAGGAGAGTGGGAGCCTCGGTGGACCAGGAAACGTCACAGGTCTGCTGGCTGGCATTCAGGGTCCCCGTGAGTTTAGCAGTCCTGAATCTGAAGCGAGACTTATTAGTAGGCTTGCATGTTTTTCTCCAGCCACTGAGAGCTGTGGAGGTAAAGGTCCCGAGAAGGTGGAGAGCTGGATTTTAGCGGATCTGGTGAGTGTGACAGAGAGAGGCAAGGGGCTGAGAGTATCTTTGAGAGAAGAACACGTTATTTGATAGGCTGTGGGACATGAGCTGGGTAAGGAGGAAAGTGAGACGTTGGGGTGAGAGGGGCAATGAAAAGGTGGGAGAAGCGCCAGACTGTAGGTCTGGAGAGATGACAGAATGGGGCATCAGAGGGCGTGAACGGGAGAGGCGGTGGCGGTCAGAGTTCGATACCTAAAACAGAGATTCAGGAGGTGGCAGAATTGGGAGGGACGAGTGTCGAGTGTCGGTCTGACTATGCAAATGAGTGGCCGTGGCAGGCTGGAGGGTACGCTCACTGGAAGAGGCGGCCAGGAACTGAGAGGACAGGATTCTGAAAGGACTGCCTACCTGGATATCAAACCCACTAAGAATGTGAGGGGACAGCTCCTGGGGAGTAGCAGGTAGTCTTCAAGGAGAAACCCTTGAGGAAAGATTTAGGTGTTTGTGGACATTACAACGAGGGTGGCCTAGTCTGATGGCACAAGATTCAGAGCTGGGGGTTCCTACGGAAGAGGGATGGAGAACTTCCAGGAGTGGCAGGGAGGCATAAGGCAGACACTGATTCCCTTGCTGGCCTGTTTCCCAGCCCAAGGGTACAAGAGGTATTAGAGAAAAGTCAACGCGTGGCAGGGCTGTGGGAGAAGCAGCACGCGCACGCGCACGGAGAGCCAGGCTCTGTCACAGCCTGCAGGCAAGGAAGGCTGGGGGAAGGGAGAGGAGACGTCCAGAGAAGAGGCCGAGGATATGGGGGATGCTACTGCCATCTCAGGTTCTGGAGGGCAAAGTGGAAAGGATGGAGAGGAGATGGAATTAAGAAAGCAGATGCATTCAGCCCTAAGTCAATTGTGCAAAAGGAGTGGAGGATGGTCCGGAAGTCTGCGGCCTTCCGGGTGACTGAACACAGGAAAGGAGAAAAGGCGTGAGAGGGTCTCCAGGCAGACAGTGCCACTGAGACTGAAAGGCAACACCGCCAGTGGTGGCTGGGGAATGAGGGTCTTCGATATAGTCGTCACAAATTTGAGCAGATAGTCGTTAAACTTAACATTTTCAGGAATTCCCTAATTTTGGCAGTTACACAGAATAAAAAAATAAAAAATTTAAAGCAGCAGCACACTGTACGTTGAACAATCTCACTGATGTACACAAGTCATCAACTGACAAAATCAGGCCATGACACAGCATTAGAAAGAGCTTCAAGAGCAGTTCCAGGAGCCTGGGGGTGATGAAGCAGGTCGAGCAGGGTTTGTCCAGACGTGTCAGAAACGGAACGCGGAGCCCGCAGCACAGGGAAACCAGAGCCTCAGCTTTCCTGCAACTACTGTTCTCCTGCTCAGACTCCTTTTAAAAAACACAGCTGTCTTACTAAACTTTCCCAGGCCTATACAGCTAAGGGGGGGGGGGGGGGTAGGGGTGGAGAATAAGAGGAGAGTAATTCAAGGGCAGAAAGGTGCCGGGGGCAGACCCAAACCCTCTGCTTTAGGGCTCTGCAACTAGGTGCGTCCCCCTCTCCCGGCCATCAAGGGACAGGGAGGGCTTGCCTTTCTTTCTCGCATAGTGACCCTGGTGCCCACTTCACCTTCCAGGCCCTTTTTGTCCTGGGCTGTCTTAGGTCCCACAAGAACCTTAATATTTTCTATAAAAATTACACTCAGAGGTTTCTCATAAGGATATGCTTTACATTCCAGGACAAACGACTAACTTTTTGTTAGCCCTTTAAAATAAATTTCAGGTCCCAATGTGACAGTAAAGAAGACAAATACAGACATTTCAAAAATTGATCTCCAAACATGGTATGTCATCTTGTTTTGGCTCAGCTCATTCAGATGACACCGATTCACTCTCGTAATTGGCTGCTATAAGCGGTATTAGAGGTAGCAAGGGTTAAGTGGTTATAAAAACTAATACGTCTCTAGAGCATTTTTAGATGCGATAAATTGACATCATTTCCATGAAGTAAAAGAGAGAGAGCTAAAACCAACCCATGTCTGGGGACTCACATTTGTGCGCTGAATCATCATATCAGTGTTTTCAAAAGTTCCGACATTGGCATATAAGGGGCAGAAGAAAAATCCCTCCCTCATCTGGTTCTCTTCGTTGGTTGAATAATGAAATCGACATGAGACAGGTTCATGGTAGAAACTCACATTGAATTTCATGTGCCTGGGAACCCCGCGTACATGAGACTCAGAGAGTGAACAGTAAAGCTAGGACCTCCTGCCGCGCGGGGCGAAGGAATGAGGTGGGGGGCCTGAGGCCTCAGAGGGGAGCAGATGGGCAGCAAAAGGTTATTTCTGGTGATAATTCTTATTCTGGGTAAGGCCCCTAACTTATAATCTTCTGGGAATTTAAGTGAGGGCAGAAGTTTCTCTTGAGCCCACGAGGTCTTGACTGTCTTTAGCTCAAAATACTCTGTATTTCACAGAGGCACATCTCGGGGTGACTCGTTTTTCAACCCCTACATACGCTATCCTTGCTTACTTCAGCCATCTCGTTACACTTGCATGACATATTATTTTCAAGTTTTCTTTAAATTGTTTTTAAACCAACTTTTAAGCTTATCTTCACCTGGTCCAAATCACCAGTTTTCTTAAAGTGTTTATTTTTTTCTCAAATAAATTAAACTGGTCATATAAAAACTGATTTTATGTTCTACTCCACTGCCCTCCCGTGTGTTCTACAGTCATTACAGTCGTCCCGAAGCCCGGCCGGCGGTGTCCCCACATCTGGGAGACATCGCTGACAGCGGAGATGACGTACAGGAGTGACTGGTTTAGTGAGACATGGAAGTAACTACTTGTAATATCAGCTGCCTCAATTAAATTTTTTGAAACAAAATGGAAAGCAGTCAATTTGAGACTGAATTCTCAAGGATGTACCTGAAATATAATTTGTAATAATTCAAAAAGATACTCAAAAGTTTAAGGGACATTTTGTTACGAAATGCTGAGTGCCTAGAGCATCTTGCCCGAGTACAGGGCTTTTCTACTTCTGCATGAAGGGTCTCTGGGAGAACCTGCTGGCAAAGAAAAAACCGAAACCAAATGCCAGTATGTACACTTGGTTAAAGTCTGATTGGCCCCGACTGGTGTAGCTCAGTGGGTTGGGCGTTGTTCCACAAATCAAAAGGTCTCCGATTTGATTCCCTGTCAGGGCACATGCCTGGGTGGCAGGCCAGGTCCCTGGTTGGGGGCATGTGAGAGGCAACCAACTGATGCTCTGCTCCCTTTCTCCCTCTTTACCCCCCTCTCTAAAAAATAGAGAAAATCTTAAAAAAGAAATAAAGTTCTTCAATCAGAGCTAGTGAGCAGGAAAAAATGTCTTTACCCCGGACATGTGAAGGCAGATATCAATCCACCTGCTGCTAAAACCCCTTGGTGCAGCCCCTATAACATATGATTCTAAAAAGTATTAGACCGCACCATGAGAGGTCTACTAGACGAGGTAGTCAGCTGTAAGGCAGACCATGAAGTTAACTGGTCTGTTGGGTAAAGTCATCAGCACTGTCTATCCCACTGGAATGATAACCTTGGCTTAGTCATTGACAAACTATCCTCCCTGATGATACTTAGCTAACAGATACAATTACATTAAAAATTTTAAATGATTTCTTCATCAATTCTGTGTGTCCTTGAGAACACAATGTTTGTGAAATGGCTTTGTTCACTTATACTTATTTCTCTTTTCCAAAATGTTTTCTGAATTTGGGTTTTGTGCAATAGGAGATATGCGGGCCTAAATTAGGGGCCAGCATATTGGAGGTGCTAAACAAATGTTTGCCTCCACAGTAAACAGCACCAGTATTCATACAGTGGCTAATATTAGAGGCACAGAGACATAGACGAGAGTATTTTCAGAAAATGGGAGTGTCCACAGAGCAAGATTCCTAGATGAGATAGAATTACTGGTGGGCAAGCAAACAAGCAGAGGCTGAGCCAGACCGGTCCAGCAGTTTAGGTTTTCAGCTGCGTGATAACTAAGCACTATCGTAGGAGCGCTTTGAGGAACTGACCCAGTTGGCTGGGCGTGGGGGCCTCTCCCCACTAAGGGTTCTAGTTTCCCCTCTGAAATGTATGACTAGTTTAAACAACCTTTCACTTCTCTTGGTTTTTCTTTTCCTTGTTTTTTTAAAAGACCACAAAAGACCAGTTTGTGATGGTAAAGACTTAGGCAGACCCTAACGTTCTGTGGTAGGCAGTCAGACAGACATGAGCAGAGCAAGGACAATGGGCCAGGCACAGGAGGTCACCAGGGTGGAAAGCACTGGGTGCCTGGCAACAGGCAAAAATGGGAAAACAAGGACATGCCCGCAGGGTAACCTTTCCTCACCTGGCGTACGACTGGGCCTGTGGTTTTAGACCCCCTGACCTCTCATTTCGCAGGCCCTGTGGCTCAGACCCTCCCCCGACCTTTCTTCCCCCGTTGCGGGTCATGGGGTAGACCCCTGGGTGGAGGAGCAAGTGGCTGAGAAGCAGCCTCATGAGACTCCCATTTCAAGACTCGCACAACCACTCCCTTAGGTATTAAACAGTAGCGATAACATCGGCGCCTCAGTTGTGTTTCAGCACCAGGCCCAGAAAAGCAGCAAAACCAGACAAGCGATGCCATGGCTGACCTCAGGACCAGCTGCACTAATGACCTGGTGCCGACCAACCAGTGGAGACCAGGACCCTAAAAGACACACCAGGAAAGCTGACGAATATTCTACTGAGACCCTCCTCTGGGACTTCCTTTAAAATCCTGGCCCTTAAAAGCTCTTAAGGAGGAGGACCCAGCTTGCTTTTCCTCACACCCCCCCCCCGGCCCGGCCCAAGAGAGTTATCTTTACCTTTCTCTCTCCTAAGCTCCAAGGGCCCTTGTGATGCCTCTTTAACTTGTTTCCTGAACCCATTTCTTCTGCCGCTCACTTCCCCTACCTCTGTGCCTTTCTAAATAAACTTTCCCTTATAATTTGAGTCTTGGCTCTGAATTCTTTCCTAGTCAGAACAAGTACCATGAGGTTGCTGATCCAAGGTTTGGTCTGACTCCACCGGCCTAAGACAGTGCGCTGTTCTTACCTCCACCAACAATTTTAGTTCATTCCTGGAGGTTCCAGAACAGCAGTGCCGTTCCTCTAAAGAGGGCTAATCTAACAAATATGCTGCCTCTGACCCAAACTTGGTGGAAATACTGCCAATTACATCAACTCAACAGAGACATTGAAATCTAGCACAAGGAAGAAACTTAACAAAATCTGTCCCACCTGTTATGTAAGAGAAATGAAGCGTGGAAGCTGAAAATCTTGATTCATTCCCATCTTAAAAAAGAATTTTTAAAACACTCATTCAGTATCAAAACTACTAACCATTCTATAAGCACTCCTTTCAAGACGTTGACCATCTTTTCCTCAGTCAGACGATGCAGATGACCTTAAAAATGCTAATAAAAAGAATAAGGTGACATAAAATTCAAAAGCATCAACTTTGATAACTTTGGAGACTTACCTCTGAAATGAGACAAAATATGAAATAATAGCAAACATTCAAGTCTGTGAAAAACATAGGGCTAACATTAAGAAAACAGATATTTTGAACTTTAAAAAATTATGAGTCTATTGGAAAATTAATATATAAACCTTCCCTGCAAACAAATTTTACCCAGTCAACCCTACTGAAGAAAGCAAGTGGCTTAACCACACTGATGTGTCCAGCCCAATTTTTAAAACATTAGTTGAAAAACTTCTCTTCCCACCCAGGAATATGATAAAAAAATAAGATTCTGGGAGACAGGAACCACAGAATGGTAGCTTTGAAATGAGCTTTAAACATTATATCGTGAGTCTAATCATCTAGTTTTACAGATGAGACAGAGCCTTGGAAGAGATTAAGCAGCAGCTTCCTTTGCCCTCAGCCCCCGGCTCCCGAAATGGGTACAAGCCAGGTCTCCAAATTTACGTTCTTTTAGCAAATAAATGACGTTCCTCAAAGATCTACGCTAAAAGGAAAAAAAAAAGAAAACCCCACCCAGTGCATCCCAACCTAACCCTTAAGCTTCTATACACAAGGTCGCGGGGCAATGTTGTTAATTAACGGGCCAGCCGCTCGGCCTCGTCAGAAAGGGCCTGGTGAGGGTGCAGGACGCCGCCCTGCACCCCAGCACCTGGAAGACAGGTTTCTGGGTCCCTTCGCCCCCCTCCTCCCGTTCTTGGGGACCCCTCCATCTCTCACGGACCCTACTTCCCCCTCTCGCTCCGGGAGCAGACGCCCCGTACCTCCACCTACAGCCCCAGCCGAACCTCCACGTCGCCGACAGTGTGCGCCAGCGCCATTACGTCATCACGTCGGCGACCCCCTTGTGGGTGGGAGGCGGGGCGCGGGCGGGGTCGGGGCGGAGCTGGGAGCGCGGGGGCGGGGTCACGTGCCGCCCGCCGCCGGGTGGAGGGCGCGGGCGGGGCGCCTTAGAGAAAGGTGGTCGCCTCGGTGCCCTGGTCCTCGGTGAGCAGCTGCAGGGAGGCTAAGTCTACGTGCTGGCAGGTAGGAAGCCGAGTGGGGGCTCGTGGGGGCGGGCCACGACGTCAGTGAAACCGGGCAAGGCGGAGAGATGGACGAATGGCGACGGGGCTTGGCTGGGGAGCGGCCGGGGCGCCCCCGCGTGGACGGGCGGCCCCGACTGACCCGCTGACCCTCCGCAGAGCGTGAGGACCTCTGGCCGCCTTGACTGCCCAGTCTTTACCGGTAACCGCCCCTCTCTGCTTCCTCCTCGAGCCCTTAGAGCGCGTGCGGGTACCATCAATCCGGGTGCGGCAGTGACGGAATGACGATAACAAGGAGGACGAAACAGTGTCCATTCAAACTGGAACCTTCCGACCTCAGATTCTAGCTCTGCCCCTGGAGGTTGAATAGGTTGAATACCTACACCGGGTAACGGACATTTTACCTGGGAGACCACAGGAGGTTCTAGAATTTAATTCCTTCCCCAAATTTTAGTCTGTAGTCTAACTGAGCTATTTTTACCGGTGGAGACGAGGTTTATGCTTTCTGTTCCTTTGGGTAAATTGTACTTCCCCAGTTGAGCTCATGCATGTTCGTTCTTCGTGTTTATGTGATTTAGGAGCCCAGCTCTTCCGCTTATTTCCCTTTTCGTATCCCTCAAATCTTTCCCCCTCGCGTTGGTTTTCGTATTTGTGCGGGCGCGTGCGCGCTCTCGCTAATCGGCCCCGTGCTTCCCAAGGACCCTTTCCTGGCTTTCTCCTGCGTGCCCGCATTCTTCTCCGTGACCTTCCCCGCAGTGCCGTCGCCCCGCGGCTCCCGCACTCCTGTGCTCGGGGAGGCGGCCGGATGCCTGCACTTCAACGAGACTTGCTGCTCTGAATGCCGCCTCTGAAACGGAGCTTTGTCTCATCTTTCACCCTCACTTCAAAGCCTGCTTTTCTTCCTGTTTCCCCGAATCTCACCTCCATTCATTGATCTAACAAACAGTTTTGGGCACCGAATATGGGCCGGACACTAGTCTAGACACTGAGGTTACAGTGGTAAACAAGCAAGTGATTGTAGTGAGGGGGGAGAGACGCTGAAGCCAGTTGGCACGAAGGTTTCAGGTGGCGGGGTGAGACAGTGATTGGAGGAGCTGCGTTGGTTAGGTGGTGTCAGAAAGGGCCTTCACAGCTCTCCGACTGTAGGACTGGGGTGGCTCGGGAACCGGCCCTCCTGACAGAATGATTGTAATACTTATCAGGGAGAGTGAGCTGACATAAATAACTAAGAAAAGTGAGAGACAGGATCAATGCTATCAAAATATATAAAACTATAGCATTTAAGACAGTGTGATAGTAGTACAAAAAGAGAGATCAGTGGAACAGAATATACTAGAAATAATGCAAAAACACATGTGTTTGTACGTGTGTGCGCATATATACGTACACAAATTTATAAGGTAAAGGAATGATCACAAATCAATGGGAAGGAGAAGGATTACTCAATAAACTGACAAAAATGGTCTTCAGGAAGATTTCTGAATAAAAAAATAACTTCTATACACCAGCAACAACTAGGAGTTTACTAACAAGATATACAGAACAGTATTCAAAATGAAAGTTACCTAGAAATGTCAAGAGAAATATATTTTTTTACTGAAAATGCTTTTTCCTGGTCTTCAAAAATCTGATTCTGTGTGCAATCCACTATAATTGTGACATGTTCTTATGATTAAAAGATGTTTTTAATTAGATGCTAAACTAGATTTGTTATGATTGCCTTAAATACACAGAATGTCCCTGGCTGCTTATTGTGTCATCTGTTGTAGAAGAATAGGAACCTCAACTCATCCAAAAAGCAACACATACTGGAAAGATATCAGTGAGTACAGCTTAAACAATATTTTCTTATACAAACAGTAACCTGTTTCCAGCGTGGTTAGGTTTACAGGGTGGCCCACAGAAACATTTTTAATACATAATAAATCTCAGATTTATTTATGTCTTTTCCCACACTGGCAGGCCCAGAGCCATGCATACTCCTTTTTCTTGGGAGTCTTTTCCTGCCCCTGTGTTTCCTCTCAGATTCATATTAATCCTTGTGAACTCAACTAAAGTATTACTACATTCTTGTTCAGCAGCTATTTATTAAACTCCTGCAAAACACAGTGCCCTGCATATATATTAGGTTCTGTGAATTCAGTGGTGAGAAAGGTAGATGAGCTTGCTTTATGGGAGCTTAGGATCTAGTGCTAATCTTTATTTGTAAATATTTATTTACCTTATTTATCACTAATTTTTACTTGTAAAATGAGAAGATTGGCCTAGATCATCTTCCAATTGTCAGATGTTTATTTAACACCTACTATGTGCCAGGTATGTTTACTGTTTTCTTGAGATCTTCTCACATGGGCCATGTCTTGCCAGTCTATGTTTGGGTCATTTTTCTTGGCATTATCCAAGGAATCATGTAAATCACGCCAAAGCTGTTTGTCTTGCCACCACCAAAATGGGTTCTGAGTCCAAGCACAAAGCTGACATCTGGTGTGGTCTTATACATTTAGCCAGTGTTTCCTGAATTTCTGTCTTGGGCACTGTTGCCTCCCCAGGGTGGAGGATGTCAGTGACCATTTGTTTCCACTGAAGTCGTTGTGAATGTCCTGCTCCAGACAGTTCTGCGTCATTCAGGATGGCAGCTGATCCTCAAGCAGCCAGGGAGGAAAGGGGACCCACTAGGGTTTCTCTTTTTTATATTAAAAAAAAGTGTTTTCCAAGTCCTAAACAAACAAATTATAGGTAAACTTGTAGAATGTAGTGTATTTAAAATGGGGCTGTGTACATATAGCACTTAACGACAAGCATAATTACTTTGGGGAAAGTCCTTCTGTATCGCCAATAGACAAACATAATCCCTCAATGTGTTCTTAGTGGTGGTGGGGAGAAATACCCCTGTTCCGTTACTTGTTTGTGAACGAAAAAGAGTGAGAAGGGAAGTGAGCCCCTGGACATGGCGTTGGGCGCAGCTCTGTGGGTCCGGCAGTCCCAGCAGGGCGGTGGATCGAGGGCTCTGCTGGCTGGGGCGGGGCAGCAGAAGAGGTGTGGAGGGAGGGGGAGGGAGTGAAGTGCAGGTTCTGTTTCTGTTCCCAGTGCTTACTGGTTCCTCTGCTTCTATCTGGAGATCAGAAGCCTTGTGTTGATAGCAACTGATTATAGTAATGGAGAAATATCAATAAGTTGTTATCCAACTATGCCTATTTCCAGTCACATTTTCAAAATGAAATTCATTACATTGACTTTTTTTTTCTTTTTCAAGGAAATATAATAAAGTTTACTGGATCACTTATTTTAGGGTAAGTGTCAACAGTGAAACTGACTTCATTGTAATGCTATTTGAAATCTCCGTCGGCGAGTGAAAAGGGTATAGATTTTGGAACTAGGTGGATTCATCACTGGTTCTTCACTGGTTCTACCACTTCAGTGTCATTTCATTACATTTACTTCACCTTCTGAGTCTTGGTTCTTCTTGGGTCCAAGCGGATGATTGGGACAGAACAGGGACTCACTAAGTAGCTTCCACACACCTAAAATCACATCTTGTCTCAGATTCTAAAGTGGATGAAAAAGGTAAAAATCAGTTATAGCCAAACAATTTTTGAAAATCTTATGACTCACCATAAAGCTCTCAAGAAAGGGAATTGAGGCCGACCGAAAACACTAATAGAGCGGCATCTCCCATCTCGTGCTATTTCACAGACACTTGCTCAATGAAAGGAGTGACTCTCTTCCTGAAAATTACATTCTCATTCTGTTTTCTTTCCTTTTTTTGGAGGGGGGTGTGATATACCCAGAGTCTGGCACAAATAACACCCTTTTTAAAATTACATAACAATCTTTTATTATGAAATCATAAGCATGTAATTCTGTAACATAACAATATCACTCTCAAGCACATCATGTGACATTTTAGGTGAAATGTTCAAATTCAAACTATAAATTATTAGTTTTACTCAACCACAGCCAGACCCTGTATATATGTTAAATGCATGTCTAATACTGCTTTAGTGTTTTTGTTAATAGTACTCTTTCCCTAGTATAAATATAAAGTCACCTCTTAGGCGCTAAAATGATAAAGGAGATATATTTGGCATTTTATCCAAACACATACATTTCTCGATGATATTGTAAGGTCAGGTAAAACATATTTGGATGATTTTTCCCTTTGACTTATTCCGAGCGAAGCTACTCTTTTTTGTAAAGAAGTTTCTTGGTTTATATCACAGTTCTAGTCAGGAACAGAGTGGAAATTAATCACACAGTATCTAGTAAAGAAATTTTGACTTTCATGGAAAGCATGATAAAAATAATGAATATATTTGTTCTCCGTGGCTGCGCAGATGAACCCCACCTGCGTAGAAGAGAGAAGAGAATTCTTTCAGGCCTTCTCCCTATTCCTCTGGTGCGGGCCAGGGTCTGGCCTGTCTCACCTGCTTTTGCTCCGGGGTTGGAAGCTCAGGAGAAGGCTTAGCACCGCTAGTGCTACTGAGCTCTGAATCCAGACAGAGGGCGGCCTTTGTGTCTGGGTTGAGGGAGTGTGCAGGCCCATCAGATTCAGTGGAAAAAACCTGCATTTGGGGGTGCACAGCAAACAACATTGTATGTTACATTTAAAGATTGACTTTAGGTATAACTCTTAGGAGATGAGCAACTTTCATGTCCTGGTGATGGGAGTACAAATTGACTAATCTTTTTGAAAAAGAAAAACAGTTTATCTAGTAAAATCGAACAATATATATGCTGTCAGAAAGTCTGCCATTCCAGATATGCATGCCAGAGGGACATAAACATGCTTGCACAGTGGAGATGTGTGTGACATGTAACAGTATTGTTTGTAATAGACTCACACTGGAAATCCCCTGCATACTCATCCGTGGTAGGATGGACAAAAACGTTGTGATATATTCATACCACGGATGATGAATCGCAACCTTATGAAAGTGTAAATGCATGAGCTTCAGCTACATGCAACAACATGGATGAATCTCACAAACAGGGCTGAACAAAAGAATATGTGCAGTGTGATTCCATTCCTGTGAAGTGCACAGGCAGACGGAATGTTTAAGGACGCATGTGGAGATGGTAAACTATTGGGTTGGCCCAAAGTCCATTTAGTTTTTTTCCATAAAATAAGAAACACATTTTTCATCTTCAGCAATAACTTTATTGATTTGGGTATTTTGAGTATGCTGGCCACCCCTCACATGGTACTATGTTGATTGTTCTCAGTTAATGTCTCGATTTGATCGCTGTCAACTTCAGCTGGTCAGCCTGACCCGAGGAGCATTGTTCAGTGAGAAATCTCCAGCATGAAACCTCGTGAAGCACGTTCAGTCAGCTACAGGGCCTTCTCCGTACACCGCACAAATCTTTTTTTGCATTTCAGTTACATTTTTACCTTTCTTGAAATTATAAAGCATGACGTGCCAAAAGTGTTGTTTATTTTTTCACATCTTCAATATTAAAAAGCCTACACAAAAATTCACCAATTCTGATGTTTTAAAAAAATGCACACTAATGAAACAGCTGTCACAGTACAGTCTTAACAGAATTGTCTTTGAATGAAGTTAAAGGCAACTAAGCGCTCACTACTAGAGCCAATGTATGGAAAAAAACTAAATGAACTTTTGGGCCAACCCAATAGAAAGAAAAGCAAAAGTATTACTATAATAGAAGTCATAATAATAATTACAGAGGTGAGAGTATGGCAGGATCAGGAAGGGACACACTGGGCTTCTGGGGTACTTACTGTTAAAGTTCTGTTTTGTTTGTTTTTTTGCCTGGATATGGTAATGTAGCTATTTTTGTTAACTGAAATGTGTGTATACCTTTTACATTTTTCATATATATGTGTAATATATGGTATATGCACATTACTGTATATATGTTTCCCAATAAAAAAAGAAAGGTTAACTATTTAAAGCTTAATAAAAGAGTAACTCTTGTGTTACACTTGTATCATCTATTTTTGATGAATTTTTTGTTTCTTTTTAAGAGGCTCTTTATTTCTTACATATGAAGTTCTGGCCCTGAAGAAGTCTTTGACATTAGATTCTCAAGTGGTAGAAAGAGAAAAAATGAAGTCATATATATATGTGCCCACAGTTCCTTTAGATAAAAGAGAAAATTATGGTAAGTTGATGATAAAGTTATCATTGTGAAAAATGGAAGCTAGTTATTGAATTTAAAAATGAGTATTTAAAACACAGTATTAATAACATTTGTCCTGACAACTCCAAGAATCCCCACATCCTGTGAGGACCAGGTTCCTGAAGAGTTAGTTGAAGGCCAGACTTTTGACTTCCATATTGAACCCAAGTTTGCTGCTCTGCTGTGACTAAGTGAAGTGAAAGCCAGCCAGCCGTTGTGGTCTGACCTCGTGGTTCCACACCTCAGTGGGGACCGTCAGTTCAGAGGCTGGCCCTCACTGTGGAGAGCATAAAAACACGATCTTCTCGCTTCACTCAGAGATCTTTCTGATTTAAGGGAATCATTCATTGTGGACATGAGGCTGATGGGATGGGTTTATAAATATGAATATGAACTTAATTACGGAGGGAAAAATATCTGCTATTCTGCCATAAAAACCGGAAAACCTGTCTTTCCTAGTCAGAACATTCCTCTTCTCCATAGTTCGGTCACATGGAAACCTTATTAGTAATCAGATGATTGCTGGGCGAACAGGAAATTTTAGTGCAGAGGAGTATCTCTTCATCAAGATGAGGGCAGTGTGGTGAGTCACCACACCTGACTCACAGCCGCGGGTTCCTGTGCCGTCGGCCGCAGGGGCCGTGCCTGCTGGTACATTGTGGTCCCCGCGTGAGGCAGGGGCGCTGCGTGCCGGGTACAAGCTGTTGGTGTGTAGCATCATTGCACCTCCCTGTATTTCAGCATGCTATTATGGTGCTACAATTTCAATTACAAGTTTTATAGTTTATAATTTACCTATATAACGAAGTTTAATCTCAGATACCTCCAAATTTTACTTTGAAAGGGACTATTTTTAGGGGACATTTTCCTGAATGCAGTTAATCCTATGCTGTATATGAAGATTTTTGTTAGCTTTAGTATTTTTGTTTTTGCTTTTTGCCTTTTCCCCAACTTGGAGAGCAGTCTTATTTTGGGATTTAGAGCTCTGTGTTCCATAATGGTTTCAGTTGCTTTGACAGTGACAATAAAAACAGAAGGGTGCCATTTTGTATTTTCTTTTTGAAATATCGTGGATTTTCATTTCTATTTCTCTTTGAAGTATTGGAGCTTGGCATTAAGAGTTCATACTTGGTGTCATTTAAATTTGTAATCACTCTAGGACTCACCTACCAGGCAAGAAAAGAGCTTCACAAAGCAGTGAGAAAAGTACTGGCAACTTCAGCCAAGATATTACAGGGTCCGTTTGCTGGTAAGTCAAATATTTAACTGGGAAACCTGCTCAGCATTCTGAAAGTCTCCTGATGGCCGACCCAAGATATGTTTCCATTATAGAGGTGAAACATTTAGTAACATTATTCTTTAGGGCTATATTTAATTTTAAGGTTTGATTCCTTGGACAGGTTTTTCCTTCCATCTTTGAGGACATATTATTGTTAGATATTTGTAAATAAATATTGAGATTAAATATACCCTCTTCAAAATTTAAAATCTGTTAGGAAATCTCTTTCATGCTTTCTCACAATGAGAATATTGTGTCAAAAATGTAGATTTCACAACCAGTAACTCTACAGTGTGGAGCTAGCTATAAAAGAGCTGTCCAGGTCTCTTTAAAAGGTTGGTATCATGAATGTGAAAAGGTGGGAAACCTTTCTAGAATTAAAAGAGACTAAAGAGACTTAAATCCTGGTTTTATAAAACAGCTCTGAAGATACTTTTGGGACAATTGGAGAAATTTGAATATGGAGTTAGACTGGATTTTATATGATTTTGGAGGATCTTTGTTAGTGTTCTCTGGTGTTACAATGGCATTGTGATTTTTTTAAAAAGGATTTCATTTTTTAGAAAGAGGAAGGGAGGAAGAAAGAGAGGAAGAGAAACATCAATGTGTCTATAGGTTGCCTGTCACATGCCCCCAGCTGGGGGCCTGGCCCACAACTCAGACGTGTGCCCTGACTGGGAATCGAACTAGTGATCTGCCGGTTCACAGGCTGGCACTCAATCCACTGAGCGACACCAGCCAGGGCTGGCATTGTGATTGTACGTGGGAGAATGCAGGCTTATTTTCAGGAGAGTCAGTGCGAACTGTGAAAGGGTAAAAGCCATATGCCCGCAACTTCCTTTCACATAGTTTAGGAAACAAATGCATAGACATGCATGTAGTTTGAACAAATAAGGGTAAATAACAGTTTTTGAATCTAGCTGTGGTAGGCATCTGGATATTAATGTATTATTCTTTCAGTTCTTCCATACGTCTGATATTTTTTATAATGAACAATTCTTTAGGGAAAAAGAAAAAAAGACAACAATGTAGTGAAAGCAACACAGCCTATAAAACAAAAGCACATGGATAATATATACAATAAATATAAAAAATATGACATACCATACATAAGAATAGACCCAAAATGAATAAACGACTTAAATGTAAGACTTAAAACCATAAAAATCCTAGAAGAAAACATAGGCAGTAAACTCTCAGACATCTTTCATAGCAATATGTTTGCTGATGTATCTCCTAGGGCAAGGGAAACAAAGGAAAAAAAATAAACAAATGGGACTACGTCAAACCAAAAAGCTTCTGCACAGCAAAAGAAACCACCACCAAAATGAAGGGACCCTAATGTAAAGGGGAACGTATTTGCAATGATAGATCTGACAAGGAGTTAATTCCCAAAATACATAAAGAACTTATACATCTCAATACCAGGAAGATAAACAGTCTTAATTTAAAAAAATGGGCAAAGGACCTAACAGACACCTCTCCAAAAAGGACATACAGATGGCCAACAGACATATGACAAAATGCTCAATTTCACTAATCATCAGAGAGATGCAAATTAAAACCACAATGAGATACCACCTCACACCTGCTAGAATGGCTGCCATCAATAAATCACCAAGTGCTGGCAAGGATGTGGAGAAAAGGGAACCCTAGTGCACTGTTGGTAGGAATGCGGGCTGGCGCAGCCACTGTGGAAAGCAATATGGAGTTTCCTCAAAAAACTGGAAATGGAACTGCTTTATGACCAGCGATCCCACTTCTGGGAATAGAGCCTAAGAATCCTGCAATACTAATTTGAAAGAATATGTGCACCCCTTTGTTCATAGCAGTGTTATTTACAATAGCCAAGATGTGGAAATAGCCCAAATGTCAACAGTAGATGAGTGGATAAAACAACTCTGGTACATTTACACAGTGGAATTAGACACATGGCCGTAAGAAAGAAGGAAATCTTACCTTTTGCGGCAGCATGGATGGACCTGGAGATTATGAGATACTAAGTGAAATAAGCCAGTCAGAGTAAGACAGATGGTCTCACTCACATGTGGAATCTAATGAACAGAATAAACTGACGGACAAAACAGAAACCGAGGCATGGGCACAAGGAACAGACTGACAGCTGTCGGGGGGAGGGAGGAGGGGACCGGATGGGAGAAGGTGAAGGGATGAGCCAAAGAACACAGATGCGTGACCCACAGACGCAGACCACAGTGCGGCGCAGGCCGGGGGCGGGGGGAAGCGGGCAAAGGGGGGAAATGGGGACATCTGTGCTAGTGTCAGCAACAAGCATAAAGTTAAAAAGGTCATATGACAGAACTGAGACTAAATGTATCAGTTATTATCAATACCCGGAAACAGATTGAACTCTTCTGTTTTAGATTTCAAATATTTATAAATTACCACATTAAGTGGGAGGGTAAAATGTTTTTAACCACTCACCTTGCTCACACTGTCCTTTTCTTCCTCTTTGCAAAGACACTTTCAGCACAGTTGACGTGGAAGACCACGAGTGTGCCTCGTGGCTGCTGCTGCGGAGCACGAAGGCGGGCGACCGGGCGGAGCGATGGCAGGCTGTGCAGGCCATGTCGGAGGCCCGCCGCTGGCACGGTAATGGCCCAGGCCGGGGGCGCGCCGCGGCCCGCGCGCCGCTCCTGATAGGAAAGAGAAGGGAGTGAGGTTCCAGGGAAGGAAAATCATCCAGGCCATCTAAAACTGTACTGAAAATATTTCCAGAAATTAAAAAAAGAAACTCCAGTGAAAACCCCTTGGCCTGGAAACCAGATACGCTTGATAAGAACTACCTCAAAACTGAGGTAGATATATTTGAGTAACTTTGTACCAGAACAGTTTTACTTGATTACAGAAACTCTTGACTGTGATAGTTATGGCCTAATGTTGTGTTTACCTTTCTTTTTCGGTTCTTATGTAATATAATATATTTTAATCGCTTGCTGCCACACAGTTATATTTGCTTTCACTTGACAATTGGCTCTGATACTAATAATTAGTCAAACATATCTGATTTGTGTGTATATATCATTTTAAGGGGTATTTAATTGTATTTAAAACTCACAAGTTTTGCAGTAAAACTTCATGAGCAGAAGTTCACATCTGCTCTGAGTCTAGTGCAGAGGCCAATGTACACTTTGTGAGCAGCATCATGTCATGAAAATGAGTAAACAAATAGAAAATAATAATGTTCTCAAAGAAAGTTAAGTCTCAGAATAAGATCTCTGCCTCCATACACGTTGATTAGTTGATTGATTGGCAGCTGCAATTACGATTTATAAAGTAAATGGAAACTTGCTTCATGTTCAGGGAGACTTAGAATAAAAATCTTTTTTCAAAATCCGCCTTCTAGTGCTCTAGTTCGGACTCACTGTATCAGAAAAGCCAGGGTTGGAGCCCTGGCGTTGTATGTTTTGAAAAGTCCCCACTTGATCCGGAAGAACTCACCCAGGTTACGAACTGCCATTATTAAAAAGAGTGTCTGTGGCAGGGGTTGGAATTTTGTTTTGATACATTTCTTAGCCTTGGGTCACTATAACAAAACATTATAGACTGGGAAGCTTATAAACAACAGAAATGTATTTCTCAGTTCTGGAGGCTGGAAGTCCAAGGTCAGGGCCTGGCAGAGTTGGTATCTGGTGAGGACCTGCTTCCCGGTCCGTAACTGGCCATCTTTAGTTTCCTCACCTGCCAGAAGGGACAGGGCAGCTTTCTGGGGTCTCTTTTATAAGAGCACTAATCCCATCATGATCTAATTGCCCCCGAAAGGTCCCTCCTCCAAATACCAGGACATTGGGGATTAGGTTTCAACATGTGGATTTGGGAGGACACAGACACTTAGTCTAGAGCAGTAGGTAAGGAGTGGAGAGGCGAATCGTGAAGGCTGAAGCGGGGTCCCACCATCCGGAACCTTGCACTGTCCGTGGACGTTGCGGGGAAGCCTCTTAACTGTCACCAGGGGCAGTGGACCGAAATGCAGTCGCATATGTTTGGGGTAACGATCGGAACAGCTTTTGAATACTAGACTTATTTTTAAAGAGCAGCTAAATTGGTTCTGACCTATCAGTGTTCAGATTTGAGGTTCATCTTTTCAAAAATGTGCGTTAGACACTAATACACCCAGATATAAGGGACACGGTGAGGAGACTTGTGAGGTGGATAGGAAAATGCTGGGTATTTAGCTTACTGACACTGTAATTTTGAAAAAATATTTGGGAAATACAAACTTGTAATTTAAAAATTAAAGTGCTTTCAGGCAGTGTGTCCATTTAATCCCTGAAACAACTCTAAGCCGGTCTGGCAGCTAACAGTATCCTTTCACAATAGATTACCAGTACAGGACAATTGCTCAAGCCTGTGATCTGAGAACTGTCATTGGTCTGGCACGAAGCAGAGAGAGTGATCTTCGCTTTTTTCTCCCTCCGCCTCCTTTACCATCTTTAAAAGAAGTAAGTAAATAAAATAACCCAGTGAGTGAGCAAATGGTTAATATAGAGTCGTCACTTCGGGTGCAGAGAAAACATTCAAAAAGCAGTTTATTGGCTACTTTTTACAAGCAGGTAAATGAGGTCAACCTGAAATTGTAGTTTTCACACAGAGTTTTTGATTCCTCAGGAGATGCTGTTTCTCTTATATTATTTTCCGCTTTTGGTACCAGGGGTCTCTTACACCAGAGGATAACCTCATAGCGTATCAGCACCCATGAACTGGTCCCTTCATTTAAGGTTGCTTTTCGATTAGTTTTTCTCAACTTCAACACTATTGACATTTTTGGCCAAATAATTTTTTTTTGTTGGAGGGTGTCCTGTGCATTGCAAGGTGTTTAACAGCATCTCTGGCCTCTTCTCATTTGATTCTAGTAGCAATTCAGAAATGTTCCAGATGTTGCTGAATGTTTCCTGAGGTGTGGAACACAGCCGGAGAACCACTACATGTAGTTCTTATGTATTACTACATAGAGATACCAATTTTTAATCAGTAATATAGATATTTGAGCATGTTTCTTGAATACCTTTCCTAGACTAGATGATGAAAATCTGAAAATTTGCTGTTTTTGAAAAATAGAAAAATAAACATACTAGATGTAAGTTATTAGTGAAAATCAGATAGTAACTTCCTAGCTCTCGCTTTGGCTAGAAAAGTATAATAATTCATTTTGAGCCAAGATGTGAAGTAGCCCAGGAGGTGAAAATGTAGTTATACTTTGCAGTAAGCCTTTCAGATTGAGGTAGCAGACACGGAAGTATAGAATTCAAAATTAGGTGATCTTCTGTTTTTCTGGGTGGGTGTTTTTGAGACTAAAAAACACTCATTTATCTCTGCGTTTTTGTTAGTTTTTTTGGCTTTGATTTTCTGAGTACTTTTCGTCAGGTTCAGTTGTTGAGCTTAATTGTGAAGAGTTTGTTTTCCTTTATTTCAGGATTCTACCATCGAAGAAGAGCTCAGACACTTGCTGGCTTCCTTACCCCGCACAGGCCTGGACGAGTGTGCCCAGTATTTCACAGCTTTGGCTCTCAGCGAAAGCAGTCAGAGCCTGGCGGCTCAGAAGGTGAGTGCACCTGGCCATTCGGCAAATGTCTCCAAGGGCCCGCGCCTCCCGAGCTACGGCGCCGGGGGCCATAGGGACTGAGCAAACGTCCTGGCCCCGGCTCTGTGCCAGGCACGGGGCTAGGTGCTGGGGATAACGGGGAGACGGTGCATAAAGGTCCTTTCTCGGTGCAGTTTCGCCGTGCGTGCCTCTCCTAATGGTTAATGTTGGCATCATTTCATGTATTTTAGAGGCATTATATTTCTTTTCTTAAGAACTTTCTTTTATGACTGTTGCTCACTTTCCGTAGCATTGCTGAAAGTTTTCTTACTGATTTGTAGGAGATGATTGCATGTTAATGACTTTAACCCTTAATCTGTGGTAAGAGTTGAAATTTTCTTTTCCCACTTTATCCTTAGATGTTTTTAATATCTGTTAGGACTATTCCCCACTACTCTTCTGTTTCATAAATTTTTCCTTTTTCTTCCATAGGAACTTTTCAGTTGGGGAAGGATTAAAAGCTCTGTGACCCTGTTATCCTTGCCTTTAATTTTTTTCACTAATGCTTTTCTCCTTTGTATCATTTTGATTAACAGACTTTATGTAGACTCGACTAGCATAATCTGCCCCTAGAACATGATGATCAGCCCAGGCTTTCCTGCATGATAAGGAATTGTGTGTTAGTACTTTGTACTTCCAGGTACAAAGGTGAAGGAATTGCGAAGGACTCAGAAGTCGCTCTCTTCTAGGGATAATTCCATGTTTTCTATCCTAGTAAGCAACAGTTTGTGAAACTAAAGTTCCCATGGTATTTAGAGTCCTGTGTATTTGTCCTTTACAATGCTCTACATAGTGCAAAGGGTTTTTTTGTCCAACAAAAAAATATTAGTCATTTTTAAAAAGATTTTCTTTATTTTTAGAGAGAGGGGAGGGGAGGGAGAAAGAGGGAAAGAAACAGCGATATGTTGGTTGCCTCTTGCACACCCCCAAATGGGGACTGGGCCCGCAACCCAGGCATGTGCCCTGACTGGGAATCGAACCAGCATCCTGGATGTTCGCAGGCCAGTGCTCAGCACACGGAGCCACACCAGCTAGGGCCTAGCCTTTTTTTTTTTTTTTTTTTGGTAAAAGTTTTAATTATCTCCTTTTCAGGGTGGCTTATGGTGTTTTGGAGGAAATGGACTTCCTTATGCTGAGAGCTTTGGAGAAGTTCCTTCAGCGACAGGGGGAATGTTCTGTTTAGAAGCTTTAGTAAGACATTCTGAGGTAACTCACACTTTTCAAATGCGGTTTTATTTTTATCATCACAAAATTATGCATGTTCAATCAGGGAAAATCATCCTCATTTAGTATAAAAGGAGCTTTTTGCTTGTTTTTCAATTTCTGCTTTTCCCCCATTTGATTGTTCAAATTGATAAAAATTATTTAGCACCAGTACACGAATTTCATGTTGCCAAGTGTTTCTAAAAATGGATGTACTCTTAATTGCAAATGAAGAAAGCAGAGCATTGTCTAAATACAGCATATATCTTTGAGTTATGCTGTCTTTCACCTTTCTCAGATCATTTTTATTTTTATCAAGTAATATTATCAGGTAGTTCATTTCCATTAAAACATCTGTCAAAGATGTGTCAAGATAGAAAAAAGAAAATACTTGAATGACCAAATTTTAACCATAGCATGTATCAGTGATTTTCAAATTTCTTGGCATTGTGGCAACTTTTCTATCATGATCACAGTTTGATTTAAAAAGAGAAGAAAATAACAGACTTTGTGGTGTTCAAACATTAGTGCATAGAAATTGCTCCAGGAGCATGTTAAAATGCACTTTTCCTGCTCACCTGTAGCAGACTGAGTTTATGGATGTGGGGTAGAATCTAGGAGTTGGCATTTGTACCAGACGTCCCCAGTGAGGCTGCTGCAAGAGGTTCCCACAGGCAGAGAAATGTCATCCTAGACATTCTGAACGCTTCCGTTTAATCTTGGGGATGATTAGACGCAGCTCAGAAGCACGGTGCTTCCTGGTCATCTTTAGTTCCCACCTGTGGAATTAGGAATCAAGGACAAAGCAGAGTTAGTACTGGACTATAGAAGGGAACGTGGGACCAGCTGGAGTTTTTGTGACCTATGTCTAGTTCTGAAGCAGTAGATGCATCTTCAGTCCAAAATACAGTGCTTGGAATGTAATAGTTACTTTTCCAGAAGCCTCTCAACTTACAACATATCTCCCTTGGTAGATGGGTAAAAAGGCATACTTTTAAATGCATGTAAAATGTGATAAAATTTATGAAAATTTCCAGAATGACTATTGCATACACATGAGTGACATGGTGTCACCTCCCTGAGGCAAGGCCATGCCAGTGACCTTGGCAGACATAAGGACTTGTTGGTCAACTTTGTCACCCTGCCTTAGTGTTCACATTTCCTTTGGCTTGCTTTTACCTTTTTTCACCATTAAAAATTTATATCCCCTCTCCTTTTTATTTTTACTTGATCTTTCTCTTTGAGAAATTTTCTGACTCCTTGTGCAGGCCAGCCCCAAGAGCCGTGAGTCCCAGGGGCAGATGTTGCTTGTCTCTGTGGGATCTGCCACGGGGACAGAGGCTACTTCCTGTGTCAGGTGGCAGGCTTCTCAAGGGTAGAGAACCATTCTGAGCCAATCACAGGATCACTAGAAATGGAAACAGCTCTGTAATAATGACACTGTCAGGTTATATCCCACCCAATGCCAAACAGAATACCTTTAAAAACAAACGTTTCAGAAGTCCTGGTGAGACATGACGTATTTTTTCCAGTGATTGTGAAGCACTTGCCAGGTAGATAGGACTTTGTGCATTAAGGGAGCTGAGAGGAGAGGCTGGGCGGCTGGTCTCTGGGTCTCTGTGCTGGAGCAGGAGCCGCCTGGCCGCCCCTTGGCGTGCTGTGTCACCTGGTTAGTGAATATACAACATAAAGTGAGCTTCTGTTAATTTATCGTGCCAGGTATCCACACATTGTCATAAAATTGAAGCATATGGAGGCTTGCAACTCCTTCAGAGGCTGTACCAACTTCACAAGGACTACCCTAAAGTACAGAGAAACATAATGCGTATCATCGGCAACATGGCTTTGAATGAACATCTTCATCCGGCCATAGTTCGCTCAGGTAACAACTTTATATGCTGAGAATGTGGGATCCTGTCTTTTGTTCTCCTACCTCCACCCATCGTGATACATTAATTTTTCAGTAGACAGAAGACTGCTTAGAGCACGTTGTTTTAGCCAGGAATTGCTTGAGGTGGGTGGCTAACCCACACCTAAGATAATCAGCGTGTGGACACTCACAGGAGAGCAGTTTTTGCTAATGACCGTCTAAATGTTTACAGCTTTGCTGTAAATGATTATCACCAAGATCTGGGTGCTGTGTGTGCTGCTGTTCCTGCGGTGTCTTTATTCTTCACCTTTTCAGTAGAAAAAGCTAGGTAATATATACAAATATACACACACACATCACATAGACATGCATATCTGCATGTGCAGCTGACCCTTCAACAACATGGGTTTGAAGTGTGCAGGTCCACTTACACGTGGGGGTTTTTCAATGAACAGCTGCACAGTTGTAGACCCACTGTTGGGAGCCCACGGGTGCAGAGAGCGGACTGCATGCACTGAGCTGCATTTCGCACAGGGTCCTTGAGCGTCGCGGATGTTGGCATCTTCAGGGTGTCCTGAAACCAGGACCCTTGCAGATACTGAGGGACAGCTTCAGTTTTTGAGTCTAAAATTATGTATGGATTTCTGACTGCATCAGGGTGTGGGGGTCAGTGCCCCTAACCACCTCATTGTTCAGGAGTCAGCTGCATAGGCATATGTTCTTTCTTTTACATAAATTTACATAAATTATGAATTTACATTTAAGAGTGTCTTTTAATCAGCAGAAGAGGGATCAGCAAACTCTATAAAGGACCACTTACTATTTTTTAAAAAATCAAGTTTAGTGGGGCAACATTGGTTAATAGGTCATAAGGCTTCAAGTGTACATTACCATGATACACGATCTGTACACTGCATCCTGTGCCCACTACCTGAGGTCAGCTCACCTTCTGTCACCGTATACTTGGCCCCCTTTACTGTAAGTTTTATTTGTTCCTCTTTTTACAGGTTCTTTTAAAAAATTTTTATTTGATTTTAGTGCGGGAGAGAAAGGAGTGAGGGAGAGAGGGAAGCATCGATTTGCTGTTCCACTTACTTATGCATTCATTGGTTGATTCTTGTATGTGCCCTGATCAGGGATCGAACCTTTAATCTTGGCATACTGGGACGACGCTCTAACCAACTGAGCCACCTGGCCAGGCTATAGATTCTTAAGGTGGAAACTTACATCACTGGTTTTAACCTTTTTTCTTGTTTCAGTGACATATTGCTATAAATGGAATGGGGAAATGATGGGAGAGCTCACGTGGGACTTTGGTTATTGGTTGCTATTTGTTTTCATGGTTAACATGTATTAAGAGGCTACGCAATTTAAAAACACTATTAAAGAAAGACACAAGTTTTCCAAAGGGCATTTGATGTTTCCTAAGAGGTGAAGCAGGCTTTCAGACATTTGTCACAGAAATGACCTGTGCCTTGCTTTCTCTTGCCTCTTGGAGTCTTGTGACTCCATTAAAAATCAAGTCATATTTTTGCACATACCAATAATGTACTTGTGTATCTCTACAAGTACAATTTTAAAACATTCTTATTATTATAAAGCATTTTTAAACAGATTTTGAAGAGGAATTTTCTGATACTACAAATGTGAACATTGTTAAAGATTTACGGGGTCTGAAATTCCTTTGGATTCTTAAATACTGGCTCACTGTCACTGCAGTGAGTTGCAGCTCTTCAGGCCACAAGAGTGGGAGGAGGACGGGGGACACCTGCTATCTGCGGAGGGTCTGCTGGGCTTGCTGAAAGGCACGTTCTACGTAGACTACTTTCTTAGCATCTTGTTCCAGCTCAGAGGAGCCAGGTAACTTGGCTGAGGTTCCACAGCAAATAGGCAGGAGACAGGAGTTTGAGCCCAAGTCCTCTGACCTCAAGATCCATATTCTGTTTTATTTCAAATTATATAAATAATTCATGAATAGATTCTCATTATATATACTTCAGAGAACACAGATGAGGTTAAACCCGCCTTTTTATAGCGCCCTTGCCAACCCCAGCTCCCTCCTGATACTGTTTGGTGCCTCTTTCCAGACTTTTGCTGGGGGTGGGTGTATACGCACCCATGAGCTTTCATATATACTTCTGTCCCTAAAGTAAGACATTGTTGTAAAAAACAAAAAACATAAAAAATAAATGAAATTGTACTGTCTTGTCTCCCTTTAAAAATTTTTTTACCTTCTTGAATCCCAGGTTTTACAAGATTTTTGTCGATTAAAAGCAAACTCATTATTAAAAAATAATTTCCCCACGTGCATTAAAGGCTGTTACTATCTGTGCTGGTAAGGTTCAAATAACTAGTATTAAATCACCAAGTTTTTAATAATTCCCGCTAAAAGCAAAATGTTTTGTTACTATTTATGTCCCCACCTCTAGTATTTGCAACTTTTTGTTACATTTTCTAGATAAAGAAAATGTCCTTTGAACCCTCCTACCTGCTGTGAGGCCCCTGGGCGGGACCTGGCGGGGACCCCACGGCGTTGCACCCGGGGACCGGAGGACCCTGGGGAAGGATGCAGCTGGAGCGGTTGCGCTCCTCTGTGTCTTGTCGGCAGGCGCGTTCACAGCCCCTCAGCCACCTGCGGTGGACTAGGGTCGGTCTGAGGAGGTGCGTTCTCCCCCCAGGCTGGGTCTCCATCCTGGCAGAAGCGGCCAAGTCTCCACACATCATGGAGGCCTCGCATGCCGCCCGGGCCCTGGCCAACCTGGACCGAGACGCGGTGCAGGAGAAGTACCAGGACGGCGTGTACGTGCTCCACCCCCAGTTCCGCACAAGGTGAGAGAGTGGCAGAGCCCCGTCCCCGTAGGGGATGGAAGCCTGGCGGGCTTAACAAGTTAATTTATTTCTGTGTAACTTAGAGAAGTTAAATTCCTCACAAATAAGTCACACACCTTATTTACTGAAACAGTTTGTCCATAACCACCTCAAAACTGCAGGCTGTCGCGAAAGTATGGAAGTAGCTAAGTCATCAGGGTTATTTTAAATCAGAGCTTACATTCAGGAAGGTTGTATTCACCTTTTACAACGTGTTGCACTTGAATTTCGTGTGCGTATTAGTTTCACAGCGTTTTTCACGTAGATTTAATACCTGGTTTGGACTGTAGAGGTCGTTCTGGATGGGAAGGAGATGAGACATTATGACTCCCATGCAGGCCACCGAGTTGGCCCAGGCCCAGCCTCCGGGGACTGGGGAAAGGGCGCCCGGCGTAAAAGCACACGCTGGAAGGAATACGCTGTGATAAATCTGGCTCCCCCTCCTCCTCAAGATTATTTCTGGTCACCGTTTCCAGCTGTGTCATTGCTAAGACCGTAACTGCAGAAAGGACCACAACAGAAAAGTTATGTGTTTCCCGGATTTCTGTCAGGCACTTCAAAATATTACCTCAGAAAATAGCAAAAACTTTTTAATTTGAAAAGTGGATTGCCTACTTAATTCCAATTTGTAAATAAAATACTATGGTATTTGTGTTGCATAACTGTGTGTGCCCTATAAATAGATGCAAGTAGTGTACTACCTCCATATTTGTTAAATGTCATATCTGAAGACTGTTACTTGAAAATGTCATTAGCTCTATTTCTGATAAACATCCTTGGTAAATTTTTTTAAAGGTCTTTCATGCATGCTGACTTTGAAACTACCTTAGCATAGTCTTTTTTAAAAAAATACTTTTATTGATTTGTGGGATGTTCTCATGGAATTCTTCGGGGGGTAGCCTGCCATCCGCCACTTCACTGGTCACTAAATTCGTGGCAGTTGGTCCTGGTGGGTCCGCCAGGCCAGCCAGGTCTCCGTTTCTGTGGAGCAGTGAGCCCGCCCCGTGTGCGTCTGTGCCCACACTCCCCGGCGCGCTGCGGCCGCCGCCGCTCCCAAAGCTGGCCTCGGCTTTTATTTCCCGTCATGTAAACCTGCTAAGCACCATCCGCAGAGAGGGCTATGCAGATGCTTGCCAAACAATAATGTGTTTATTCTGCTTCTTTTTAATACTCTTTCCCTGTTAGTCAGCCCATTAAAGCAGATGTCCTTTTTGTTCACGGCCTTATGGGAGCAGCGTTCAAAACGTGGCGCCAGCAGGACAGTGACGAGGCTCTAATGGAAAAGGTTTTAGATGACGAAAGCAGGTACACGACGTGCTGGCCCAAGGTAAGGACACGGCTGATGCTTGCAGGGCGCCTTGACCGCGACGCGCTGCGGTGTTGCGGGCTGCTGGAGCTCCCGTGGCTGGCTTTCTCGTGTTACTGGGGTTTTTTCAGTGCAGCTCTTCCGTCCCTTAGGAACACTTGCTGTGTGTTACGTGAACAGCTGGGCTCATCACTCTGTGTCATGTCACTGAGGGGACAGTCTGTAACTTGGAAAGAATATTCCAGCAAGTAAAACATAGGGCGAGGGCCAGTTGTTTACTTCCATTAAAAATATAATAAATAATATATTGCATTCACAATAGTTGGCTAGTTCTAGGATTTTGAAATTATAAAAATAGACCTTGAAGAAATAATTCTATTTTGGATTTGACATTATTTCTTCCAAAGAGCCTTAATCCTGAGATGAACTCACTGAATGGGATTTATCTAAAGCTCAATGAAAACTGGCGCTATAAATACGTGGACAGTTTCCAGGGCCTCGTCCCGCTGCGGCTCATCCACCTTCACAAAGGCTTATGAGGCACAGAGAGCTGTTTGTACTCTCTGATGACACTGAAGCGTGGGGACAGTGACAGACCCCGGCCCACAGAGATAGAACAGGGACGGGAATGCGAATCTCTAACCATCAGGCCATATTGTCTGTTCTGAGATTATAGCTTTCTAGTAAATGCTTCCAAAAAGCCAGTTTGATCTGTACTCAAAAATCGGCCTTGTTTCTGGCTATTGCAGATTAAAATTCAGAATATTCTCTTGACACCTGTATTGGCCTTATGCTACCAATATTGATCCCACCTTGTGACCAGAGACATAAAAAGAGGCTGGAGTTGTGTTTCTGTCACCTTTGCACCTTGTCCCAGTGCGCCCTTCAGTCATCGGTACTGCGAGAGCCCTTTAGGTAGGAATTTCAATTAGTAGGAAGTAATGGGACAGTGGAAATTCTTATGTCCCCTTGTACCCTTTATTTCACACAGTCGTGGTTAGCAGGCGACTGTCCTGCTCTCCGAGTTATATCTGTGGAGTACGACACCAGCCTCAGTGACTGGAGAGCGCGGTGCCCTATGGAGAGGTAAGAGGGGCAGCTTTGAAGGGCCAAGGTCCAGGCCACGTGCGGGCTTTCCGGGGCACGGAGGACTTGGAGGCCACAGGCAGGATTTTCTAACCTTTTTTCTCCTTGCAGAAGGAGTTAACTACAAACAAATTGATGAAATAAGGCTTAGATATACAGACTGTAAATGTTGGGCTCCTAATGTGGTTCACTTAGAACTATTTGAATACTAAGGACCATGGATCCTATAGCAAAGTCTCCTTTACTTCCAGAAGTAAGCGTGATCCTTTTGGCTTTTGTGTTCAGTCATACTGGCTAAAGGAAGCAAAGATGACAGTGCTGAGTCATACAGGCTCCTTAGGTTGTGTGTGCATCACATGTACAGCTGTGTATACAGGAAGGACACAGCCTCTGGGCTCAGGACGAAGACTGCGGCCAGTCCTGCCTCCGCCTCACTGGGAGTGCTCAGCTGAGGCGCCGACCTTGTCCGGGAGCTTGGTCTGCAAGCGGAGGGAGCTGGCCTGAGGCGGGGGGTTCCGACTGGCCCCACCCAGGGGCCAGAGGAAGGGGGTGCAGGCCAGCAGACAGGGCCCCAGGGATCCTTCCCCTTCCGCCCAGAGGGACTGTGACAAGCCCTTTGTTTGGAAGAAAGGATTCTACAGGTAAATAGTTTGAAACTACTAGACCAGATTTTGAGTTACCTTTTTGAAAATTATTTTGAATTCTCTGATTCTAATAGATTTCTGGTATTTTTAAGTAACAAACCAAAATAATGTCTTCAGCATAAATATTGATAGGTGCAATGACACATGCCTTCGTGTAGGTGAGTCACAAAAGAGGCATGGCCTTGGTGTCAGGCCACGTAATGAGAAAGGACACAAGACCCAAGTGGCGGGGGCAGCTGGTGTGCAGTTTGTCTTTGACCTGTGAAAATCGCTAGACCCGCAGTAGATGCTCAAATGGTGCTTTTTAGTAAACGAATGGCTTGTTCAGGACATAGACGCTCCCACTAGGCGAGTGACAGTAAGTTAAAGATAAGGGCCTGAGCAGTCTCAGAAAGCGAGCAGAGCACATGGGGTGTTCCTGACTCTAACGCAGCACATAGCATTGGTCCAGTAAACAAGAGTTCTTGCTTTAGAAACTGGATAGCAAAATGTGGGGGAGAGCAATAGCTTCCTCTCACGCCTGTTTTCATTTTGTCCAGAAAGTCCATTGCATTCAGGAGCAGCGAACTCCTGAGGAAGCTCCGAGCTGCTGGTGTTGGGGACAGGCCGATGATTTGGGTGTCGCACAGCATGGGAGGTAAGCCTGTCTCAGTTCTGCGAAGCGAGCCTTGTGCAGGGATTGTCCGCTGTTCAGACTAACCTAAGTTCTGCACTTCCTGGTGTTGCTTAAAGCGACCCTCTTTCCCATAAATGAATGTTTCTGGTTACGGCCAGGAGTTTTTAATTACTCCACTTCTGTGCTGCTACTTTTTCCAGAGGGGGATGGCCAGTAACAAACCATCCGCAGGGATGTGAGTCTGCCCCCTCAGCGCCCTTATGAGGGAACCCCGAGTAAACGCCAGGCGCAGCCCCCGGCCTCTGTGAGCGGCTGGTGACGGCTCTCCCTTCTTCCCGGCACCCGGCCGGCCGTCGCAGACGCAGAGCCCCGCGGCCTGGAGCGCCCACGGCCCCGCCCCTTCGTGCCTGTGACCCTTGGCCCTGCCGCTGTCCGCTCTGAGGCGCCTCGTGCTTGCTTGCTGCGGGTCCCCTGCTCTTCCCAGCCGTCTCCCCAACCCAGCCCTACATTGTCACCATCCACCTAGCAGAGTCCCTTCTGCAGCTGCTGCTCAGATTGTCGGCCAAAGTGCCCAGGACTGCTGATGGAGGCCTGGTATCCTGCTGAGGGGAAGGTGGAGGCCACCTTTTGAAGGTCCCCAGAGAGGCAGTGTCACCATCTGTGTGACCTCTGTGTTTCACCACTGGCTCCAGCCCCGAGGGGCTGGGGGCGTGGGGAGTGGATAGAGGTGCCCTTCCAGGTGCACTTTCCCACAGAAGTGTCGCTGGCAAGGAGGATCAGCTTTATGGGACCGAGTGTTTTTGGAACGTTAGTGCTGTCCCAGGGGAGGCGCCCTCAGGGGTCTGTGTTTCCGCGTCGTCGGTGGACACCCATGTAGCAGGCTGGACACGCCGTCTGTGGGACAGTGCGGCCTGAGACAGAGCCCTCCTCACAGGGGGGTTTCTAGGACGTTCCTTGTCTGGAGGAAAGAGTGATTTAGAGGGTCAGGAGAACGGCCCCGTTTTTTGGACTACAGGGAATTACTGCTTAAACTTTTTAAAGAAAGTTGCTGTTTTTCTGTATTACCTATTTGGCCTTTTTTGGGTTTTAAGAAGAACGGAGGGAAGGAAAATAGCTTATGTGCTGGTTTTCTTCCTTCTCTGTGGCTAGGTCTCCTTGTCAAAAAGATGCTCTTGGAAGCCTCTCAGAAGCCGGAAATGAGTCCTGTTATAAATAACACCCGTGGGATCATCTTCTACAGTGTCCCTCACCACGGGTCCCACCTGGCGGAATACTCCGTGAACGTGCGCTATCTTCTCTTTCCCTCTTTGGAAGTCAAAGAGCTCAGCAAGGGTAATGCTTATTTTCTGTCATGGAGAATTTTCAGTTTGGATTTGATTTTTCTTTGATACCTTCCCTTTTTGTCTTCAGCCATTATTTGTTCAAATATAACAATTTTAATGCTATGTTAAGTATTTAAAATTTTAAAAGTTATATAATGTTTTGCTGTAAGTATAATTTCAAGTTACCAATTAATAGCTTTTTTCCATGAGCTTGGAAAATCATCAACTGTTTATGCATAAGCTTTGAAGATTTTCATCATATTAACTGTTATCGGATTTAATTAATAAGCATTTTTTTTTCCCCCGGAATACCTGTTGATCAGAATTTGGAGTCCTGGGCTTCAGCCTTGATAGTCCAGATGTCTTTTTATTCACATTTTCTCTCACCTTTTTGGAGAGAGAGTTATTTGACTATCTTCTAAACCTTTTGTTGATGATTTTTGCAGTCAAATATTATTTTCCATAACCTCTTTCTTGTCCTTTGATCCATTATCTTTTGAAATCACTCTAAGGAGAAAAATTAGTGGGTTTTTGAAAGTTCTCCCATGTCTCTTCATTGCCTGGGTTGTGTTCTGTTGGCCCCTCGGGTCTCTCTTAGGTTGTCTGCTTCCCTCTCTCTCTGGAGCTTCTGGTGGCCTGTCCCAGTTGAGGCTGAGGGATGGACAGGTGGGGCATGCTGTGACTGGGGACAGGCTTTGGTGGTGGAGGCTGTGCTTCAAGGCGGGTGTGCGGTGCCGGCCAGCACACCGGGGGGCCCGAGCCCCACACACCGGACTGCTTGGGGCCTGCTCCCTGCCAGCCGGTGACGTGGGAGACCCTCCCCTGACGCCGGCCTCTCAGTTCTGCGTGGGTCTGAGCACTCTGCTCTCACCTTCGGGGCTTCTTAGGGAGGAGAGAAAATAAACGAGCCAGCATCGCAAATGAGAACCCTAGCATTCTCCCTGAATTTGGAAGGTTAGTGTATTTTGTTATGAATTGCATAAACAGCCCTTGTCACAGCCTTGTCCTCGATACTGTTACAGACTCCCCTGCACTGAAAGCGCTACAGGACGACTTCCTGAAGTTTGCTAAGGACAAGAACTTCCAGGTGCTGAATTTTGTGGAGACACTGCCCACCTCCATTGGCAGCATGCTCAAACTCCACGTGGTGCCCGTGGAGTCAGCAGGTACCCCCCATCGTTGGCCTCAGTCGGTGGTGCCTAGCATTCAATTAGGAGCAACAACTTTGATGTTTAGTTTCTCAGTTTTAGGAAGATGTAGATTCTAATTCTGTTACTCTTTTCAGCCATAGATTAAAATTTCTCTGCAAATGAATTCCCTTGGCATTACCCCTCGCCTCCCTTCATTTAACTGACCTGATGGCAAAGGTTAATTGGCGAACTCTAAATTAGCCATCAGCAGTGAACTCTGCTGCATTAAGGCCAGAGCACAAAGCCCTCAACCAGCTGGACTGAGGGGGCATTTCATTTAAAAGACAGAGCGAATGCAGAGACCTTAGAAAGATCACCCAAAGGGAGGGCGGCCCAGTACAACCTCCTCGTCGTCCTGAGGGTGGGAATGAACGCGAGCTGCCACCGTGGTGAGCTGCGCCACGTGACAGGCTCTGAGAGCGGGCCTGGATCTTCCTCCCTTACAGCCTCCTCCTGACCCTGTGCGTGGCAGATAAGCTACGCCTGTCACTCCCTGGAAAAACTCACCGTGCGTGTTACACCATTTTCTGATCGCCTCTGAAGCGCGGCCAGGCGCTGTCCCGGGGGCTCTCAGAGCTCCTGCAGCCCGCGACAGTGTGCACCTGGGGCGCTTGCCCGGTGCCTCTTTGGTTTACCTGACAAGTTCTGTCCTAACTTTGTTGTATATCATCTAAATAGAATGAAAAAGACTTGATAGTTCAGTGACACCTAAAGATGGTTCACCTCCCTGTAATATGCCGTAGGGGGAGGTGTTAATTACTATTTAGTAGTTAAAGAACTTGAAGAGGTCAAGGTACAGCTGCTAGGTGTTTAAGAAAAAAATGCTTTTGCTTTAAGCTTCCAAAGTACAAAGTTAACATTGTGAATACTGTGGAGCAGCCGCTTGTAGTGACATGGCCTTGCCATAGCTCTGCGCCTCCTTCCGTGCCACCTGGAGGCCTGTCCTCCTGCCACACCGCTGCTGGTGCCCCTCAGCCAGCTGCCCCACGAGCCCTGGCGGGCTCTGCGAGGCTCACCCGAATCTCAAGCTCTAAATCGTCTTCACCCCTTGGCGGAGGGATCGTGGAAGTTAGGGTGTAGATGGAACGGATCCTATGTGAGATGTTCCCATCTTTTTTATCAGGATGAGGAGCTCATTATCAACTTTATAATACAAACTCTAGGAAAAGGGGCAGTTAAAAGAATTGGGGAATAATTCAGGAATAACCTGCAAGAGCATATAGGTTCAGAAGACAGTGAAGCCCAGGCTCTGTTCACTGTGGAACTAGGAAGTCGGCCTACGCGCATACAGAGAATTTATGAAAAGCATAAATGACAAGTGAACGTGCTAAGAACCCATTCTGGGGGGATTAAGCAAATGTAGTTTAGCTGCAGTGAATCTTCAGGTCCTTTCAAGAGTCCCGTATCACCACCGAATCAACATTTAGAACTACAGACCTGGCCTCTTTCAGTATTGATAGGGGAGAAGTTTTTACTTACACGTTACTGACATTTTTGTTTTCTTCAGATCTAGGCATTGGAGAGCTGATTCCTGTGGATGTTAACCATTTGAACATTTGTAAGCCAAAGAAAAAGGATGCTTTTTTGTACCAGCGTACCTTACAATTCATCCGTGAAACTTTAGCCAAAGACCTTGAAAACTGACAGCTGTCTTCCATTTTCCATGTGAACACAGTGCAAGAACCGTGGTGTCCTCGTTGCCTCTCTCAGCAGCCGCGTGGACAGCGCCGCTCCACGGCGGTGTGGTCCGGAGCCCGCGGCAGACGACGGGTGCTCTGTAAGCACAGACACGCGAGTGGTGGTCAGAGCGCGAAGGGCGAGGCGCCATTCCTTGGCTTTCAGGGGAGTCCATGTGTGCCGGTTTCTGTTTCGTGGTGGTGTCCCCAGTGAGCGAGCTGCTCTGGATGGAGAAGGGCTTTTGTCATCTGTGGCTGCCTGTGACTTAGCTAGAGCACTGATGGCTTCTGAAGGGAGAGTGATCGTCAGCTTACATAAAAATGCCATTTGGAGAAAACCCAGGATGGAGAGGAGAATGAACTAGAACATAAAAGGTTCTGTTTTTGTTCTCGGTTTCCATGTGCTGTAAATTTTTACAAGCGTGTAAGTGTAAACCTTTGTCCAACATGTTGTTAGACCTATTGGCATCCGTGGGTCAGTTCCTTGTAGGTTTTTATTTTCTTATTGCTGAGAACAAATTTTTTAAAACATCCAGCTTATAGTCTTTCAGACTTTAGCTACCTATTCTTGTAATTTTCCCCAGATAAAGTAGCTAATCTATTATTGATCAGTATGAGGTAAAACTGTTTTAAACACTATATATATTAGCAATACTTAGTATCAAGATTCTCAGATTCTCTTTAGACTAAATAAAATGCACCTATCTTTATCATTTGACCTCCAACATGTGAGAAATAGGAAATCATGTTGGTGACTTTTTTAAAAAAAAATAACAGCATTATTGAGCTATAATTCCCCTACCATAAAATTCACACTGTAGAGTTCATTGATTTTTTTTTTTTTTTAGTATTTTTACAGAGTTGAACAATAATCACTGCGATTTAATGTCAGAACATTTTGTCATCCCCCAAATAACGCCATAACCATTAGCAGTCACTCCTTACCATTTTGTCCCTGAGCCCTGGCAAACACTGATCTACTCTGTCTCTATCAATTTGCCAATTTTGGACATTTCATGTTAATGGAATCATACACTACGTGCCTTTCTGTGTCTGGTTTCTTTCTCTTAGCATGTTTTCAAGGTTCATCCATATTTGTAGCATGTGTCAGTACTTCATTCCTTTTCACGTCTGAGTAATATTCCATTGTACGGACAGGCCACATTTATTCATTTAGTCATCAGCTGATGGGCATTTAGGTCTTTTGCGATTTTTTGGCTGTTATGCTGCTCTGACGTCATACACCTACTTTGGTGTGGATGTATGTGTTCCATTCTCTTGGGTATACACTAGAAATGGAATTGTTGGGTCATAGTAATCTTATGTTTGCCACTTTGAAGGTGACGGACTCTTGCAGAATGGAGAGTCAAAGCTAAAACTGGAGCACAGAGTCTGGAGGTGAAGTGGGCTCATGAGTAAGCCCTGTCGACCTCTGATTGTTTCATTACGCAGCAACCTAACAGGCGTCTTAGCTGCTGCACTCATGATGTTAGGTAGGTGCAATGAACGCCACAGTTAGCTAACAACAGAAAGTTAGCGACAGTGAGCGCTGACTGATGGGGTGATACGGGGAGAAGGGGTAGATAGGTCTGGTTTGGTTCATTTTCTTTTTCTGTTTCCTGTGAATGGCGGCAGATAAACCATGGTTGAAATAATTGTTCATTAACTTACTAGTAATGGAATGAAAGCCCACTCCTTAAAATCTCAACATAGCTATTATAGCTGTGCTTAAAAATAAAGTCTGGGGGAGAGATCCAGTGTAGAACTAAATTACTAGAGAGTTTCAGGCAAGTCACGTAACATTTCTTTTTATTCTGCCTATGAAATGGATATAATGTACACAGGGTCAGCACACCAGTTTTGTGAGATTTAAGTCAATGTTTTTAAAATAATCATTACCTGAAAAACACATTTAAGAACATGAAGTATGAAGATAACATGCACCTGGAATAGTTTTAAACTTAGACCAGCAATAAAATGGTTCTCCAAGTTTAATGAGCTCTGTTTAAATATCCTTTCTGGAAAACACTTTAAATGAGGCTTCATATCTTGTGAAAAGTCACTTTACTTCCTTTTTAAACAAGATCAATTTAAACAAAATACAGGTGTCACAAAACAAGCTACTGGAAGCAAGCTGTAAATAAAGCTAGAATGAAAATGAAAAGCCAGTTACCCCTACTTGTACCTGATCTGTTTCTTTATCACATGTCCCCCAGACCTACTGGGTCACATTGTTCACCCTAAATTTCCAGTGCACCGAGTCCTGTTTACCCCAGTGTTTAAGTTAAATGTCACTAGAGAAAGAGTCAGAGGACTGCAATACCTTTCTCGACAGCATCTCAACCATTCGCCCACGGTTATGCCGACAACCGGAATACGGTGGAGGGTGCAGGCCTCTGCTCGGCGAGAGTGCCTACGGGTGGTGGGCCCGGCCTGTACTTCCTGTTGAGAAAACAGTAATACAGTGATGTGTATACTTCTTTTGAGCCTGGTTTAAAATTCACAGTGTCCCTCAAATTCTAATTCCTGAAATTGGAGTTTTAGGCATAGCTTCCTGAATTTTTATCCGTTTGTAATGTCAAATACATTGTATGATTTTGTTTTTATTGACATTTTGTACAAAAATTATGTCCATGAAAAAAATTTAAAATGTTCAATAAATGTCACTTTCAAGTACTGACTGCAGCTGATTGTGCCCTTTTGTCGGATGTTGAATAACTCCCAGTAGCTAATCATTTAAAATCTGGTAGAAATTTGCTTTATGAAAAGTGGCATTTTATTATGAATGACCTTAATAGAGCAGAAGACATACATCAGTTTAGTATCTAAGAAATTTTCAAATTTAAAACAAGCCGCTTTTATAAAAATTCCAGTTCTTAATCTCCTCTCAGCTTGGCCTTGGAGTTTAGGAACAGCACCGTGGAGTTCAACATCTGATGCCTGAGCTTGGAAGCACTAAGCTTCCTGGAGACTTTACTTTGTAGTTCAATAAAGAGTTCATTTCTGGATTGTAAAACTAGATTGTAGATTGTAATTTATAATGCAAGTCAAATAGGCACTGATTCCTAGGACCGTGAGAGCGCCTGGATGTGAAGGCATTCCCCGAGCATAAATGGTTTTTGTCACACATCTATCATTCCGATTTCAGACTATCTTGATATCTGGGATTACTAGGTTAAAACATTTTAAACAGTTCTGGTCCCAGATGGTGACATAGGGGTTCCTGAATTCACCTGCTCCCGTGGATGCCGGATGTTCACTGCACGTGGATCGGTTCCCTCCGAAAGGAATTCAGACACTAGCTGAGCAACTCCATGCTAAATGAATGAGAAAATGCCCAGATGAAAACAGGAAAGGCTGAGACACAGTTTCACCATAAACCCACCCCCGGCACAGGGAGAGGCCACTGGCGGGGCACACAGCTGTTTCCCCCTGAGGAAAGGAGCATTTGAACCCAACATCCAGCGCCCCACCCAAGACTCCCGCCCAAAGTAGGGCCCCAAAGCTCTGAAAGCCAACGGCGCTTGTGCCCATGAGGCCCACAGGAGTACAGCAAAGAAAGGAGCAGTTCTTACTGGGCGTGCAAGGACTCACCATGGCTGTCTCCCCAGCGCTCAGTGCAGGTGCAGCAGAGAAGGGCCCATCTCCCAGGCCTTCCCTGAAGGAGGCCTATTGACATAGAGTGAAAGCTGCCTCCCCTGGGGGCCAGGCTTCTGATGTAGCACACATCTACCTGGAGGGCCACTGTGGTCCTCTCCGGAGACTGGTGAGACCAGTGGGTGCCACCTCTGCCTTCTCCCTCTCACCCACTCCTGGTCACTGGTATCTCCCTGGAAGGAGACTACACATGTCTGTCTGGGTCCCCAGCTTTTGGGACTGCTGCCCAGGGAATGCACCCCTTGATCGCCAGGCTCTAGTGGCCAGTGACAGCTGTGTTTTTGGGTCCCACAGGACTTTAGCAAACAGTTCTGCGGAGGAGGCAGGCAAAAACATTCATCTCCCAGGCTTTCCGTGCAAGAGATCTACTTGCGTACTTTCAGAGCTGCTCCCTGAGGATCCAGCTTCCAATCAGCCTGCGCCTGGGTGCTGACAGAGATCCTGCGTCCTGGAGCACGGACAGGTCTTGGCGGACTCTCAACTGCTGGGAGCCACCGAGAACAAAAAAGGTGGCTTGGACAATCATGGAGATTTGAGAGACAACCAAAAGCTCAGTGGGCCAAGTGACAAGGTTTACCTCCTGCACGAGACCACTTAAGACGGAGAAGTGGCTGTTTTATCTAATGCACAGAAACTAACACACAGAGTCTTGGACAGGGGAAAAAAAGACTGGAATATGTTCCAAACAAAGATACAAGAAAACTTCAGAAACAGACATTAATGAACTAGAGATACAAGATATTTGCCTGCTAAAGAGTTCAAAATAATAAAGATGCTCACCAAAGTTAGGAGAATAATGCATAAACAAAGTGAGAATTTCAACAAAGACATTGAAAATATAAGTACTAAACAGAAATCACAGAGATGAATACAATAACTGAATGGAAGTATCCAATAGAAGGGTTCAAATGGCAGACTAGACCATGTTAAAGAAAGGATCTGCAAAGTCTAATTGGATGAATTGGAATTCATCCAATTAGAACAGCAAAAAGAAAAAGAATAAAAAAGTAAATATAGCATAAGGGACTTAGGGGATACCATCCAGCCAACCAGTATTTGTATTATAGAGGTCTCAGAAGGAAAAGAGAACCGAATAAAAAGCTTATTCAAAGTAATGATGGCTGAAATACTTCCTAACTAGGAAGCCCAAAGAATTCCAGACAAGATTAATTCAAAGAGAGCCACACTTAGACACATTCTAATTAAATTGTTAAAATTAAAGGCAAGGAGAGAATCTTAACAGCAGCAAAAGAAAAACAACTTATTATGCACAAGGAAAACTATATAAAACTAGGGGCAGATTTTTAAGCAGAAATTTTGTAGGCCAGAAGGGAGAGGTACAATATATTCAAAATGCTGAAAGGAAAAAAAAAAAAGCCAACCAAGAATATTTTTCCTGGCAAAGCTGTTTTTCAGAATTGAAGAGAGAAAGAATTTTCCAGACAAGCAAAAGCTGAGAGTTCATCACCACTAGACCAGCCTTACAAGAAATGTTAAAGGGAATTCTTCAAGCTGAAACAAAAGGATGGTAGTAACAGGAAACATGAAAGTATAAATCTCACTGGGGAAGGTAAATATATAGTTAAAGTCAGAATAATGTTGTAATAGTGGTACACAATTCACAAGTCTAGTATAAAGGTTAAAAGACAAAAGTAGTAAAGATAACTATAGACAAGATCCAAGATGGCAGAGGAGTAAGTGGAAGCTACATTAACCTTCTTCCAGGACCAATCTGGAATTACAACTAAATTGTAGAGAAATCATCCACAATAACCGACTGAACAGTAGCTGCAGAGAAGCCTAATAATCACAGACAGAAGAAACCACCACAACGTGACTGGTAGGGAGCGTGGTGGAGAAGATGCGAGAGGGCTGGCTGGGCTCCCACAGGTGGAAGCTGAAGTGCCGGAGGGATTATTTCAGTGGCTGGGGGTTCCCCCTGAAAAGTGTGGGATATAAAGCCCAAACTGGGCTCCCTAGCCTATAGCACCAGAGCTGGAAAGGAACCCAGATAACATCCAGCTGTGAAAAGCAACAGGGGTTCTGTCTGCCAAAGAGACAGCTGGAAATGCAGAGAGCCTCTTAAATGACCAAAGCACAAAATTTCATTTGCAACCACTTACCCTGGACTCTGGCAGAGGGAGGGCAGAGTAGACTTTAGATGCTTGAGGCGAGTGTGGAGATGGTGGCTGTGGGGAGAGAACTGAAGGGACAGCTACCAGGAACCCTTTACTGAGTCATTCTCCATACTGCAGAAGCCATCTATCTCAGGCAGACCACTCCTCCCCAGGTGGCATCAGCCTGAGGGGAAGCAATAGCCCTGCCCACAGGAATTACTCTACTCCACCTTGTGGTGCTTAAGCCAGGCTGCTGATTACAACTTGATTAGATTAATGGCCAATTGGCTTAATGGCTGATTATTTTAACATCTAAGGCCAGAAATGCAAAGCAGCAGCCAAAATGGGAAGACAAAGAAAGAGACCCCAAATGAAAGAACAAGAGAATTCTCCAGAAGAAGAGCTAGGTGAAATGGAGACAAGCAATTTATCAGATAGAAAGTTTAGAGTAATGATTATAAGGATACTCAACAGCATGAAAAAAGACATAGAAACCATAAAAAAGGACCAGTCAGAAATAAAGAATGTAATATCTGAGATAAATAATACACTGAAAGGAATAAACAGTAGGTTAGATAAAGCAGAGGACAGAATCAGTGTTTTGGAAGACAAGGTAGAAAAAACACCCAGGGAGAGCAAAAATAAAAAAATTTTAAAAAATGAGGGGAGCGAAAGAAACACTTTGGACAATATAAAACGTAACAATATCTGCATCATGGGAATACCAGAAGGAGAAAAGAGTAAGCATGGGCTCGAGAACCTATTTGAAGAAAAAATGACTGAAAACTTCCCTAATCTGGTGAAGGAAAAAGTCACACAAGTCCAGGAAACTCAGAGAGTTCCAAACAAGTTAGACACAAAGAGGCCCACACCGAGATACATCATAATTAAAATGACAAGTCTTAAAGAAAAGGAGAGAATCCTAAAAGCCTCAAGAGAAAAGCAGGAATTACCTACAAGGGAACACTAATTAGATTGGCATCTGATTACTCAGCAGAAACACTTCAGGCCAGAAGGGAATGGTGTGAAATATTAAAGGGGATGAAAAGCAAGGACCTACAACCAAGGCTACTTTACCCAGCAAGGCTATCATTTAAAATAGGAGAAATAAGGCACTTCCCAGACAAGAAAGAGCTAAAGGAGTTTGTTAACACCAAGCCAGTACTGCAACAAATGTTAAAGAGCTTGCTTCAAAAAGAAGAAGAAGAAAAAAAAAAACAACCCAGAGAAAACAATCTAACAATAAAATGGCACTATATTTGCAAATGACACATAAAAATCCTAAAGACTCTATCAGAAAACTTTTAAGAATAAAATCAATAAATTTGCAGAAAACAAAATCAGTATACAAAAATCAGATGTATTTCTATGTATTTCAGGAAAAAAAATTAAGAAAAACAATCCCACTTGTAATTGCATAAAAAAGAATAAAATACCTGGGAATAAATTTAACCAAGGAGGTGGAAGATTTGTACAATGAAAACTATAAGACACTTATGAAAGAAACTGAAGATACAAATAAATGGAAAAATATTCCATGTTCATGGGTTGGAAGGATTAATATTGTTAAACTGTCCATACACCCAAAGCAGTCTATAGATTCATTGCAGTTTCTATCAAAATTCCAATGGCATCTTTCTCATACACAGAACAAACAATCCTAAAATTTGTATGAAACCACAAAATACTCTGAACAGTCAAAAGAATCTTGAGAAAGAGAAACAAAACTAGAGCCATTCCCCTCCTTGACTTCAAACTGTATTGAAAAGCTCTAATAATCAAAACAGTGTGGTACTGACTTAAACACTGACAATAGATCAATGGAACAGAATAGAAGGCCCAAAAAATAAACCCATGCATATGGTCAATTAATTTATGGCAAAGGAGTCAAGAATATACAATGGAGAAAGGACAATTTCTTCAGTAAAAGTTGTTAGGGAAACTGGCCAGACACATGAAAGAAAGAGAAGAAAAAAATTTAAAAAAAGAAAAAAGAAACTGGACCACTAACAATACACAAAAAATAACTCAAAAGAGATTAAAGACTTGAATATAAGACTTGAAGCTATAAAACTCCTAGAAGGGAATAGAGGGGGTAAGTTTCTTGACATTGGTCTTGCCAATGACTTTTGGATTTGACATCACAAGCGAAGACAACAAAGAAAAAACTAAACAGTTAGGACTACATCAAACTTAAAAGCTTCTGCACAGCAAAGGAGACCAACAAAAAGAAAAGGCCTTCTACTGAATGGGAGAAAATACTTGCAAATCATATATCTGATAAGGGGTTAGTATGCAGAAGATAGAAAAATCTCACACAACTTAATACCAAAAATCAAACAATCTGATTAAAAAAGGGGCAGAGGAACTGAAGGGAGAATTTTTTTTTTTCCAGAGAAGACATACAAATGTCCATCAGGTACATGAAATGGTACTCAATGCCACTAATCAAGGAAATTCAAATCAAAACTACCCTGAGATATCATCTCATCCTCTCACATCTGTTAGAACGCCTATCATAAAAAAGGCAAGAGACAAGTGCTGGCGAAGATGCAGAGAAACGGGAGCCCGTGTGCCCTGCTGGTGACTGTACACTGGTTCAGCCACTATGGAAAACAGTACAGAGGTTACTTAAACAATTAAAAATAAAACTACCATATGACCCAGCAATTCCACTCCTGGGTGTACATCCAAATGAAATGAAAGCAGGACAGTGAAGAAATGCCTGTGCTCCCATGTTCATTGCGGCATTATTCACAACAGCCAAGACAGGGGAACAACGGAAGTGAGCATCGACAGATGTATGGATAATGACGATGTGGGGTATGTACCATGGAGTGTTATTCAGCCCCAAGAAGGAAGGAAATCCTGCTGTTGTGACAACATGGAGGGACCTTGAAGGCATTAGGGTTAAGTGAAATAAACCGCACAGAGAAAGCCAAATATTGCATGGTGTCACGTGTGTGTGGGATTAAAAAAAAAAAGTCAAAGTCATAGTAGAAAATTGGTTTCCTGGGGGTGGCAGAATGAGGAGAAGCTGGCAAAAGGGTACAAACTTCCAGCAACAAGATGAACAGGTTTTGAGGATCGACCACTGTAGTCGATGACACAGTGTGTAAGCTGAAATTTGCTGAGAGTAAAACTTAAATGTTCTCACCAAAAAAGACAAATATGTGAGGTGATGGGTGTGCTAATCCACTAGATAGGAATCCTTTCACAATGTATACATATATCAAATCACCACGATATGCACTTTAAATAACAGTTTTAGGTCAGCTGAAAGAGAGGAAGGGAAAGACTGAGAAACACCGATGTGAGAGAGAAACATTGATCAGTTGCCTTCTCATACGCGCCCTGACCAGGGATCGAACCCATGACCCTTTAGTTCACAGGATAACACTTCAACAGAGCTATACCAGCCAGGACTAGGTTTTATTTTTTAAAATGGAGCTTGATGAATTGATTCTAAAATTTCTATAGAATTACAGAGGGTCAAGAATAGCCAAGATACTCTAAAGAAAACGGTAGGAGGGTTTGCTTGACCGGGTATCAAAGTCCAGTGAAACAAGACAGTGTAGCATTGGCGCAGGGGTCGGCAGGTAGATGAGCAGCACAGAGCAGAGAGCCCAGGGGCAGGAATTCTGAGACGGCACAGTGGGAGCTCAGGAGAACCTCCCCGAGACAGGCTTACACCGGTCAAGGTCAGCAAGGGCAACCAAACAGGTAGAGGTTCATCGAAAGACAGCAAACTGAGAAGCACTGGCTTAACAAAATCTAGGGAATCTTGGTAAGAATGGGGAAGGCCATGGCAACAGAGCTGGAACTTGAGCCTGCGGCAACCTCTGCACACACCTGCCTGGCAGAAGGGCCTGTGCCACTGGGTGCCGCGGAGCCGACGTACCGAACCTCTCACACATGTTCCCATACCCTGGCACTAAAAACAGTTGTGTTCTGTATGGATGAAATCACTTCAAAAGTCAATCCTGCATTTGACCACACAGCAAGCCTTAACAAAATTTGAAACGTAGATGGTTATATAGGCCATAGTCTCAGTTCATAATCCAATAAAATAAAGCGTTAACAATTTTAAAACACTCAACAAACCCTTAATTCCTGGAAAGTCATGCAGTCTCCCCTGGATCAAAGGGAAAATAAAAGTTACAAGCTAGAAATTAATGAAAAGGAGAGCATTTCATGCCAAAATTGTAAGGTGTAGTTAGAGCTATAATCAGGGGGAAACATGTAACTTTATATGTCTTTATAAAATAAGGACTAAAAATAATGGAACCCAGAAATGATGGCACCTAGTGCTCCTTTCCCCCCTCACCTGAGGACAGTTTTTCATTGCTGAGAGAGAGAGACAGACAGAGAGAGAGAGAGAGAGAGAGGAAAACATTGATGTGAGAGACAAACATCAATTGGTCGCCTCCCATACGTGCCTTGACCGGGGATCGAACCTGTAACCCAGACATGTGCCCTGACCAGAGCGCGAATTGGCGACCTTTCGGTGTACAGGACAATGCTCCAACCGAGGCACACCAGCCAGGGCCCTAGCGCTGTTTTTAATTAAGAAATTAGAAAAAAGGAAAAAATTAAAATAAAAAAAGTGCAAATTAAACAAGTTGAAGTTAATGAAAAATGTTTTTAAGGCTGACAATTTTTTTTTTAAAGCAATGGAAAGGATAAATTCTAGTATTTCAAAATGTTGATAAAATTGAGTCACCCATTGAGAAACCTAATTTAAAAAGCGAGAGCAATAGTTTGTTGTTTAATAAATGGTATGGTATAACTATCCCTCAGGAAAATGATATTAGGCCCCCTACCTCACACTATTTACAAACTATATTTCAGGTGCTTTGAAGAGTTTCTATTAGCCTAGGCAAAGCATGTAACCTTAACCACTATAACACAGAGATTTAAGTATGTGTTACCCACTACTTTTATTATCTATAGACTAAAATCCTCAACTATCATTTAAGGTCCTCTGAAGTTCTTTCCCATCAGTTAACTTCCTTTCCAGGTATGTAAGTTCACTCTGCTACTTGTCAAATTCTTAATCCTCTCCCCTCAAATCTTCCCTGCCCAGCCATTCACAACCACTCATTTGTGCTCTGCTACCTCACGGAGTTACAGGTGAATCCACAGACACAAACAGTGGGCCTTGTAAAACAGTGAGTTTCAGACCTCTTTCCCCCACCTTGGACAGGAAGGTACTGTAACCAGCTGTTTCCTCCCTCTCCAACCAAGTCCCAGCGCTGTGCGTTCAGGTTAAAGGACTTCTGAATGGTACTTACTGGTCAGGAAGGACTAGCCACCTTTATTATTTCAAGATTGTCATTATATTCTCATTCCTGAAAATCATCAGAGAACAATTATAATACTTATTCTGTGTGTAAATTAGCTAGAAACAAACCTAGACAAAACTTGAAGATTGTTTACTCTCTTCTCCTGCCTCTATTCAGTAATTGATGTTCTCAAACCAATCTAGCAGTCTAAGATTATATAAACTTGCTGTAAGATCCTATAGAAGATGAATTCTAACCTCTCTCACATTTTATAGATATTGTAGCATAAAGTTATTATATATGTTATCAGAGTGGTCCCTACTGGCAGTATTCAAGTCATAAATCCTTAATCAAATTATGTTTTTTTCAACTTTGTCTGATGGTTGAAGAAAGAATCAAAAATGAAAATTCAGACAGAGGAGTAACTAGTAGTCACATTTCATCCAGAACAGAAGGCTAGCCAAAAAAGATGTCCCAAGTGCTCATGATATCTAAAAAGAAATAAACCAAATTTTTAAAAAACCATTTAATAAGTTGTTTTTGTTTTTGTTTTTTTTTTTACAATTTCAGTACAAACTAACACTTCAAATAAACATTACAGGGTTTTTAGTAATTGCCAAGTCAGTCAATAAATAATTTTTGCAGTTCCTCTTTCTGATGAAATCACTTTGTTACAAAGAGAATGTTTTAATACATTACTTTGCTTATACACATCAGAATTTTATGAAGTGTTTTGAATTTCAACAACTTGAAAACTTTTACAGGAATTGCTTAGGCAGATGTTCTATTTTCAATCATTTACAGGAACACATTTTAAAAATAGGCAAGAAGTTGGAGAAAATGTTGTAAAAGGGAATATAGTAACTGGAGTGATAGAGATGATGTAGAATCGTAAAGTACTGTGCTTCTAACACTGCAGTGAACTGAAATGTCTTATAGAAAAGTAATGAAACAAACTACAAAGTCACAAGAAAAAGCCCTGTGTGGGGGCATCAAAGAAAAAAAATACAAAAACCACAGAATGAAATCCCCAGGGTGGCAGCTGCTCATGGCTGAGATTATTCGACGGGCTGCTACTAACCTAGGAAACCCACCATCTAGTGGGCATGGACTTATAACTAAGGCAATTCCAATCGTCTTTTTTTTTTCCTAAAGAGAACATTGGTGTGAGAACCTTATGTCAACTCTACGTGCTGTTCACTAACCTTGAACACCCATGATCACATAATATTTGTTCAATTCTTCATATTAAACTACTTGTCATTTGTCTTGTGACCTGTCTCCCGAGGTCAACACAGTTCTGTGCGTTGCTACTCACTGTCAGATTCTTAAGTGCCACTCGTGTGATGGGGACCTAGCTTAACTGAAATTCTGTTCTCTGTACCGTTACTGGCTGTTGGCTTTCGGGAACAAAGCAGCCGAGAATTGGGCCTGTTCCCAGCACTGCAAGCAACTGTCGTGGTTCCGACTTGCCCCTGCTTTTGTGACTGCTTGTCACGTTTTTGCTTTCAAATTCACCTTCCTTTTGGTGGGGAGGAAAGGTTATAGAGAAGAGCGCATTTCAATTAAGAAATCTTCTCTTCCAACGTCCAATCGTACCCTCAGAACGCTGGCCAATCACTGAGCTGCTCCAAGCCCATTGCTCATCTTGCTTTTGTTCTCCTTCTAATGCTTTCAAGGGTTATGTTTGTTCATTGGCTTTGGTTAGAGAGGCAAAAATGACATCGATAATGCATTTATTACAGAAGGTATCCTAATCACCTGGGGCCAGGTCAACTCTCGGATTCTCTGTTTCTCTCGATGGGTCATCGATACCTTTTCCTTTGACCAGTTTTCAGGTGATCAGTTTGTGGCGGCTTTATTGTCTTGAGTGCCAGATTTAAGTAATCTGCAGTGAGTCTTGAGAGTGAGTGGCAATGAGAGGATCCGAAAACCGAGGCCTGAGCAGCGGAACGAGCGCGACACCCCCGGCAAGATGATCGCCGCTGCCCTGGCAGCAGCGCCGGGTGCAGGGGGCCCCTGGTCACGGCAGGGGTGACAGCGTCACGTGACACTGAGATTTTGCCACTTAGATACTTAATAGCAGAAATATGATATCTGCTCCACATACTCTAGACCTTATAACATTATTTTTAAAATGGAGAACAGCATGGTGTCATTTTTTAAAAGGATTTAACAGGCGAGAAGTGGCGTTGGAGACACACAGAAAAAACCTAGGTAAAAGATAAACCTAACAAACATATATAGATAAGCAAACCCAGGAATGCTTGTCCTGGGCTTTTTATACTAAAGGGACATGTGGTACTTTCCTTCCTGAAGCTGCAGCCAGGCAGACCAGGCTAAAGCAAATATTCATCGTATTATAGCAATGAGGCTCAGTATTAGTGCCGGCGTGAGTGTTCACGTTTGTGCTTTTACCAGGTACACAGTATAAGGGATGAAAAGAATTCACAAGGTTTCCTCTCGAAGGGGACGGGGAGCGTGTGAAAACAGGCTGGAGTGCCGCCCCAGGGCACGCAACGGCACCAGGCTATGGGGCGCGCATGTCTGAGGCGGGACGCAAAGTCTTGAACTGGTTTAAGGTCAGGTTAAGCTAATGGTACAGGCTCCACAACCCAAACAGTGTAGGCAGCATCTCCCGCATGACCAAGGTTAGTCCACACGTATGGAAGTAAACACGAGGGCTCACACAGGGAATGGACGGCCCGGTCGTTTGGTTGACCTATTTGCTGCTTCTCTGATTTTTTTCAATCTGGTGTCGGCAGGCCAGGTACAGCTCTTCATGGTCCCAACAACCTTCCAGTGTGATCCTTACTTTATGCAGCAACCTCCAGGTGGGGCACCGAAAAACTATTCAAATCTGTGAAGTGCAAACAAAATTAAAAAGCCCCACGTACACACATAAATTGAACGACCATTTAAAATTCGATGGGAGAGAACGTCTCAGGCATCCTCGGCTAGTTCCCCTTTCTAAAATCCACACACTGGCTCTAAGGCGCGGCTTCCCACACCCCGAGCGGGAACCTGAAACGCACAAGTCCGGACTAAAACCTTTCTCGGTGGCTGAATCCTCATCTTGCTGGATGTGAGACAGGATTTTGGTGCACTGCACGACAGCGACAGCAGTGCGGATGTCTTCTCAGTGTGCCTTTAAGTAGGTGTCACTTTTGACCGGGACGGGGCAGAGGCCAAGGGGCTTGTCTCTGACCAGCAATGCCTAAGGGAAGACGGTCCACCTTCCCCAGGGCGCTGCCCACGGCTCCCGCTCAGGTTTTCGCCAGCGGGTCAAACACCTCCAGCACTGTCCTCTTGTCCTTGTCGCTGACTGTCGTCCAGGGACCGAGGTCTTTTTGCCTGTGCTCTGGTGGCGGCGGCTCCTCAGCAGCTGGGTGGCCGACTTGCAGTGGGGCTGTGTGTGCCCTTCCGAGGTTCCTGGTCCCCGAATCCAGGGGATCAGAGCTCTTGGAGAGCCAGGTGTTATTCAACAGGTTAGGGTGGTGGAGGAGGCTCCAGAAGGGGTCCTGACAATCCCCGAGGAGGGAGGCCGCCTCTGGCTTTGGCTCCTTGGGGCCATCGGCCTCGGGGCTTGCAGCCGACGAAGGGCCCAGAAAAGCTGGCGGTGGAAAGAGCGCGGCCTGGTCGGGCCCGTCGCTGCCGAGGCCCCGGAGGAGCTGGCCATGCGTCTGCAGAACCTGCAGGTGGAAGGCTGCGGGGGCAGACTTCTTCCTCCTCGGGGGCGCCTGGGGTGCGAGGGGAGGGACCTCCAGAAGGGGCGGCTCAGCCACCGCAGGCACCCCGTCCGCCACTGGCTTTCCAGCACCGGGCTTCCTCTCGGCACCTTTCCCAGGCTGCATTGTCCTCGGTTTGGGAACAGGAGGGGTGGCCACGAGAGGAGGGGTTTCAAGGCTTGTTTCTGGGGGCCCGATTGTGAAATGGACCATCTGCTGCCCCGGTGGCTCTTCTGGTGACATGGGCTGAGAAAAGGCACAACACAGAGTGTGAGTAGCCAGCGTGGGGGAGGTGGGAACCAGCACTCAGACAGCGTCAGCCAGGAGCAGAGAGGGGTAAGCGGAACATTCTAGCAAATTTGGAATTTGAGAATGTCTGGGATGCAACCAGGTACGAAAGAACACAGCAGAAACACACACATTTACTGAGTCGTACCAGCAGGTCCAAAGGAATGCGAGCGGAAACTTGAAAACCAGGGCCACAGTGAACAATCTGAGACAAGTTTTCCGTTGTTACCTTAGGAAATGGGGTCATATGCTCTCCTTACAAAAAGCAAACCGCTCTGCATCTCCCCATTGGAGGCCACGGCTTTAACGACTCACACAGAAGTCGCTGACTGTATTCTGCCATGTGTAACGCGCATCCTCGCTTTTGGCCCAAACTTTCAGGAAAGAGATCTTTCGTTTTGACTTTTTAAATCAATTATTTATTTATTTATTTATTTATTTATTTATATTTAGATACTTGCTTTTTGATTATAAAGGAATATTAGCATGTATTTTGAACATATGGTACAAGAAATTTTATGTAACAAGTAATTACAAACACAGATACAAGGTGTTTCAGGTACCACTCATGTATAATGCGCATCCTTATTTTTCCCCTCAAAAATTTGGGCAAAAAAAGTGTGTATTATACAAGGCAAAATACAGTATGTTCCAGTATTAGGCTAAGTAGAGGATTAATAGATACCCTTGCTCCTTGAATCTTGGTATTTACATATAGGAGAATGGAAAATTTTACATAGACATGTTACTTCCTTGGTTCTAATTCAAAACCATCCCAAAGACAAAAACGGCTCAGTGCTGAGGTGGCTTTTATACGAAAATGGCTACCATGTAACAGCTTCGGCCTGAAAGTGTTTCCTCTGGTTCTTTAGAAAATAAACAGCAAACGGGCCCTTTCTCCAGCAGCCTCCGCCTGCCACTCCTGGGCAGCGGGCTGGGAAAATGAATCGGTTTCTGCCCCTGGCTTTTAAGAGAAAGGACAAAGTGAGTACAGAGGAAAAGGAGGGAAGTGACAGATACAAGGAGCCACAGTGGACAGAGAAGACAGCAGGTCGATGTGGGCGCGGCGCCCAGGCCGCAGCTCACACGCCCACCGGTGGCAAAGCGGCACTCATCTGTCGTGACCAGCCAGGGTTACCGAGTGTCCGGCACCAGAACACTGAGGTCAAACGGAAGATCCAGATGCCTCTAGAGGTGCCAGTCTCTGGGCCGCTACTGTCCTGACAAACTCATGTCTCTGAAGCAGCAAGCAAGGCTGAGAAGCTTGAGAGCGAGAGCAGAACACAATCTGCAAGAAAAGTTGTGGCGAGAGAAGCTGTGGACCCCCGGCGTCTGAGGCCCACGCTGCTCAGCTACGAGCTGGTTATTGCTCTCCTCATGCAAACAAAACCTGTCCACGTGGAACTGCGCGCAACACACACACACGTGCGTGCGGCTAGAACCCTTGGCCTCAGGCATCCTCGGGATGTACAGAAAGTGTGATACCTCTGAGCCGTTCCTGCAGGGGCAAAGCATCCCTGGTTTTCCTGCTCCGCTAGAGCCAGGGATACGGAGAAGCAACTGCCAAGCATTCTCAAGGGTCGGGCCCTGTCAGGGGCCCGTGAATGTTTACGGAGAGACAAGCTCAACAGAGGTGTGACTCTTCATCTAACAAGCAGTAAGAGGCTAGTGTTACCAGTTCTTACCTTCCCGGTCCTCCTCAGGGTTGGCTTCTTGATGGCAGGGACTCTGGGCGCCGGCCGACGGGGCAGCAGCGGGGCCCCCCCTGCTGTGGGCTCAGGTTTGGAGGGCCCTTGCTCGCTCAGGGCCATGGCATTTAGGGCTTCTCCTGGGGTGCCTGAAACACACAAGCACATGGTGGAAGAGTAATGGACAAGGCCATTTGCTGTGTGATGTAACACTTAGGTTGGCTATAGTCTGAGGAAAACCCACTAATGTGGTGTATTTTCTTATTTCTTAAAAAAAAAAAAAAAAAGACATTTGAGGGTTGTCAGGACAACCAGCTAGGTTTGGCCCCCAGCTTCTCACGCTCACCCTCCCCACAGGGACGGTGAGCCGGGTCTGTGGGTGGGCTTGGTGGGGATCGGCGGCGCCCTGACCATCACACACAAAGGTTTACGTGTGTGTGATTCTCATGAGAGACGATCTAAAATGCCTCAAAGTCTCAGCAGGGCCCACGACCAAGGGAAGGTTAAGTTCAGACTCCGGGTAGATTTCACACCTCAAACTTCTCACCTCTACATCCACAGACTTTGTAAAAATGGCAATATGATTCATATACCATAAAATATACCCTTTTAAAGATTACAGTGAGTGGTTTTTCGTGTGTCCACACCAGGTCTTATTCCAGAACGTCTTCATCACCCCAGCAGGCCGCCATGCACACCCTCAGCGCCCCTTCCCCGGCCCTCCTCTCTCCAGCCCCTGGGGACACTGTAGCCTCCTGTCTCTGCAGATTTGCCTATTCCTTATACTTCCTACGAGTGAGTGTGTGTGTGTGTGTACGTGTACACACAACATACTATTTTCAAGATAGTCACCCACAGCATAGCACGTGTTCACACTCTGTTCTTTTTTTATGGCTGAATAATATTCTACTGTATGGCCACATCATATTTTAGCCATTCATCAGTTGATGGACATTTCAGTGCTTACATACAAATTGTAGTTATATTTTAAAATAATATTTTAAAATAAATTTAAATAAAAAGGAATCCACTTGTGACGCTATTATCCTGCAACAGTGCTCTCTACCCTTTTTACTGATGCCCTCCTCCACTGTTAGGAGAAAATTCCAAATCGGTTCAATATCCTAACTCAACACAAATCAGGCAAGTGGAATCGCATGTGGCTTTTCGGGGGGCACGGTTTCTCCTTCCCAAAATCCAAACACGCTAGTTACCAGTGACTCTGCGTGCAGGAAGGAGATTCCAAGGTAAAATATTATTAATGCGGGTTAAGTGAAGTAGCAGCAACTGACAGGCAGCGGGCCGGACGGCAAAGCACCGGCAGCTGCTGGTGGTTTACAAAGTGGGTTTTATGTCTCAAACACGGATGTATTCCCAACTATCTCTTCTTAAAGCAGAGTGAGTGAGTGCCTGGAGTGCTAACCTTTCCTAAAGTTTGTTTTTGTTTATTTCAATCTCTGCCTTAAAGGCTGCTTAATAATCCTGGGGTTCTTTTTATATACATACTGAATTTTAAATGTATAACTCTCGATGGACAATACATTTAAGTAGTGGACTTTTACAAAACGTTGCTAACGGGTGCTTTCATTTAATACTGCCTTGAGGAAAAAAAAAGTTATTTTCTCTCCTCAAAGCCTTTTAGTAGGAAGATGAAAAGAAAAGGAACATCGGTTTTTCTCCTTTGGGAGGAGAGCGCAGGGACACCTACCTCCTCTGGCTTCCAGGAGACATCGGATTGCTGCTTCCGCCTCCTGGGCGTTGGTGGTTTTGATCTGCTTGACATTGTAAGGCTTACTTATCCCAGTCCTAGCTTTGGGCTTGAGGACAGAACGAAGAAGAGAAGCATATTACTGCAGGCAGGAAAATAGCCTCACCTGGCTGGCTCACTGCCTACTGATGTGTAGCCAGCAGTTCCATCAAATGGTGATGAAAACACAGTCCTGTTGAAGCCGCCCCTCAAGCCTCTTTTCCCCCAGGAAAACCCACGTTCCAAGAAGAGGAACAGTAGTATCTAGAGTAGAGGACCTTTGTCTCCCAAGGCGGGTGGTTTCCAGCTTTTGGAACATGGACAAACCATTCGCTAACTTTATTTCAAGAACCAGGAAACAGCCAGAGAACACATCAAATGCAGCCCAGCTGAGTTATGAAAACACCTTCCAGATGTTCACTTGAACGTGCTTTTTACACCCCTTCACCCAAACCTCTGGGTCCTCCGCTTTGATGACCTGCCTTCATTCTTGTAAACCACAGACTGTCAACCACTGCGGCTGCGGCCGAGCGACCCCCTGGCCGGCTCCCTGCCCCCTCCCGGGCCACGCTAGCATCCACCCGGCCCTCAGCTTGTCCTGCCTCACTTCAACCCCACCGACCTTCACTGCAGCCTCACAGCTCAGTGCCGTCCTCTGCCCTACAAAGCGTATTATTACTAGTGCCCTATGGTGTCACTGAGGCCCATTAGATGCCTTTTTAAGCCTCATCTCTCAGCTCACTTTATTCCAGAATGGTCACAGTTTTGCCCAGGCAATGGCTCTAAATTCCTCCTGTTTTCCCTTCTACCAAGCACTGCTCTATGCACCAAGGTCAAAGCCAGGCTCCGGAAGAGAGAGAAGCAGGTGAGTCTGGACACTAACAATCCTGTTCCTGCCATGCAGGGACACTCGGATTTCTCACCAATGTGATTTCTCTCCAATGCCCTGCACGACCATGTAAAAACCCATAAAAGATCTGCTACTAAGTTAAAGGATTTGGGGGCGAGTTGGTGGCCAGGCAGAGTGTTAAAGAGACAGCAATCTACATATTTGCCGAAAAGGGCCAATCCCCCGCGATCTTGGGGCTGTGGACGAACCGCGGGGCCGAGCACAGAAGAGAGCGCTCACCGCTTGCTGAGGCGCTCCCGGCAGCAGCTTTGCCGTCTGTAAAATCGAATACTGCCCCTGGGTGCCCGAGGAGAGGGAGGCGTCCGAGGCCGACTTCTTCACCATGAAACCCGCTGTAAAAAGCAACGAGGACAGGCTCCATCTCAGTGGTGTTGCCGGCTCCTTCCCGGCAGACTCCCAGCCAGCTGAGAGCGAGGCAGGCCAGATGGGCAGCAGGCGTGGCGGCCCAGATGCCGGGGGCAGCCGGCGTCTGAGCAGCCCGGGGCCCTGGGGCAGCCACGGGGCTCCTGAGTGTTCCTGATTCTCTAACAGCTTCTTCCTGTTAGTGTAGATTCTCGGAAAAGCATTATTTCTTTTTCTTGTTTTCTAAATTTAATCTTTATTGTATTTTTTTTTCCATTACCATTTAGTCTTGGAAAAGCATTCTTTCAATGTAAATGTTAATCTAATATCCTGGGGCATTCCATTGGATATAAAGGTCAGTGATTTTAAGTGGTTTAAAATACACTACTGTTACTAAGACCAAATTTTTTTAATGTTTTAAGGACACGATCTAAAAAGCCCTGAAGCAGGGGAATAATCAATCTATGTTAAATTACACTTGCAGCTATTAACAAATCATGTCCTAGAGCAACATTTAACAACATAGGCATTAGATGGAAACACATGACCAAACAAAATGGATACCAATTTGTAAAAAACATGAAAATAAAAAATTGCCCGTGGATGTACATCTATATAATTGGAGAAAGGTTGGAAATCTTGTGATTAACAGCTATTATCTTTAGGTAGTCAGGTGAAATTAAAAATTTAATTATTCATATTTATTTTTGTAAAATTTCCACAAAACATGCAACATTTAAAACTTTATATTTTATTTTCTGAGTATCAACTCAGAAAAATAAAACATATACTTTAAAAACTCATGTGCTCCTGGCTTCCTGCATTGACTACTACTGTGCTATAAGCCAAGATGAACCCAATTCTGAGTGTTAGCAAATCTATGTCGAACTGTCACACCGGGGGCGGGGGGGAGGGGCGGCGTGGAGAACAGGACAGCAGAGGTAACCAGAAACCGATGAGAAGCATGTTGCAACGGCATTTTCTGGCTGTCAAGGGAAGTTGGATGGACTAAGCAATTATTGTGTTTTGAGGAGCCAGAAGAGGGGCACTCGGTGAGGAGACCTGAGCTAGGACAGGCGTGGCTGCTGGTGCCAGGAGACGCCAGGGGCCAGCAGGCTGGACTCATAGACAGAAGACGTGTGGTGAGAGGCGCGCCTGTGGTCACCCTGCACGTGGGGGCACCTCAGTTACTCAGTGGAGAGAGTTAAGGGGAGAAGATTCTGAAAGACATTGTGGGGTGGGGGTAGAAGCTAAAAACCTCCCCGCTTGGCTTGGCCGGGACCCCGATTTCCATTCCCTCAGGTGATGAGCAGAAAGCAGCTTAGAGAACGCACAGCAACAGGAGGACCGAGAGCAGCTTCACAAAGGGCTCGTTTGATGGGCCATGAGAAGCCCAGCTGCATCTCCGCTATCAAATGTGTCGTGGATTTAAGGCCAAAGGAGCCCAAGGAGGGTGCAGTGCATCGTGGGAGCAAAGGCAGAAGGTGGTTTAGAGCCATTTGTTCAGTAGCAGGAAACAGGCAGTTATTCCCGGCAGGCGTGCAGGCCCCAAGCAGCGAAGTCTTACTTGGAGGGGGGGGTCTCTGCGGTGGGTGAGGCGGCCGAGGCCTACTGGGGACCGACAGAGACCTGCTTGGAGAGCGGTGGCGGTCCCCCACAGCTTCCAGCTCCTGCTTTAACTCTGCCAGGTCGGCATCACCTGGGGGACATGGCGGAAGGTGAAGGAGGTGAGAGGGGGTCAGGCTGAGGCGTGCACAGGGCCGCCTGTGGCAGGAGGAGCTCCCGCAGGGCAGCTGGGGTGTCCCCCTGACGCTGGTGTAGGCGGGGGAGGACACCCGCTGCCTGCTGGGAACGTTCAGGGAACCCTAGGCAAGATCTGGTGTCCAGATACGAGAGACAGAAAACTTGCAGGGGTGTCCAACCTTTTGGCGTCTCTGGGCCACACCAGAAGAGTTGTCTTGGGCCACATCTTAACTACACCGCGACATGGAATCACACACACACAATCTCATAGTGTTTTTCGTAAATGTACGATTTTGTGTTAGGCCGCATTCATGGCCGTCCTGGGCAGCACGTGGCCCGTGGCTGTGGGCTGGACACCTCTACTAGAGTGTAGACAGGCATGTCTCCTGAAATAACCCACAAGGCATTCACACAGGGGAGAGGAGACAGCGGAAGGCCACAGCCCCTCATTGCGAGGCCCTCACTCTCAAACACAGTAAGTGGTCTGGGAAGCTGAGAACAACGTCGCTCCTCGGCCAGGGAGCAGCCTACCGCCCCGTGACAAGGCCCCGGCATGGAGTGTCCCTGAGCACTCACCAAGTCCTGACTGGTGGCCCAGGGCCCGCTGCTTCACAAGTGTTCGCCACCCTGCCCTGTCCTGCTGAACCTTTTGAGGCTGAGTGCAGCCCGGGAAGTGGCTGCTGTGTTTTATCACATGTGCCTTTATCACATCTCAACTCAGAACAAAAATATGGAACAACTCATTTTTTATTTATGTTCTATTCTCTGAGTATCAGCTCAGAAAAATATGCTTAAAAAAGCCGCGTGCTGCCGGCTTGCCGATGGACTACCATGGCGCGTGTTAAGCCAAGATGCCTCTAGGCTTTTCTCTCACACGCAACATGCCTGGCTCGTTTCGCTGGGGCCCGGACAGTCCACCCCTCAAATCCACAGCGGCCCCCCGGGTGATCCAAGGCTGAGCTGGAAGGGGGGGGGTTTCTCCCTCTGCGGGAACGTCTGCGCACCCAGGGGGTGAAGGCCCCTCGTGCCCACCCGGTCGCTGGGCAGCCCGCACAGCCCGTGGCTCCAGTCTTCACTCGGAGGCCCTCCTCCCACATCTGTGCCCCCTTGAGAGGCAGCTGGGATGACGGCCACCCCTGGAGAGAAGGGAACGTCCCTTCAGCCACTTCCACTCTAGGGCAGGAGCCCTCTGGACAAGTGATGACAGAGCAACGTGACGCGTGGACGAAGGATGCAGGACCGTGATGCACGTGGCTGCGCATCTCCATCCCCTGGGATTCCCAGCCCCCCGCCCCCATCCACACCTCCATGACGGGGCTCGGCAACCTGTTAAGTCCCAGAGCTCCTGTGGGTCCGTCAGCCAGGCTGCTCACCAGCTTTGGGGCTGCCATCCGGTCACAGGGACTTGTGGGGGGTCTTTCCACCTCTCCCCACCGCGTGCCTTCTCTGGGACGCATCTTAATTCACTTTCACCCCTGTTCTTGCTTTTTAGCCCCAGCACAAAGGGTCCTGACGCCTGGCTGGGCTCCTGCGCCTGCTGGGCACAGCACGCCTCTGACAGTAGATGCGAGCCCGGCCGCTGGAAGGCAGTCGAGGCTGCGGGGGGCCTGGGCTGACGGGTTGGGCGCTGCACCGTGACCCGCCTCTCTCCAGCCCAGGGGCGCGAGCGGGTTTTAAACGACTCAGAAGAGTCCCTATAGCATATAAGCTAGGGACATGCAGTTCAGTCTATATGACCTTCAGTCCCTCTTCAGGCTACAGTGATATAATGATGACGACGTGCAGTAATGTCATTAATTATATATATGAAATTATGTAGTATATACAATTATTACTGCTTAAGAACATAATGGTGTAAGAAAGTAACAATGGCCTAGCAACTCAGGACGCAGATACTGAATGTCTCTTATGGGACTGAATGAGACAAGTTTTGGAGGGGAAAAAAAAAAATCAAATGTAAAACCAGTTCAGGGGCTGTGGCTCTTTGAATAGCCATGAGCAACAGGAATTTTCCTGCCTATGATAGGGGCACCCGGAACTGTAAAAAGAACACAAATCACTAGAGAGAATCAGCGTGGTGGGAGCTGAAACCTTCCCTGAGCCCAGAGCCCACCACTTGCTGTCGCTGTGTTTTGCCCTCTCCTGGGGCAGGTGCACCCGACTGTGGCATTATGCACAGATGCTGAGAGGGAGAGGAAGGGAGAGAGAGAGGACTCGGTGCTGAGCGCTATTTAGAAAATGAAGGCCCAAGCTACCTTTGTAAGTCGGGTGCTGCTTCTTTTTGGTTAGTGCAGGTGACTTGCTGGGCGGTGCGGCTGCTGTGGAGCCGGGGGCATCGGAAAGGTCGTCCCCCGCCAGGTCACTGTCTGAGACCACAGGCTGATTGAGTTCATCCAAATAGTCTTCGTCATCTTCGAGAATGTCCCCTGAGGAACAAGCGAGTCGCAGAAATGGTGAGGGTGGAAGGGCACAGCTGCTCACGAGCGGCGCTGTTTCAGCCCCACGACCTACGATCTACAGCTTGTGCGGGGATGGGGACACCACGGCACAGCTTCAGGCTGGTCTCGGGAGCCCACGTGTCAGCAGCGACGGGACTGGACTCCATTCCCGCCTGGAATGGGGACCAAACCCAGGGCCCTGACGTCCTCGAAACCACTGCTTCCAGTGTAAGTTTCCACGTCTCCAGGTCCTACTTGCCATTTCACGCGCCATCCCACACACGAGTACTGCCCACCCCTCATCGCTCGGGAGGAAGCGCTCTGCAAACACCCTCCACGACCCTTCAGGCCGGGCCTTGGCCGGGCTCCCGGCTGTCTCAGGCCGGTTTGGAGGAGAACCCCTTACCGCCTACCCTGCACCCTGCCGACCGAGAAGGCCGCCCGGGACCACTCACCTTCTGACTCGTAGTCCAAGCTCGTGAAGTCGAAGTTCTCCTCCAGCAGACAGGAGTTGGCCGTGGGCGACACGGAGGCCATGCTGTCCCGCTTCCGGGTGATCTCCTCTTGCAAACCTTTGAGCCAGTCCTTGGTCTTTGGTCGGATCTTCACTGCTCTGCCTTTCACCTGTGAGGGACAGCCGAGTGGCCCCGGGTGAACGCAGGAGCCGGGCCACCCCCCAGAGCCCCCGAGTGCTGCTGCTCGCTCAGACTCGGGTGGCGCCAGCCAGCCCATCTTCAGGCGGCCTGTGAAAAGCGGAGGGTCCAGACCTCCAGCGGGATCGCGTTCAGTCTAAATAAAAGTCAAACTACCATCTTCGGCTTTTCGTCCCGTGTGAATTTAAAATCAGGATACTATCAAAATGGAAACTACCGGAGTTGCTGATTCCAAAATACATACTCTAGAGCAGGGGCATCCAACCTGTGGCCCAACACAAGAGCGTAAATTTACTTAGAACTGGTTTTTCTTGGCTCATCAGTTTTCGTTAATGTTTGTGTATTTGATGTGTGGCCCAAGACAACTCTTCTTCTTCCTCTGTGGCCCAGAGATGCTAAAAGGTTGGACACCAGACTGCAACACCCCTACGTAGAGGTGTGAGTGCAGAGAGACCCAACACTCAGCAGGAACTAGGCTCTAAAACTTGCTCTTCTTCCCAAATTCTGCAAGTAACCAGGCTGGATATCAGACACCTCAGCAAAGATACCAGAATTAGACACTAGGTGAAGTGTTCTGGCTCTGCCTTCCAGCGGTGCCTACCTGACCCTGTGAAGGCCATTAAGAAGCCCCCACTCCATGGGTGACCAAGCGTGACTCACCTTCATACCGTCCACATCGAGGACGCTGAGCGCCGAGTGACTGTCTGCAAAAGTCACCAGCATCTGCCCTTGGTTGATCCTGGAATAAAGGAAATAGGTCCAGTCAACCCCGAAAGGGACTTGGTGGCTCCCCGGGGTCCTCGAGGTCGCCCGCCCTGGCACCCACGACCCCCGGTGCAGCAGTCACCTGACGAGGACAATCGTGCCATAATTCCCCAAGGTCTGCATGAGTTCGGTGCGCACGTCCTCAGGAAACTCGTTTTGCTCTTCTAAGGTTGGGGACTGAAGGTTGACGACGACGGTGGCGTCCAGGGGGCCCTGGAAAGAGGACACTTCCTGGAACACCTTCTCCCGAGCACCCACGTCCACTTCTTGAACTTCCACCTCCACGATGGCCAGGACGGGTCTGCATTAGACACAGAGAGAAGACGGGCAGCTGTTAACCTGGGGCAAGACTGACCACGGCGCAGCCCCGCCCCCCGTCGCTCCTCCGTGAACGGGGACGTCCACGGCCCCCGCTGCGCGCCGTCCCGGGGCTCCAGTCTGTATCCTTCCGCAGCCCCAGTGTTGTCTTGACATATTTACTGAAGGGTGAGCGAAGAGAACACACGACTGGCCATTGGCAAAGATTTTGCACACGGTAACGGCCGGCACTGCTGCGGACACAGAGAGGTGGGCATCCGTCCCTTCTCCCTTTGCTGGGAGGGGGCGGGGCCAAGCTCTTTCGGGGGCCTATTTGGCAACTTGCGTTAAGAATCTCAAAAATGCTCCCCTCTTTTAATCTCAACTCTAGGACTTTGTTCCAAGGAATGACCAGAGAGTCAGACCAACATTTTGTGCACAAGGCTGACCATCACACAACACTGTTGGGAGCAGGCTAGCGTTCCCATAACGGGGGAACAAGTCACGAGGCAGGTGTATGAGGACGTGCTGTGCACTCATTGAGAACAACGCTATCTGACATCCACAGAACAGACCAGCAGGAAATTATGCAATCACTATTGTAATTTTGATATAGGGATGGGTGTACTCTATTTATAAAAAATTTAGAAACTCCATAATGAAGATTATGTAACCTTTTTGAAGACATTTATATTATTATGTAAAAACAAAGCAGAATACTAAACAGTATGTGATACGGTGGTGACCTTTCAAGCTAGGGAATGCTGTAAAAATTGAGAGATACGGGTGGTAATATCAGCAGTACCCCACCCACAAATTTATATTATTATTGTTAGGGTTTATTTTGCATCTAGGAGAAAAAACAAGACTGAGAAAAATCTGACCCAGGAATATGCACTGAGGGTTTTTACAACCTTCTTTTGTCAGAAAGCCTTTCCAGAGAAGCTCCGGGTGTTTGAGCGAAGAGGGGCACTTTTGGCGAGAGCTGGGGGCCGGCGCTACACGCTCGGCTCAGGGACAGACGGGCTACGGACACACGGACACTTGCTGAATCTCCAGAGAACTCTGCTGCGTGAAAAAGGCCCATCCCCAATTTGGATTCCATTTATGTAACATTCTTGGAATGACAACATTCTGCGAAAGGAGGAAAGATGAGTGGCTGGAAGAGGTCAGGAAGGCGTGGGCGGCGGGGAAAGAACGCGGCCACAAAAAGCCCATGTGAAGGGAGATCCTCGTGGAGATGGACACGCACTGTGTGTGACTGTCTCGGTGTCTGTGCGTAGGTGTGACCCGGAACTTCAGACGCAGAGGGTCTTACCAGTGGGGAACTGGGCGCACAGGTCTCTATGTTACGCCTTACAGTGGCATGCAGATCTACAATTACCTCAAAATAAAATGTTTACTTTCGAAAATATTAATGAAGTAAAGAGGCAAACAATAACGGTTCCCATAATAGAATCCTGATCTTCTCATGCACATTTGTATACCTATAAGCAGGTGTGCACATGACCCACAACACACAGGTTAATGGTTTGGTGTAAAAATCTACTGTACATGGAAAATGCAGAGGAAAGCCACCTAAGAAATGATTACTAGATGCTGTCACAGAGGGCAGGACTATGGGTGATTTGCTAGTTATGCATATTTTCCTCTAATTATCAATAACTAAGAGCTTCTGCTTCTGTACTCAGAGGAATCAATAAATGTCTAAGGTGCGTCGGAAGCCAGCACGTCCAAACCTGCCCTGCCCAGTCTGCCCAGCCCAGTTAATGCCGCTCCGTCCTTCCAGCTGCTCGGGTCAAAGAGAGGTCCCTGGAGTCAGGCTCCCCTCCTCTCTGTCGCACCCCACACCCTGGCCCCCAGCCAGGGCCACCGGCTACGCTTTCGATCTACCCAGAACCCCACCCCTCGCCAGGGGCCCACAGCCACCGGGCCCAGGGCGCTCCAGGTCTCCCTGTCTCACCGCCCCGGCCCTCCAGCCCCCCGGTCAGCCACTCAGGAGTGTTTCCTGCCACGCTCCACCCTGGAATGCTCTCCCCGCTCACCCACGGGGCCCCCACTCCCTGTCCTTCGGGTGCCGGGGCCAAGGTCAGATTATCGAGCGGCAGTCCCTGAACACAGGGTGAAGCATAGCACGAACCCCTGTCTGACTCGCCACCTGTTTCCTCCTTCACAGCACTTACGTTTGTTTCCTGTCTGCCCGTCCTCACTGGAAAATTCCATGAGAGCGCGGTCTCCTCTGCTTTGTTAACCACTTATCCTCAGTGCCAGGGACGGCGCCCAGTATTCAAGGCCCCTTGATACACAGTGTTTAAATGAATTCTTCTAAATTCACGCCCTGAACCAGCCAACCACAAAGTCCTGTGTCCAAAGATCTCCCGAGGTTCACTGCTAGGTGTGTATTTTCTACAACACGTTTCTAAAGAATTACAAGTACCTCAAGACTGAGACCTATGGGCTGACCCACTCGTGTTCACCACCAACTAACTCTTTCTTAGTTTCTTCCCTGTGAAAGTTGAAATGAATGTGCTCTTTTGGTGGCAGCTGTGAGGAGACCTGTTGAAATGCCATCCCCTGGGCCGTTAAGGACGGTCTACAAGACGCGCGTCCCTCTGTGGCCGGTCCCAACGCACAGAGAACTGACAGGCCTCTGCTGCTGTGGCCCATCCTTAATGCAGGACACGCGGGCCAACCCAGCGGCTCAGAGCATTTAAAAACCCTGAACCCCTGTGGCGTTTGTAAGACATGACAAAAAACATTCGTCAGAGGCGGAGCAGGTAGATTCCACGGAGGTGCTCCCCATGGGACCGGACGGCAGTTACAAATGAGCCAGCCACATCTGCAGTATCGGTGTCATGGCAGCTCAAAAATATCACACAGCACAAAAGCAAGTTGCACGATGACATTACTTGTGAGACTTGAAATGATAAAATACTATAGGTTGTGTCTTTGACATTTTCATAAATAATGTCATTTGTGGTACGGAGCGATGATAAAATGCTAACTCCTTAGTTCCTGGTGTTGGGCACACAGCTATTTGTTCTTCGCTGTTTTTTCTCTCACACACGCGCACGTGCACACACACGCATTCTGATGGGGACAGCGCGTGCCGTGGCGGCGAGGACCATACCTGTGATCGGACGCCTGCAGCTCCGCGCGGCCGTAATACCTGAGGGTTCCGGGAGACCAGGCGTGTTTGACTTTGGTGTCAGCATCCAAGTCATTGTCTAGAAGGTTGAGTTCTCTGGCTACTCACAGGATTCCAATCACGAGACCCACAGACAACACAAAATTGTATCAACACAGCGAACGCTGATTATGGCACTTGCCCGGCAGGGACGGACCCCCGCGCCTCAGCCTTGTTCGCTCTCCCCACTGGGGCCTGGAACCACACCAAGGTGGCCCTGGACCTGGGCCAAAACCTCCTCCCAAGGGGCTGTCCAAAACGGTAAGACCAGCCCCACCTGCCCCCGCCCCAGGGGCCACGGGGATGGGGGGGCACAGAAGTCAGGCTGCGGGTTTCTGTCCCAGGCAGTGGGGCACAGGAAGCCTGCAGACCACTGTACAGCAGGCGAGGCCAAGGCTGAGAACACCACACCTCTCGGTGCCCTGGGACCACAGAGATGTCCACACGGGACCAAGTGTATCTTTTTCTACCTGCAGATGTACGTCCCTGCTTTGAAACTCCAGCATACATCTCACCAGAGAAGTTCAGTTATTTATGTACCAATTTATGGGTAGGATGGTTTTACATCAACTGCACTTCCTGCCTGGGTGTCAGTCAGTGTTCAAGACATACTTGAAACTGACTGATAACAAGCTCTTGGCTTTCCCGTGTTCGATTTGGAATGGGGGCTTCAGCAGTAAGAGCTGGGTTGCACAGAACGGCCTGGCTGATGTGCAAATGTGGGTGAGGAGGGCAGAGGCAGGGAAGGGGGACAGTGTGGCCTCTGTCCTTCTCTCCGTCCACAACCGAAGATGGACGGGGTGGTGCGGGGGACAGTCGGGCCCCGGTCCATTTGCAGGTCAGTCTCTAGGAAGAGGACAGAGCGGGGCTTCCCCAAAGCGCACCTTCCGAAGCTGAGAAGCTAACACCTGGGGTCACTTTTGCGTAGTTTTGGGTTGTCGAGAAAATGGTACTCATACAACAAAGAGCACTGGGCTGAACCAGCGGGGTTTCCCTCCCCGGGACTGAGCTCCGGTCCCCACCAGCTCTCAGAGCACACACGTCCCCGCACCTGTCCTGTCAAAGGGATGCCTCTTCCTCCACCACAGGACCCTGTCCGTCCAGGCTGGGGTGCGGCATTTGTCGCTAGTGTCGTAGGCAGCGGAGCCGACGTCATACTTGTAGGTGGGTCCAAAATTAATGCTGCCTTCGTGAAAGTCTTTAAAGATCTGGTGGGAGAAAAAGAAGTCACGAGACCACCATGGTTCTCTCAGATTCTGTACGTTACATACAAAAACAAAGAGGCGACGCTTCCGAGTGCTGCGTTCCTGAAAGTCACAGAACCCGTATGGAATTTAGGATTATAATACGAATGTCTAAAACTGGATGTATGTGTGCCTTTTAATCAGCAAAAAAGTGGTGACTGTTAGTTCTGCTGCCTGACTCATCCCCATCGGGTCTTCCCCCACCCGCCCCGCACCCCGCCGAGCACACCGTCTGCCTGTCGCCCCGTTGAGTCGCCCCGTTGACAGCGAAAGGCCTGAGGCAAGGATGCACATTCCAGGCCTGGCCACGCCCAGCCCGTACCCAGCAAGGCCTCATTTGGTATTTGTTAACTAAACACATTGTGTAAACAGAACCCCAGAACTGAGGGCGAAGCCCCCGTCTCTGTTTAGCTCTAGGCCCGGCCTTGTTCTGGGGAAGACCAGGAACAGACGTTCGCTCAGTGCGGGAGTGGAAAGGTGTGGAGAATATCGGTAGGAGGAAGGAAAACCTGTCTGGGGAAGGTTTTGGTGTGGTTACATTCCCACCTGGCCCCCCTCAGAGATCCACGTCAGTGGCCGGGCCGATGGGGGTGGGCACAGACCACCCTGAGGAACAGCTGCGCCTGGTTCCCTGCCCTCACGCATTTCACCAGCAGCATTCCCCGCAGGTGCGTGGAAGGTACCTCATCTCGGCCCACCCTGCCGGGAAGCTGGCGGGAGCCAACGGTATTAGCTGGAGGCTGGCCGGTGTATCCTTGCAGAAGTGAGGACAGACCCTACACTTGATCCCTTCCGATTATGTCATGGCCTTAGGAGTCACTAAAAACTGCACAGGGGTCCCGTAAGAGGGGAGAATGCGCCTGGTGCAGTTTGAGTCTGGGATGGCATCATGGCTCTATTACTGACCCAGGTGACCTTGGATGGGTTATTTGACCTTAGCCCCAGTTTTCTTGTCTATAAAATGGGTATATTAATAAAAACTAATCTGCAGGACAGTCTTGAGAGTTCGCCATACGAACTGGTGTGTAAACTACATATTAGATTTTGGTCTAGTGTGTTTGTGTGCTCACCAACTCTATTTCAGTGAGAAATAGAGATACCACCCAAACCTACTGTTTGGCGCAGGGTCTCACGTGTCTTCTTGGTGGCTTAGGACGTTGGAAGCGCAGCAGTCCCCACGAGGCCTGCATGTGATCGTGAGTAGGGTGGACTTTGGGACAAAAGCTTCTCCATGCTCAAGTGTGGGGCCATTCCAAGCCGTGGTGACGCAACTGAGTGCGGCTCCTTTCCGGTTTGATGGCTTACGGGACACCCCCGCCCACAGAGCGCAGGCTCTCGGGGTGGCAGAGAGCCTCCCGCTGGCACCGGCTCCTGCAGCTGGCTGATGTGCCTGCTGGAGTGCTTTCCTAGAGCGACGGCCGCTCCGCCGTGAGAGGACAGGCACACAGGGCCGAACGCAGCCCGCTCAGAGAGGGACCGGAAGTGTGTGTGAAGAGACCCTCGCATCTCTCTGACTTTGGAGGCCCACACATTTCCTACAACGTCACAACCCTTGTTCAGCCACTCACGGACCTTAATTTGCTGGACTGGAGCAGGCACACTTAGCAGATGTTGTTCCCTACGGGAGCAGCTGCTGAAATTACTTCAAAAACTTGCCCTGGCTGGTGTGACTCAGTGGATTAAGTTTGGGCCTGCAAACCAAAGGGTTGCCGGTTCAATTCCCAGTCAGGGCACATGCGTGGGTTGCAGGCCAAGTCTCCAGTAGTGAGCACATGAAAGAAAAGCACACATTGATGTTTCCTTCTCTTTCTCCTTCTCTTCCCCTCCCTCTAAAAATATTTAGAAAAAATTAAATTACTTTAAAAGCACAACTTACTTTTCCACTGGATTTCTGTAGCTGCAGCTGATCAAATTCCAGAAGTTTCTTCCAGTCTTGGCGTTTCACAAAATAGAAGACTTCTTCATACGTGAGATCAATGCGGTAGTTGAAATCGCCACACCAAAACACGTAGTCATGAGAAAAGATGTTTCTTCCCTATGTTGTAAAGGAAATCAGTCATTCAGACCACCTCGCAGGGAAGGCAGGTGGGAGGGAGACAGCCAGCCGCCCCATGCAGGGAATATGGAGTAAGCACCTTCTTAAAATGTTACTTAAAAAAAGTTTCCTACCAGAACATCCTACGTTTCATTCATCCCATAACCCTATCAAGGAACTTCTGCATGGCTAACTTTAAACAGTGTGTTTTTGAGTGGTTTGGAGAACGCGCCCACTGTAACCTGGGGGCCAGAACCACGCTCGGCAATTGGGCTGTGCTCCCGCTTTTATGTCTACAGCCCAGGACGGATTGCCACGCATCTTGTGTTGTGAGGATGCGCTTTAAGGACATAAGTAAAATTGCTCAGGACGTGCGACTTCACAACACTTCACAGATTTCATACATTTTCATCCGGTGACCCTCCTTCCCCATCTCGCTCAGTTGCTCTGACCTGGACGCCCAGACCCTCGCCCGCCCTCTCCCCAAGAATCCCAGCAACAGCAGCTGCTACCCATCCCCCTCAAAGACAAGATCTGGACTTGGCTCCGAAATCGGCTTCTGTTCTCCTACGCGATGCAGCGTTCCCGCGCCCCCGCCCCCAACCCACAGCAGCAGCCTGGACGGGAGACCAAGGTGATCACAGCCAGAGAAAACAGGTGTCAGAATAGGGCTTCCGGTGGAACTTCCGGCAGCATCGGGCATGTTCCTGTCCGCGCCGCCCAAGACGGGAGCCGCCAGCTGCTGCAGCCGCCAAGCACCCGCCAGGTGGCCAGTGCCACCACGGGAGTTTTGTTTAATTTTCATTGATGTGTGGCTAGTGGCTACTTTATTGGACATGCAGGGGTAGAGTATTGACTTAGAGGTATGTTCAATATTTGAAAAAGGAGCTATATTATATCTTTTAATTATTTTGAATGGGTCCTTCAAGTAGGACATAGTTATTGTGAATGTACTTCAAAATAGCACTTTTGAGTGAAAAGGTTGGGCTTTTTAAAAATTACAAAGACACAGAAAATATGCCTGACGTCCTGCTTAGTCTAGAAAATGACACATTGCCAATTTCCCAACTCATGTGTGTCGTCTTTTATCCAAGAAATAAAAACTACAGCAGGGGTTACAGCACTTATTAACGAAAACAGAGGGATTTTGGCTTTGGGTGCTGGTGCAGCCTAGTGAACGGATGCCTGCTTGGGGGACCTGGCCTCCTGTGGAAGGGCTCCAGGACCTCATCAGCGGTGGCTCAGACACCGTGGCAAGGACGGCTGGAGTCTATCCTCACGGCTGGCATGGTTTGCACCAGGCTGGAGGTGCGCCGGCCATCGAGTTTGCACAGGACAGAGAACGTTCAAATCTGATTGGAAAGGAAAACCCGGTGGCTTCGGAATGAAAACCTCCAAATCACCACTAGAGGGCAGCACGGCACACGTTATTGGCGCCTGTGGGACCAGATGGATAATCCGTGAGGCCCCCGAGTCAAACATTCACGGCGTTCGAAAACAGGCCTTCTTAATGGAGCCACAACAGGACATGTGCCAGGACTGTGACTCTCAAGAAAACCGAGCCTGTGCTCTTAGGATTCAAATGTTCCTCATCAGCGTGGACAAAACATGGACACACTGTTTTCCTCCCCCATTTCATATACTTGAATTAGAACATCGGAAGATGCACGTGGAAAACGCAGGGTACCTAAGGACGCTGAAAAGATGTATGAAGGTGGGGACCGCACCCTCCATGCTGGGCACCCTGGGCTGGCCACTGCTGTGCCAGCCCAGGTCACCTCCCTCCCCCAGTATGGAGTCCCCGAGGGCAGGGGCCCCGTTCTGGTGGCGCCCCAGTGCTTGCCCAGACGCGCAGCTCGGAAACCTGCCCGGCGGCTGGAAGGAGCCTAGAGGCCAGTGCACGCGCCCCCTGCTGGCCGCCGCCGCGCGCTCACCATGGGGAAGCTCAGCTTCTGGGTGATCTCCCTGTAGTCCTCGTTCCTCTCCTTGACCTGGGACTGCCCGGCCGTCAGGTGGCTGCACACGAAGCAGAAGCTGGTGCTGTGGAACTGGAAACGGATGCCCACGGCGCCTTTGTTCCCGGCCTTTCCTCCCATGCCGGTCTTCACCGTGTCGATCGCCACGTCCCTGGAACACACAAGGAACACATGCGGCCACTTCTTAGTGGCTTCAGGGAAACGCATCCCTACATCTTGCGACAGAGAAGGGCCGGGGCTGCAGCTTGGAGAATTCAAAAACCACCAGCTCAGAGCTGGTCAGTCACGTCCTCGGCCGCCAAGCCACACAGCGACCAGAATGACCGGTATCGATGCTCTGCGGCCACTCCTGACCTCCTCCCCTCCCTGCCAGCAGCTGCCCCTGAGTTGGGAGTACCCCTGGGTTGGCAGCCGCGCCTCTGAAGGGCTCTGCACTCACCAAAGTACCCCACAAAGAGGCCCCGAAGCCAACCCACCTCCATCCTTGCTTTCTGTTCCAGGTTCTCGCTGCCAGCAGACAGCATGGACCCTACTCCCAACCCCGACCCCTGCCCCACCTGGCTTTCCTGCAAAGCACAGGAGGTGCCCTCAGGTGATCACGTTTTTAGGGACAGGATGCATCCCATTATTTGTTATTTATGCTGGGCAGGGTCGGTGGTTTCACTGCAGACTCCTGATTGCCTTTAGGTGCGGCTTAGAATGCTTGGGAGTGTGTGCGCAGGGGCCCAGAGCACAGGCGGAGGCCACGCCTTGGCAGAGGCTTTCTGCCCACACATCTCACTTACGTTTCTTTTTAAAAGAGGTAAAAGAACTGGCATTTCCTGATGAGTTACTCAGCTCCTGGTCAGAGGCTTCCCGTTTTAAATTTCAATAAGGCACCCCTTTCCTCGTGCAGAGCTGAGCTTGGGTGATGATGGCCACGTGCAATAACACGCCTAAGAGTTCAGCTTTCACCCAGGCTGGTGCAGCTCAGTGGACTGCGTGCCAGCCTGTAAACCAAAGGGTCGCAGGTTCTATTCCCAGTCAGGGCACAGGCCTGCGTTGCAGGCCTGGGAGGTGGCGCATGAGAGGCAACCACACATTGATGTTTCTCTCCCTCTTTCTCCTTCCCTTCCCCTCTCTCTAAAAATAAATAAAATCCTTAAAAAGGAAAAAAAAAAGTTCAGTTTCCTAAGCTATAAGGTTCCCATTGTGGGTTTGTTCACTGCTAGACAATATTCTATTCAGCCTAGTTTCTCTTGGGGGTTTTCTGCCATTTGCCTAGAAGAATGAACGGCGGGCCCTGATTCCTGTTGCGGGAGGAGAAGGAAGTCAGAACAAAACGCCAACAGCCCCTGCTCCCCGCTCCCCCAGACGCTTGGAAACTCCAGGTTCTCACCTGATGAACGGGACGTGGTAGGGACGCACAAAGATGTAAAGGCAGACGCCCACCAGCTGTGCCGAAGTCAAGAGAATGTACCTATGGGAGCGCGAGATGGCCTTCTGAAGCTGCTCGCCCCACATCTTCCTGTTGGTGGTGCTGGGAAAGGAAACGCGGCGACATGGGTTAGGGCCGGCCGACTGGCCGGCCGCTGCGGTTCACCTGCCTACAGAGTCCTCCAGCCCCCAGCTCGTTCCCGGGGCGCGAGGGACGGCAGGCAGCCTGCCTCACGGGGCCAGGCCTCCATTCCGCCCCGTTTAGGTCTGGCTGTGTTGTGCACACACATCACAACACATACTCCCCCGCCCCATGGCCGGCAACCCGGCAGGGGACCCCTTGCTCCCAAGAGCTCCACAGAGACAGGTTTCATTATCTGTTCAGAAAGTTCCTGAAATACAGCCACACCAGGGTAGGCACCGAGAGGTCTGGCTGACTTTATACACAGTATGAATCCAGTGGAGGAGAGGAGAGAGGAGCCTCCTCCCAGGCTCCTGCTTTCTCACCTCTCCCAGGAAACGTGACTCAGCTGCCTCCGGCTGGCCCTCAGCCACGCCCCGCGGCCACCCGCCCGCTCCCAGCAGGACGCAGCCTGCACACCTGGCCCAGGCAGCACCTCTGAGGGCACAGCCGGCCCGGCTTGCATTCCCTTAGTCAGCAGGGGAAGAGGACGGGGGAGGGCAGTCCACGCTCCCCCCCCCAGCGAGGGGTGCCGGCCAGCAGGTTCACACACAGGTGGCCTGTGGCCCTGCCCCTGGCTCGGGAAGCTTCCGGCGGTTTTCACGTCACTCTTCCGCACCCCGGCACGCGGCCGCCTACCTGGCATTGACGATATTCCCTGCACTCAGCTCCACCATCTCTTCAAACCCGACGGCAAATATGTCGGCTGGGCTGCTGTCATCTGGGGGTGGGCAGCAGGGAAAGGAAATCAGACCCACCGAGGCCTGGGCTGGCTGAGCCGAGGGCCCCGTGTATGTCTGAGGGCCCAGGTGTCCTGCTGCCAGAGGCCTCGGCCAGACCACTGGGTGGAGCTCCACGTGGGCCCGCCTTCCCTTGGGGTCTGTCCCCTGTGCACTGGGCCTTCCTGTCTGCATTCTGGGGCACGTGACAGGACCTCGCAGGGGACATGAGGTGTCCCCACTGCCAATGTATCACCCCACCGCGCCGGCCAGGTCCTAGGTGACTGGGGGCGGGCCCTGTCCTGTGCTTGTTTGTGCCCCACAGGTACTTTGCAGGGCTGGGCCCAGCCTTCCATGGTTAATGGCTGGCTGAGGTGGTCCCGCCCCGGGAGCTTTCTTCCTGGTGGTCAGAGAAGGGAAACCGAGGCCAGTTGTGGGCTGGAGCTTGCTCTGATGAAACCTGCTAAAGACACGCCTGGTTTATAGCAAACACAGCAGGTGGAGAGGCGTTACTGTGCGTCCCTTCCATCCCCTTGACCAGGGAAGATCGGGGTTTTACATGGTCTCTGCAGCCACTGGCTGTACGTCTGGCCACATCCTGCTGGCTCGCAGCGGCCTGAGCCAGCAGGGCCTGTGATGCCCCCGCCCCCACTCTGTCCCAAACACCAGGCGTCTACTTCCTTTCCCACTGGCCACACAGTGCAGCCTGGAACCTCGAGCTTGTCTGGCTTAGGGTTTCCCTTCTTTTGTAAAGAAAAAACACGGTTCCTCCGATCTGCTGGGCAACTGTCACTGCAACCCCTCGCTCCAGAATGTGCGGAGTTTCAGCGGGAGCCCTGGTGAGCCCTCTGTCCCGTCAAAGCCCCTGCAAAGTCACAGCCAGCTTGCTGTCCGCACCCGCCCTGGTCCTGCAGGCAAAGGCGATGAGCTGTTTCAGCAAGAGGGGAGGGAAGGTTCTTGGGCCCAGGGGGTGTTCACGCTCTTTTCACTTACAGGGCCCGCAGGGCGGGCACTCAGAACCACCACCACCAAGTCCCGGTGACCCCAAGCTGTGGGCTCGAGCTACCCTGCCCCCCAAGGTAGCCAGGGGGGCACAAACTGTGTCTGCCACCATGGGGAGGGGACCCTGTTGACAACTGGCCCAGAGAAAGGGATCTCCAGTCTCTTCCAGAATCCAAGGAAGTCAGAGGACTCCAGGCAACTGGTTAAATGCCAATGGGAGAAAATTTACTCCCTATTCTTCAAGTCCTGAGTTCCGAGGACTTTAAATACCGCCTAGCAAGACCTAAGACAAAGGTGGGCTGTCTAACTTGGAATTAGTTCCTCCTTAAAAGGTATGCAGATTCGTGACAACCTGCAGCGGCTGCCTGCAGGGTTGTATGGCTGGTTTGGGGCGAGGCAGGGGTAAGTGCTCTTGTCCAGCAGCGACGTGACCCCTGTGCCCGGCCCTCCTGAAAGGCACCTCTTCCTCAGACAAAAGGTGCTAATAATCAAAACCGAAAACTGCAAAACCTGTCTGTGTGAGGAGAAAGGAGAGATTCCCTGCTTTGATAACCCTTCCAAACATTTGGACAGGAGAAGGCATCAGTTAATCTGCCGGGTGTGTTTTGGAAAGGCAGACCACTGCGCCTCAGACCCCGAAGGAGTGAGAAGGCCACATCCCAAATTTCCCACGTCAACCGCCATCGGGAAGGTCAGACCAAGGGCTCAATGGAACGTGTGTTCACCGAAGCGACCGCACTCACCCTGGGGCTCAGCGGCGCCGGACAGCTGGGGTGAGTCCAGCAGCCAGTCAGCCAGCTCAGCCGTCCCCAGGAGGTTGCTCCTGAACTGCTTCCCCCCGTTCACATTCCAGGTCCCCACGGTAATGCGGATCCGCTTGAAATTCGTGAACTCCGACTGGCGCTCCAGCATGGCTCTCAGGATCCTGGGGGTCACTGTGCGGAGGCACACAAAGGCACGTCTGCTTGCATCCCACAAGCCCCTGCGTCTTCCGGAAGCACAGATGGGTCTCTGTCCCCAGGAGGTGGGCTCCCGTGCTGTAGACACTGGCCCTTGCATGACGAGGACGCAGCCCACCGTGACCAGGACGCTCCCCTGGGGCACTTCTGCCGTGGAGTCCCGAAAACGCTGGACTGGGGGCCCCTCTCAGCACCCGTTCCCCAACTGGGGCCGCAGAGGCTGTGACGTCAGACTGCTGCACCTCGCCCTCACTCACACCCACTCTGTGACTCGGGGGGACTATAGGCAGGGAGACGCTGCAACTTACCATTTTTAATAAATAAAACCTTAAATGTCTTACTTCCACCCCTGTGCCTCCCACCTTTCACCCCGCACGCCAGACGTGTGTCGCTGGAACTTAGACTCAAAGCTTTAAAAAAACCACTGCTCTGAACCACACTCCTCCCTGGCTACCCAAAGCGTAGGCCATTTTTTTAAGCTAGTGACTTAACCCAAATCTAAATCACGTCTCCCTTGCCGCCAAACGAGACGCACTGTCCTGCTTGGCGCTCCTTTCCGCTTTCCTGGGCGCCCTCTCTCCCAGGGGGATAGACACAAATGCCACCCAGGGCCCCCTGAAGCCATGTGCGAGTCTCCCATGGGACAGGGGAAGTAGAAAAGTGCGGTGAAAACATCTTAAACACAAGCAAATTAATTTTTTGTAAACAACAAAACTTTCTAAAGCAAAACTTTCTTAGAAGGAAAAATGCCTTGCCTCCTCCTCTCCTCCTATAATTTTACAGGCTCTAGGAGATGAGGCTATTAAAAGCTTCCCAAAGAAACCTCTAGCTCACTTATACAAGGACCCTAACTCCCCCCAAAACTCCAAAGTTGCCCACAAACTCACAGATACAGAGAACAGACTGGCAGCTGCCAGAGCTGGGGCCGGGAGTAGGTGGGCGGAGGGGACGCAATGCACAGCGTGGTGACTACAGTTAATACTGTCTTGTCTATTTGACAGCTGCCGAAAGAGTAGATCTTAAAAGTTTTCATCACAAGAAAAGAATTTTTGTACTTCTGTATGGTGATGGATGGTAACTAGACTTACTGTAGAGACCACTTCCCAGTACCTATAGATATCGAATCATGTGTTGCATGCCTGAAACACATATAACATGTCAGCTACATTTCACTTTTTTAAAAACTAGAAGAAACCTCTGGCTACTGGCAGAGTCATGACCCCTGGCCCCGGGGCAGGTGCTCCCACCGCTTCCACTTTTACAGGGTCCTGGGGCCAGAACAGAGACAGGGCACCCCCCCCAACCCGGGGAGACTCGTTGGGACCGAGGACATCTGGCAATGGGACCAGGAACCCATTCGTTAGGGTGAGAAAGAGTCTCTGGTGTGAGTTGGTGTTCAAAGAAATCAGCCCTCTGGCGTAGTACACTGACACCTCCCTACTGGGAACAATGGTCCGAACCAAGGAATGTGAGAGCGGGCTTCCCCCCCCCCCCCCCACCGCCCCCCCCCCCGCCCCCAGGCGGTCACGCCCAGAAAACACGCCGGCAGCTGGTGCTGTGGACACACTGTTATCTCATATATGCATTTCTGTCTGGCTACCTAAGAAGCCTTTCTGTCTGGTGAGAAACCCACCTCCTGGGGCTGGCCAATTCTTTTGTCTTTAAAAAAAAATTTTTTTTTTATATCAAGGTAACATTGGCTAATACCATTGTAAGTTTCAGGTGTACAACACTGTAACTCACTCTGTATCCACCATTGCGTGCTCCCCACCACAAGTCTAGTTTCCATCTGTCACCATACAACTGTCCCCTGTACCCATTCCCCACCCCCACCCCTCTGGTGAACAGCATTCTGTCACCTGTACCTATGAGTTGGCCTTTGTTTTGTTCTGTGCATTTGTTTCTTTTATATTCCATGAGCAAAATCATACGATTTTGTCTTTTCCCATCGGACTTATTTCACCTAGTGTAACACCCTCACGAGATTCGTCCGTGCTGCTGCAAACGGCAACATTTCGCCTCGTCTATGGCTGAGTAGTAGTCCACGGTAGCCAGAGCACGTCTCCTTTATCCATCACCTGCAGGTGGGCGCTGAGGTGGTTTCTACACCGTGGCTACTGGGAAGATGCCGAGAGCACACGGGTGATGTGCAGGCTAACCAACCCAGGCTCACGCCTCCTCTCTGGCCTGCGCCGCGGAGGCCGGAGTCCTCTGCTCCGCCCTCCCAGGACCAGGTACTGGCCAGTGAGCGAGGGAGCAGCGAGCCCCCACAGCCACAGCCCGAAGCCCACTGGAGCCATTGAAAGTGGCCGGCCCTGAACCGTTCACCCTGCCGTGCCCTTCCCACAGAGACCCCGCTAAAGGCCCTGGGCCTCTGCCTTCTGCCTCCTGACCCTGTGTGCCAGGCCCCTCCCCGTCCTGACCTCTAGGATCTGGGGGTATAAAGAACTTTCTTTTTTCTAGAGCCTCTCCTCTGCCTCCTCTTGTGGCCGCACATGACTGGCCATCTCATAAAAGATGACAAAACACAGCTGACACTGCTTAGGCCCCCTGGTCAACCTCAAGTCACAGCCAAGTGCAGAGCACAGACACCCCCCCTTCCGTCTGCCCCAAGGCCCAGGGGAGGCCTGCCACTCGCCGTCTGGGATCCCACGGGGCGGGCGGAGGGCTCGCCAGCGTCCTCGCACCCACACACCCTCTGCGTGGCTGGGGGCCAGACGCCTCCACGCAAGGGGCAGGGCACCTCATACCCAGCAGGGCCGTGTTGTCCAGCAGCATCCTGCCTTTGTCCGCAGACTCCTCGGCATAGACGTCCCCGACCAGCAGCAGCTTGATGGCCTCCTGCTTCACGCCATCAAAGAAGTTGGACTGGATGGTGCGAGACACGGACCGGGCCCCGTCCTTCAGCTTCCCCACCTGCCGGGAGCCGGCCGCAGGCTGTGAGCGGGGTCCCCGCCGGCCCCCCTACCTCTCCCGCCCCCACGCCCTCGGCGGCCCCTACCTTGGCCTTCCCCTCCAGGGCCCGGCTGCCCGTGAACATCTTGCTCAGGCTGTGCCCATTCAGAGACCACATGGCTTTGAAGGACTCCACGAAGCGGTCAGCAATGGGCTTCGAATTCAGCCCCAGGCTCTCAAGCTGCAGCTGAAGGACCTGGGTGAGAAATAAGGGACAGTTGTTGCTGACTTCTTACCTGGAGGCTCCCCACAGCTGCCTCCTCACATCGCCACGTGGGCTCCTTATTCGGCAGATGGTGAGCACCGTGCACCCCCCAGAGAAGGAGGAACTCCTGCAGCAGAGAAGGGGCCCCCTTTGTCATCCCCCCCAGCCCTCCTCTGACCCGCTTTCTCCCTGTCCCCAACCACTGGAGGGCTGGGCTGCAAGCGGGGAGCCATGGAGATCCCCAGACACACAGACAGACTGGGATCCCCGCCCTGAGGCCTTGAACCAGGCTCCTCCCTCCTACCGCCACCGCGACACCGCGTCTGCCCTACGGTTCCTCCACAACAGGCCTCCTAGAACCCCCGGTCCCAGGGTGCACTTGAGCCACCGTGTCTGACGTGCATGAAAAGTGTGCCTATCATGGGTCAGCGCAGGCCAGCCCCCAGGGAAGCCTCTCCCTGGGTGCCTGGAGCACCCCCGTCCCCCTCCCCTCAGTGAGACAGCGAGCCCGGTGACGCCCTCATCTGGCCCCGCTGAAGGTGTGGGTGTGACAAAGTGGCCCGAGGGCCGCGGTGGGGACAGACCTCAAGCGCGATGAAGCTCTGAACTGTGTTGGTTCGGTCCAGGCAGTCGAGACAGTTCATCCGCAAGGTGCCTTTCTGAAAACTTAGGGAGACGGCAAGAAATACATGGTGACATGTCACATTTGGAGGAGCATCAGTGGTAGCATGTTTGACAGCAGACCCCCCACCAAAGACACGTGCCCCTCCCATTGCCCTAGTGGCTCATCGGGACCCCGTTTTCGTCCTGACAGGCCCCAGCACTGCTGGGGTGGCAGGCGGGCCCCAGGGCACAGGCTTAGTGGCTGCACGCCAGGGGCCTTCTAAACACCGTCCATTCTCGCGACTCCGCGGAGCCATGTTCTCGAAAGCTGCAGCGAACCCCTGGGGACCAGACTGTGCGCACAGGAGCAGCTGCTGGACCAACACTCCTCGGGGAAATACTGGGCCAGGCGCCTGCAGCCTCTGGCCACTCGTTCTCATCTGCCGGCCAACACAGAACCTGCTGCTCCAGGACGCCGTCCTTAGTGTCCGTTGTCATTGTTGATGTGGAACTCCCAGCGACCGGCCCCCACAGCTGAACGAAGCTCCCCTCGCACCCATTTCTCCGTTAAGGCCCGTCCCATCGTCCCGTGCTGAGGGTCACGAGGCAGCACGTGGCACTCGGGGGCCATTTTAAACAGTGGAATTGCCAACAAAATCCACAAAAACGTGGAAACGTGGCACTAAGGTGGCAAAAAGGACACTTGCTTGCAGCACGAGAGCTGAGCAGGAAGGCAGAGACGGACAGGAATAGGCACAAGGGGTGACCAAGTTTCCCGCTCTGAGTGTGTCTGTGAACGGCCATGAGTGTGGATTGGGGGTCACAAATAAATTTTGGCGAGTGGGCACCACTGCAAACACGGAACCAGGGAATAAGCAGGCTCGGCCGCACGGTGATGTGATGACTCTGGGCTTCCTTTCCCTGCTGAACCCTGAGCAGGGAAGCCCGCGCCCCAGTTTGCCAGGGCAACCGGGACTGTGCCAGCTGCTCCCCATCACTCGGGGGCTTTCACCCCAGTCCGGACAAGTTATGTGGTTACTACGGCTCCACGTGGTGACCTAGGCCCTTTCATTAGTAAACTTAACATGCTTTACTATCTACTTGCAAATTCAGAAGCATGTTCTGACTGTGGGAGGGGAAAAGAGAGGCTGGCCCCCCAGAGCTCCTGGTCCCTGAGCCTGCGGCCCTGTTGCCAGGCACAGGGAGCCCCAGGCTGTCCACAGGCCCCGCGGGGAGAGGACGACGCAGGCGGAGACTCACCGTGGACTTACATTCTCGCCCTTGGTGAACACGTCAAAGTCATCCCAGTGAAGCTTTAACTGGGGCCTCAGAAGGTTCTCCAATTTCTCGAGCTTCCCGCCTTTGGCAAATTGATGGAAGTCAAAGTTTATCATAGGCGTATCACCGGCGTGGCAAGAAGCCCAGAGCAACTTCTGAAAGGGAGGAGGGAAAGAATGGCAGGGGACCAGGGAGGACAGGGACAGCAAACCTCTTGCAACTGCAATCTGACAGGCTGAACCCACCACTCACTAGAGCACACGGTTTCGCTTTACAGCCTATGGCAGACCAAGTGATTCATCAGTCTTGACTTCAAAAGGGAAGCACGGGGCAAACCCACAAACCCACAAGGCGCATCTTGCCTACAGAGGGTCCAGCTTGAGCAAAAGCCAGCCAGGGTGGGCGGGGTGCCCTGGGGGAGCCCCCAGCCCTGCTCTGACCTCACTCTCCGGCAGGGCTCCCTGAGGTGCCGGCGAGGGAAGGGCCTCTCTGTGCTCCAGGCCCCCCAGAGCCACAGGCCCCTGCAGTACAGGGCAGTGCGGCAGGCTGGGAGCTCATAATCCAGCTCACGGTTGCCTGGTAACCGGCCCCATCCAGACAAGCACAAGCCTCCAAGTGGGTGCGCTGTGACGTGGCGGAGTCTCTGGTGGTGGGGGGCAGGGGCCTCCGGATGCTCCAGGCAGAGGCTTCCCTTCCACGCAGGGAACCTCACCGCTCACCTCCCAGCCCCGAGGGCAAGGAGACCCAGCTGCCTTCCCAGAGGCCCGGTGCGGCCCTCCCGCCTCCACGGCTTCAGATGAGACTTGTGCAGAGTGTCTAACGACTTTGAAGGACCAGGAGGACTTCCGGCTGTGCGGTCCCTACGAGTCAAAGCACCCGTCCACGTGGGCCAGAATGCAAGTGGGTGCCGGGGGGGCCACCAGCAGAAGTCCTGCCATGACAATCGAGTCAGCTGAACTGAACAGCGTGCTGCTTAGTGGCATCAGGCTCTGGAGCAAGCACCCTGTCCCCCTGGGGCCTGATAACGGCAGGGTCTCAGGCGGGCGGCAGGCGCACAGACCTCAGCATTACCAAGCCGATGGGCAGAGGGAGCCAGGCTCCACCTGTCACCGGTCGGCCTCCTACCTGCCCAGGAGCCGCCCTGCCTGACTGGGGCTATGAGACCACTGCCGTGCCCTGCCCCTCTCAGGGCAGAAGAGCTCGTCGGCACAGGAGGCACCTGCTCCAGCTGACAGGTGCTGAGGACACCCCTTCCCCACACCTCAAGGCACATGGGAAAGACACTCTTGGGTTCTTTTTTTCTTGCTCTCCCCACCCCCCTTCTTCTTATTCCTTAAAATAAGCTGCCCATGTTGCTGCCAAGATGGGTGGAGGGGAGATATTTCTCAATCTCGTTGCTAGTAGCAACAAACCAAACAGGAAAAGCAGGTCTGGCCAAATGCAATTGGCAACCGGAAAGTCTGCTTCGAGCCCACAGCTTTCCAAAGCAGAGTAAAGTGAGCACCCAGCAGGATTCAGCTATCAGGGGTCAGGGGCTGGAGGTCGGGGGTCATGTGACAGCGAACAACACTGCTCCTGAGGTGAGGTCTGACTTCAAACTCTTTCCATCATGGACGCCCTTGACCTTGGAACCACCAGAGAGCTTTTCTCCATTAAGTGGGGGTCTTGGGAGATTGGAAAAGGACCCGGGAGGCCCATTCGGGAACTTCTCATGCATGCAGTGGACTGAGTACATACTACATACAGGAGCTCTGGAAACAGGAGAGCCCAGGGCGGTGGCGGCAGGAGGGGGAGGGGGAGCCTTTACTCTGACCACTTCCTCCCCTGCCACGGTTTCTCCCCACAGGCCCTTGGCTCCATGCCAGGAAGCTCCAAGGAGCCCACGGGCACAGGAAGCAGCTTAGGAGCAGCCCAAATGAGGGTGGAAGGGCTGAAGGCTCCAACTTAGCAGGGGGGGATCGTGTAAGCTCCTTGTCTAAACCCACGAGGGGCTCTGAAGGGCCACGGCAGGCACACGTGCCCTGCGGGGGCTTGTGTGAGCTTGCCGGAGGTGCGGCCGGCAGCTGAGCCAGACCAAGGAAGGAGGGGAGCACAGGCTTCTGAGCAGGTCAGGGGCGCAGGGGCGCAGTGGCGAAGCCCAGACATATGTGCGCATGCGCACGCGCTGGTGTGTCCATCCAGTGGGAGGCTCTGCAGGAAACGCAGCTGGAGGCACAGGACGACCTGTTGTGGCTTGGAGCAAATTCTCCCAGCCCTCAGGTCAGGAGCCCAAACCACCTGATGCTGGTGCTCTGGTGCGGAAAGGCCCCCGCAGACATGGTGAGCTCTGCAGCATCATTTCCAGCCCGCCCCCCCTTGCCCCTCTATCCACCCCCCTCGCCCCCTGGGGTTATTTACCTTGAAGGCCCTGTTGAGCACCTCCTCGCCGCCTCTGCTCCCCAGCAAGTTTACCACCACTTGCTTCCCATACTGCTCCTTCAGAAGTACCATGTGCCTGCAACAGAGCAGGGCAGCACCCTGACCCCCGTCCCCAGGACACGGACGGCCCCGCCTTCCAGGGGAGAGGAGGTGGACAGGGCCTGCTGGGTACTCAGTTCAGGCCTGAGCCTCCCCATGAAAGGCCGGGGCCAAGAATAAAACCAGCACATCAGAGGAAGGGCTTTCTACAACGCACCCCATCACACCTAGGACAGCTGACCCGGCCTCTCATGAACAGAGCGTGAGACGCCATGTGCACGTCTGTGAAAGGAATCTGCCTCACTTGGCTACCGTCTGTCCTGCAAACTAGAACACCCGGTAGGAGACCAAGTTCCCCTCAGGGTCCGATTTTTATCTAAGGGCTGCATTTCATAATGTTTAACCCAAACAAGGCGGCACATATCAAAATTTCAGTTTTTAGGAAAATTATTTTTATATCAGAGACCATTCTAAAAATACATATGTTGAAATATTAGGGAGAGACTATACTATTTATCTCATCACTGGCTTTTGAAAAATAAGTTTATAATTTTAATGGTAGAAATGTTTACATGCGGTATTTTCAAAAGCATCGGAAAAAGGTGTAATGTAAAAAGCAGAGAGAAAACTAATTTAGTAGGGCCATTTTTATACCTAAATATAGAAAAAAGACCAGAAGACAACACACCATGATGTTGAGAGGTAGGATTTTACGTCATTTAAAAATTTTCTTCTTTAAACCTTTCATTATTTTCCAAACTTTTACAATGATGTTTATTTTATAAACAATTAAAAAAACTTAATCATCACAAAAGAACACTGTTTAAAAAAATCCTCACAGAGGACATTTTTTTCATTGCTCTTAGAGAGAGAAGAAGGAAGAGAGAGAAATATCAACGTGAGACAGAAACATTGATTGATTGCCTCCTCTATCTGCCCTAATCAAGAATCAAACCCACAACCTTTAGGTTATAGGATGACGTTCCAACCAACTGAGCCACACCAGCCAGGGCACAAAGGAACCATTTTTAGCCCCATTAGAGGAAAAAACAGTCTCTTACTACCTTTGAGGGGTGGCACTGGGTAAAAGAACATGGTTCTGAAGCGGGCAGTGCGGCCCTCTCGCTGACGAGCTGAGGGCTCCTGCCTGTGTGGGTGTGCTTCCCCAGACCAACGCTCCGGGCAGCCCTGCCCGCCCCGCAAGTCCCTCCCGAGGGAAACGCAGAGATGGGTGAGGTCGGGGGACTCAGGGGCTCCGGCAGGCTGTGCTCTGCCCCTGAGCTGTGCATGGGCAGCCGTGGGTGAGGCTGTGAAAGAAACGGAACCTTCGCGGCCTGGACCTAATGGGCTCTTTCGGGTCTGCCTGCCCGCCCAGACCTGAGGCCTCTCTGACATGGCCTGGACAGCAGGCTCTGCCCTGGTGGGCCGTCTGCGCTGCCCAGCCCTGAGGGAGCACCCTTGATCTGGGGGTGAAATGTGAGGAAGCCCACGGCGGCCACACAGCCAAGGCGTAACCACACCACAATGCACCTTATCAGAAATAAGGCTGACGTCCGATGTCCAGCCGGCAGATGCCTGCACGTGCATCTCAGGGGGTTCCAAATTCCAAGGCTCAGAGGAGTGCCATGACTCATTATTCATGTCACCAGCCCCACATAGCCCTGACCACATGGGCTGGCTCATCTGACCGCCCCTCCCCCTCCCGCGCCACCCCCACCCCCACCCCGCCACGAGCCAGTTTCTTCATCTGCACCATAAGGCTAATTAAGCCTCTTCCCGTGAAGAAAGGGTCCGGGGGCTAAAAGGCAACACGTCTGGTGCTGTCACAGGGGAGTTGGTTCTCCTTTCGATTTAAGAATAAGATAATACACACTTATTGATAAACGGAAAGACTCATTTCACAGGCTCTAAGGGGCAGAGCCCCGGAGCCCACCCCGAGGGCCTCGGGGGCCCTGTGTGCTTAGGGTCTTTCCCGTTCTCCCCATCTGCTACCATCGCATGGAGCACCTCGGGAAACGGGGGGATTTTTCAGGACACTGAGGACTCAGAGCTCCCTTTGGCGCATCCTTCTCCAACTCGGCACAACGGAGGGACCAACAGGTAAACCCATGCAAAGGGAGGGAGGGCGCATGGAGCGGCTTCCCTGTCCCGGGAGGTGACACGGGGGGCTGCCCAGGGAGAGGCTAACACTGACATCGAAACTGTACGATGCTGCAGTCACAGCCCATGGCCTGCCTGAAACAGCCCTTCCTCCAGACACGGCAGACAGATGGCGGGATGACGGTGAGTGACCCAAGGGACTGGTGCAGTGCTGGCCGCGAGTCCTGTGTGTGTGTTAAACCCACCCACGGGAAGGTGTTTGGTGTGAGGGAGGGCGGAGGGATTAACTCTGGATCAAACACACCAAAGAACTGAGGGACTCGTGAGGGCCCTGTGAAGCCCCAGAGATCTGGAGGCTCCCCCCAGGGAGGACACGGCTCTGCTCCCCGCGGCCCACAGCGCCCCGTCTCGGTCTGTTGGAGAAACCTGTGACCTCGCTCCCACTCACTCCCGTCCACACGGCTCTGCAAGGACAGCGGCCCGACAGCGGCTGTCAGGTACCCGGGTGGCTCCTCCAGCCGGGCGCGGGCGTGGGCGCCGGGCCAGTCCAGCTCCCCAGGGTAGGGCGCCTAAGAAGGGAGACTTACTGGGAGCCCGAATCTGAAGCCGTTGCGCCCTGCAAAAGGCCTTGCGGTTTCAGGGAGGTGTTCGGTGATTCGCAGAAGAGACTGAGTTTGCCCTTAGATTTAGGGAAGAAGTGAGCGTGGAAAAGGAGAGGGTGTACATGCTCACCCACGTGCGCACACAGGTGATTTAAAACTAAGTCTATGGAATGTTCTTAATTAAAAAAGAAAAAAAAGGTGGTCATTAAGACATGAAGGTTTTTGAAACAAGCCCAGCATACCCCTTTTGCTTCTGGCCAACTTGGGAAGAATTTCATTTTAGGTTGTATGTTTACTATTTCCTATGAATATTTAATGTAAGTTGATGTCAACTAAAAGAAGCCCATATGCACCGTGCATAGGATGCATTAACAGTGTTCAGGGAGTAAAGGCAATGGCATAGTCCTAACAGGTCACGTGTTTCTTCCCGGGAAAAGCCGCTGTCTGAGCCCTGGGCCACTGGGGGCCGCGGCAGGGCTGGCGTTGCCCGTTTATGCTCAGGGACGGCCGCAAACAGGCCTCGAGTCCAGGCGGAGCTGCCGGTACAGGGATTCAAATACAAAGTGACTTTTTGAAATGTTATGACAGTCACTAAAATAACCTTTAAACTTAGAATTTAGATTAAAAAAGATGTTTTAGGAAGCTATTAACTATTCAAGTTCAAATTCCTAATAATTCAGGTTAGCAATGCCCTTAAGCAAGCTGCAAAATGCTTAGTGTGTTGTGATCCAATTAGTGTTCTGAAACAAACTATGTGTAAGCCAGTTTTTTTCTAGAATGATTCATGAAGAACATAGTAAAATCTCTAGCAGTGGGAATTGGAAGTTAGGGTACTTTTACTTCTCACTTTATACCTTTTAATGTGGTGACTTAAAACCTGTGAATATGTTACTTTAAAAAAAAAAATAGCTCCAAATATCCTATTATTTAGATGACCCCTTATTAATCAGGGTGAATGGATAAAGCTTCTTTGCAGAATGGACTGAGAAGGCAAGTGTTTCTGTGCATGGAAGAACCTTCAGAGAACTTGGAAGCAGGTAAAAACCTCATTTTGGAAACTCCCTTCTGCGAAGGACCAAGTAAAGGGCAGATTTAGATCCAGTGTGCGGGGCCCTCCCCTGACTGCCGTCCACTCTGCTATGGTCTGATGGAGGAAGACCCCGAAGGGGACAGGCTTAGGATGGGGTCAGGCGACCTTACCTGTCGAAAGCAGGGGCGTTGGCTTCCAGGCCTCTGTTGAGTCTCAGATGATGGGAGCCGACCTAAAACACAGAGAGAGAGAGAACACTGATGCTTCCTGCCGCTCTGTGAACCCCAGGAAGTGGCAGCTCCCCGCACCCCGTGCTGCCAGCCAAGCCTCCAGCCGGCCGTCCCCAGCCCCCTCGGGGGCCCCTCCCAGCGCAGGGCGGCCAGGCCGTGCCCGGCGGTCCCGCGGCCTGAGTCGGGCTCTGTGGCGGCCCGGTCCACACTGCAGCACAGGCCCCGCTGCTGGATCCTCCCACAGACAGAAGGGAAACTCCAGGGTAAGACCAGAGGCCCATGTCAGACCCACACATCCTTCCGTGGTCGGAGGCACAGCCAAGCCAACAGGAGAGACACCACGGCCCCAGCATCCTCCACGACAACCGGCCCTCGACTGCCCCTAAAACTTGAGTTACTAACGACTAGCAAACTAATGCGCCTCATGATTCAGAACTAGCTATTAACCACTGGAGGTTTAAAAAACAAGCTTAACACTACATACCGTTATTGGAGTCAGCCTGGATGGGCTCTCTCTGAACAAGCCTGGGACAATTTGAACCTTGAACTACTTAAGGACAGTAATGGACTGTAACCTGAAGAATAAAGTGGGAGCCCATGCATGAATCTATACCAACGAGAGCCGGCTGGCTGGGTTCCCGCGTGGGCAGCTAGGCGGGCGGGTGGATGGATGAGGGGAGGGCAGGTGGATGGAGCAGAAGCCGGGGGGGCGGGGCTCTTCCTCAGAGTAGAATACCACCCAACAAGTGCGGAGGGAGAGGCGGAAAATCATTTCACATCCATCGCAGTAGATAATTGCTCAGCAAGAGCCACTTTATGAGCGTTGATCGTAACTGTTAGGGAAAACGAGGTGAGGAGCCGGGTACCTGCTTCATCTTGGAGTGTCCCCCACAAGTTGCTCATTAGTTGAGGAGGAATACATACTAACTGTAAGGCACTGAAGAGTATCTTGCCCAGGGGATCAAAATTAACATCACTAATGAGGGGCAGGGGACACCGTGAGGAGGACACGGTGTCAGGGATCCAGACCCTGAACCTGACTGTGATGAAACACCAGGAACACCAGGGTGCAGCACGTTCGCTTTAAAGAAAAAGGCAGCCAGTCTTCTACAAAGAGGTCGAGGTCACAAGAGACAGGAAGGCAGAGGGACTGGCTGAGACTAGAGGCCAGAGGTGTGACAACTAACTGCATTGTCATCCTGGCCCGGGGCGGGGGTGGGAAATGCCAAGGCAGGCTCTGCTGAGACAACGGACTAGTCCGGACCGTGGACCGCAGGTCAGATCGAGGAGCTGTGTCGACGTCGCACTGCCCGCACGTGTCCCTGGACTGTCGTGATGTGCGAGAAGCTCTTTGCTCTTAGGAGAAACGGCCCGACGGGACAACACGTGAAGAGACGAGGTACGCAACCTCCACTCAGAAATTCAGAACGTGATAGCACGTGTGTGTGGCGAGACGGTGACATTTAGTGACTCTGGGTGAAGGGCTCAGTAGTTCTCGCCCCTGCCTTTCCAAGTTGGCTGCAGGTCTGGAGCTATTGCAAGATAGTTTCTCGACATGTACTGTTTAGTCTTGGTTGCCGTTGAGCATTATAAAAATGGCGTCGCTGGACACATCGATAGGATCAGATGTCATTACTCTGAATATGTATCAGGCGTTACGTGACAACTCTCTGCTCCACAGGTAACATATGTATCCCCCTTCCCACCTGAGGAAAGTACCTGCTTAGAAAATCAGCTTCCCAGTGGCAGATTCAGGGCAGACTGGGCCTGGGTTTGCTCATCTGCATGACTCTATAAACAAAGCCCCAAATCCCCATCAATCCCAAGAAACCCTGGGAGTTCTGAGGAAAGCCCCACCAGAAGGCCTCCATGTTGGGGGCCGTCCACACCTGGCTGAGGAGATGGGCCAGCCCGAGGCCAGCAGGTAGGCTCGGGCCGGCGCCCCGAGGCAAGGCGGCCCCTGTCTGTTTTTCTGGATTTCCTGTGGAACTTTGGTTTGTGTTCCTCGCAGCCACCTGGAGGTCCCCGAGGGCGGGAGCCCAAGAGAAGGGGTGGTTGCTTCCCGTCTGTCTGTCAGTCATCGCCAGAAATCCCCCCAGCTTTGGGGAGACTGTAGCTGTTTTTAGGGCTGTCCCCATGGCCACACAGTAAGGGGAGGATAGAAAAGGAGGGCTCAGAAGCCTGGGTTTCAGTCGTGACATTCTGATCACTGGACGTGTCTATCTGTCCCTCCCTGAGGCACAGCCCACCGCTGCCCCTTCTAAACAGGTAGACATTTCAGCCACGGGTGATAGGACTCGGCGGTGTCCTGGCTCTGGGATCAAAATTCCTCCCATTATAAGAATGAGCTGCATCCCATTACAAAGTGCGTAACTAGCCCCGGTCGGAAGGGGTGCGCACACCCCGACACCCCTGTCTACACGGCACTGGGCACTCCTACAGAAAGGTCGGGAAGAGAAGGGGACCTGCATTCCCTGTCCTGGACAACTCCCCCCACAACAGGAATGCCAAGGAAAGACCTAGAAACACACTTCCAGGTTTTTAACAAGTCTGCTAACAAGCGCAAATTAATCTGATGGAAACTGTGCCCCAACGTACTGAGAACAAGCAGCGTAACAGGGCAAGATGCCACAAGAGCGGGACTTGGGGACTGTGGGGACCTGCCAGGACGCAGCAGCCTGCAGCGGGAGGGGCACAGCCCACAAGCCCAGAGCGCGTCCTGTCGGATGCCCCTGGCTCCCCCCTCATCATCGACTTCGCTACCCATCCATGTGGACTGGGCTGGGCAGGATGGTCATGGGCATGTTTTACCCCCGACAGTTGTTAGCCCAAGGGCGCTGCTGACCACAAAGCCACCTGGAAACACAGACAAAGGCACTGCCCAGTGAGCGACAAGGCAGTCCAGTCTCTGACCTCGGCCATTCTCAAAGCGTGGGCCCTGGACCCGCACCATGAGCAGACCCCTGAGTGCTTGCTTGAAATACAAGTTCCCCGGCCTCACCTCAGAGGACTGAACAAAAATCTCTGACTTAACACGTCTTCTGGGTGACCCCTGCGTGCGTCTGTGTGCGTGCACACATGCGCTCTCAGGTCTGAGAGCCACTGGTTTCCCCTCGTCTTCCTCCTCCATCCCCATTGGCTCAGGCAGCAGGTGCCTGTGAGGGGACACGGTGATTGGAATTGAGCAGTGGGTGGCAGGGGGGCGTGGCTGCATCGCTCCTGCAGGGTCACAGGGCACATGACCAGGCCCAGCCTGCTTCCAGCTGCTGCCTCTGGCGCCGTGGCCTCAGGCTGCGCCCGCCCACCTCCTTTAACACACAGGGCCTTGGACATTCCTCCAGCACCCCTTTAGCCCGGCTGCCTTAGACTTCCCCCCGCTCTGCCTCCTCCTCTGTCCACTCTGACCCGCCCTTGGTCCTCTCCGGTGTCACCTGGTTCCAAGGCCACCGTGTGTCGGAAGCCTTGAGAAGGAGCTTCGGTCGGGGACTGGAATGAAGCCACCACTGGCACCAGCACACTGGGACTGACTGATGCTTTAGGCCGTCTGCCCTCCTCCTTCACCCACCCTCCTCCCCGTGGCCGGGTGGACACTGGACAGTCACTCTGGTCTGAGGTCATCGCTTTGCTCCTACAGACCACAGACCTAGGGGCGTCGGCCACAAGAGTAACCAAAGTCCCAAAGACTCCTGGCTGCGAGTCGGACCAGAGTCTGCACCGGCACTTGCACAGGGCGCCCCATGACCACAAAGGGCACTTGTGCGTCTCTCCGGCACCCACTGCCCCCCGCCAGGTAAGGCTGCCAGCATCTCACCTGGATTGCTGAGACTGTCCCACCTCGTGTCGCCTGCGTCCGTCTTCTCTCTCCAGCCTAGAATCTACTGTGCGTGTGTCTAATCGTGTTGCCCCTCCCTGGAAACCGTTCAGCGCCGCGGTCCAGGGTGTGCGGCAGCCAACTCCTACCAGCTCGCAAGCCCATTGTGTGCACGTCTCTTCCCAGCTTCACGTTCAGGAACAAGAACTGGTGGCTTGAAATTGGCCACGATGGGAGTATTTACACCACAGTAAAGAGCAAATGCTGCAAACTGAACTTCTTCCCCCGGCCCTCAGTAAACTGGTTTATCAGCATACCCCTGTGTAGTCCCCAAGCCTTCCCGAGCATGGCAGCCATCTAGGGGTTTCCACAAAGCACGCACGCCTGGCTCTCACGCCAGCACTGCAATGTAATCGGGGTGGCACGCAACCTGGGCATCAGGAGCTTTCAAGGTGCCCAGGTGACTTGAATGTGCAGCAAAGTTTGAGCACTGCTCCTCTGGCGGCTCCTGGGGGGAAATGCCACCTCCCCAGCAGAACGTCCAAGCCCATCTTGATCTGGCCCTTGCCTGCCTTTCCCATCCCATCCCGCCTCCCGCCAGGCCCCGTGCCTGGCACTGCAGGCAGCGAGGCCAGACTGCTGCTCTCGCGTGCCGGGAGCTCAGCCGCTGCAGCACCTGCACCGCGGTTCCCTCGGCGAGGCCCGCCTTCCTTGCCTGGTCATTCTGCGTCCCCCTCCCCTCCCCCCGTCAGCTCCGACGCCCTCCCCTTGGCTTGGGTGAGTGGCCCGCCCCAGAGCGGCCTCTCTCACAGGCTCTGTTCACACAACACTGTCGTGCCCTGTCCTCTCCGCCCCAGACACTGTACCCGATGCCAAGGACCATGCCCCATATGTCCCCAGATGCTCAATGAGTGTCTCTGGGACGGATAAACGGCTTACTCTGGGTGTCTATGAGGGCCAGGGGATGGAACAGCCTAGAAGACCAGTCCTCGTGCTGAGAGAGGCAGGAGGACACCGTCACTACACCTCTCAGTGTCCTCAGGGAGATGCAGGGGAAAACGCTCATTCTGCTTTCCAGACGGAGACAGTCACGCTTCTCCTGACGCGACCTGTGCTTTTGTCTCCTCGATGTTATAACTTATGTTATGAATATTAACAGCTACCATTTTCAGTGCTTTCTAGATTCTAGATGCTGTGTGAAATTCTAATCCACATTATATTTAATCTCCTCCGTAATGCAGAGGATGGTATTAACCCCATTTTACAGATCAGTAAACTGAGACTTTGAGAAGAAAAGAACTTCTCCCCTGTTTTTGAAATAAGAACTTCTTGCTTGAAATGAAAACACTGTTTAAGAACTTTTCAAAAGTATATGGCTCCTGAGCAGGAGAGTCAGAACTTGAACTAGAACGCTGGTGTGTACCACGGCCTGTGCTCTCAGTCACAGGAAAAGCGACCTTTTCCCTGCCACGGCTGCCTTACGCTCGGGAGCTTCGTGCAGCACGCGAGACGCGGCGACACCCGCGGCCGGGATGAGCGTGCAACTTTATCTTGGCTTCAGTTCGTGTTCACTGTAAGAACTGCCCCCTACCCCAGCCTCTTCATTTTTAAATTTTTTATCCTCACCAAAGACCGTCCCCCTACCCACACACTGCTTTTTAAAGAGAGAGAGGAAGGGATACAGAGAAACACTGATGGGAGAGGATCTAATGGTTGCCTCCTATATGTGCCGTGACCGGGAATCGAACCCACCACCGTTTGGCTATGGGACAATACTCCAATCTACTGAGCCACACCGGCCAGGGCTCTCCTTTGGTTTTGAAACCATTGTTCTACAAGCCACCTGACATATTGGGACAAAGAAAGGTACAGCCACACAAACAAGCACACATAGCACCAGGCATCTGAGGCTTAGGAAACAGCGTCTGACGGGGCAGGGGAGGGTGCAGGTGAACGGGGTAGCCCCTCTGCCCTGCCTCTACCTCCACCTCCGCCTCCAGCTGGCTCGGCCGCAGGAAGCTTCAGGCCCAGACCCAGCTCCCCTTTCCAAGGCAGGTGCTGGGTAGGCACATTACACGGGAAGAAGGTTCTTCCATGACAAGGGGGCAACGTCTTCAGCAGACTAATAGTATGTAAAATACATCCCCTGCAACTAACTGTACAAGGAGAGCAATTAGCTTTGAGAGTAAAATTTCAATGCCGCTATTTAGAAACTGTGCAGCCTATTGACACAGCAAGGATGAAATTCTTCAAGGCGCATGGTTGCTAGAAATGGCCTCGGAGTCTAGGAGTTTCTAACGAAGGCCCCGTTCCTGTGAACGCTCGCAAACAAGGCCTCATCCCACTGTCCTCTCCGCCCCCCTCCCTCCCCCGCCTGGCCCCGCTTCCCGCAAGGCTCAGGTTCCCTGGGGCAGCCCTAAGAGGGGGCGGTGTTGCAACTTAAAAGGCAAGCTTTTCACCCAACAATATTTTCATGTTTAATATAACCTAAATATTAAGGGATGGGAGAAGTTCAAAATGTAGACAACCGGAATCAATCTTCAGGCTCGCTGTTTATTCAGCTCAGGGAGCACGACCGTGCGCCGCCCCCGGGAGCAGCCCTGTGGAGGCGGCCTAATCTCCCCTTGATGGCGGGTGGTATTTAGAGGGTACACGTGGGTATTAGACTCAAAGGTGAGCAAATCCTTCATAAGATTAATGAACACAAAGACTTTTTTTTTTTTTTTTTTTAAAGTCCTCATGGGAGGACATTTTTTCCATTGTTTTCAGAGAGAGGAAGGGGGAGAGAGAAACATCAACCCGAGAGAGAAGCACTGAATGCTTGCCTTCCTGTACACACCCGAACCAGGGGGTCAGACACCTGGATTGGGCACTGAACCTGCAACTTAGGCATGTGCGCTGCCTGGGAATCGAACCCACGACCTTCCAGTTACGGGATGATGCTCCAACCAACCGAGCCACACCGGCCAGGGCACAAAGCCGTTTGAAATGTGTTTTGAAGGAACCACGGAGGCTCTGGGGAAGCAGCAGCGTCAGGATCTGAAAGCTGCTACAGCGGCCGAACAGCAGGCCCCCCAGGTTCACTGCTGTGCCAGGTGGCCAGACTGTTGCACCACGGGGTCGGACGGCGTCAAGGGCGGGTCAAGCTGGACGCCAGCGTTAAAGACGGAATGACACACGAGTCCTGCGTTGTTTTCAGGAAAGAGAGGCCAGAACATGGAGAGTCTGAGAAGTAGGACTGAGGGTGGCCCAAGGAGCTAGGTGGCCCGAAGAACCAGGCACGCTCTGCAGCTGCGCAACCTGGGCACGGGCGGGGCGCACTGCAAGAGGGCACTCGCGCACTCTCACGGCCACCCCAAGTCACGGCCTCGCGCTCGGCCCCAGGGCCTGGGAGCGGGGCCCCGACGTGGATGGAATGGTGCATCCTTCCCAAATGCTAAGACTCTGCCATGACCATCCCCGCAATTTGTGATGTCCTAACGTGGTCCCCTTCTTTCCTTTTGCACTCTACTCATTGGGTCTTTGCTTTGTTATGCTTCTAAATACAAAGCTCTAGAGGTTTCAGAAGGAAAACCCCAAATCGAAAGAAAATCGAGTTGCAAACACTCTTGTGGACTGTCCAGAGGCGGCCAATCTATGGCGACAGAAAGTAGGTGAGCAGCTGCCTAGGCCTTGGGGAGAGCCGGGAGGCAATGGGGAGCCGCTGCCCGTGGGGGCAGGACTTCAGTGGAGACGAGTGCTCTGAAATTAATTACAGTGATGACTACACAACTCGGTAAACGCATGGAATCCATGGACGTGCGTGCTTTCCGGGAGGGAGGTTTATGTATGTAAATTACATCTCAATGAAGCTCTTAAAACAAACACACACTTCTGGGATGCGCTCCAGAGGAATTTTCCGTGATATGATCATTCTCAGGAGTGCTTCTCTCTGCCACCACTTAATGCCACCAGCTGTCCTCAGACAGCTCAGTCATTCCTTTCTAATGGAGAGACTGAATGTTAATGAGGCTTCCCCCCCCACCCCGCCCCGCCCACAGAACTCAGAGCCCAAATGAAACACACATCCGCCCATCTTGCTCTAAGAGCTGACGTGCTTCATTACCATGTCTGTCAACGGCAGCGCGGTGACAGACACGTGGACAAAGCACCTATAGTGACATGGGGTCAAGTCAAGGGCTGGGCAAGAACCAGCTGTGTCAAACACCCCCAAGAACTTGGGAGATGACTCTGAGCTCCTTCAGTCATCAGCTGAGGACCCGAACACCGTCACACTGAGCCCGGAGTAAGAAGAGCCAAAGGGACAGAGGCAGGGCAGAGAGGTCCGGGCACATCACGTCCCCTCAGGCCAGGGAGGGAGATCCGGGATTGGTGCTGAGGAGCCTCAGGTCCACTTGGCTGTGACCCCCCACCCCCAGGAACTCCCTGAATGAGGCAGTGCTGTTCCGTTGACAACAACAAATGTGTTCTTGGAACAGAGCACTGCCCCCACACACCAGCGCCTCCCAGGGGGCCGGACGCCAAATGCCTCTGGCACTGGCCGGAGCTGTTTTGGACGGCAAGGGGTATTTTTAGACATCATGGGAAGGCTCTGTGCAATTCTCATGTGGCCACACAAGAGGCACCTCCAAGTGCGGCCCAGCGGCCCAGCCCTACAAAGCCCTCTAGGACAGTCACACTGTCAAAAACACATCGTTAACCATGCTCTCAATTCACTGAATTTGGGGTCCAACTTAAGGTCATTCTATTCAATTATACTACATGGTTCGCTATCCGCAAAGAGCTTCCCGCTGTGGCTGCATCGGCGGTGAGCTCAGAGTCAGACGATTACACACAATGTATGTATTTTTGCATACAAACACCACACACACATGCGCAGGCTCGCCTGTGCACTCTGACAGCTCAGCTCAATCCAACTGGGCTAACAGAAAAGACCAGAAACTGGGCCGGGAAAATTAAAAGAAACCACCACCGGCGTACAGAAGATACGGCAGGGTGAGCAATCACACAGGCACAGGTCCTTTTTTTATTACCTACCTGTAGCCCTGGCTGCTCCCAAAACAGCGGAACGGAGCCTCTGATCTGGACAAAAGACGACACACCATCATCCATGTAAATCGTCTGCAAGGAAACCGAAAGGAAAGTGTTCTTCAGTGAAACCCAATGTCCCGGGCCGGTAACGGGATCCGGCCGCCTGAGACCCGACACCGGAACGAAGGGCAGACAGCGGACTCCAGGCCCCGGGCTCGCTCCCTAGTGGGGCCGCGCGGCTCCCTGGTCCCGAGGCCGGCCGCACACTCGCGGGCATGCTGGCTGCAACCGGCCTCGGAGCCTGGAGCAGGCAGGGAACCCCCACAAGCTTACGGAGACCCCCGAAGAGCCCAACACCCTCTTTAGGAACAGAAGCCGGTGTGCTCTGGGATTTCACTAAGGTCTTCCTCGGGGCCCTGTTTGCAGGAGCAGGGGCAGCCGGAAAACGCTGAAGGGATGAAACGGACAAGCCACAGCCAAAGGCACCGTTGCGGGCACTGGCCAGACCTGCACTTGACAATGCCAGTCAAGACTCAGCTTGAACTTGCAGTAGGTCCTGGCCCTGGGCCACTATGTCCTTTACACCTGCCACTCACTGAGTCAACACACACAGTGCGGCTGCCACAGCTTCCAGTGTGGCAGCCCCTGGGCAGACCCAGGTGATACTTACACGTTAAAGACCAAGTCTCCCTCCCACCCCCAGTTATTCCAGGGTGAGCCGACTGCTCGTCTGCCTGTAGGCTCCCCCGATGCGGTCATGCGAGGGGCTTTGAAAGGGACAGGAAGTACAGGCCCGAGCAGCACGCGGAGGCGGCTGTGGCCGTTCTCGGATGCACTGCCCTTTATCTGAGTAACCCTACCCTGGCCTGGCAGGGCCGGCCCGGGCGGTGCCGCGGGTCCTTTCCATTTCTTACCAGCCTGTTCCCTTACAGGGTAGCTTTCCATGGGCTAGATCACACTCAGATCGCACATGCATTAGTAATTCTGCAGCGGAGGACTTGAACATTAGACCAGCAGGCTGCCGGGACTGCAGGAATTACACGGGCCCAGGGAGGCTCGACTGTGGGGCTGACATTCTATCCTTGCTCCTCACAAAGGGGGAGAGTTAAGAACGTGCTGTCTCTGTCTAGACACTGACGACCGGCAAAATGCTGGTCACCCCCCATCATTCTACTGACAGTGAAGTCCCAGGCTGCTCAGAGTGCTGCAGGCAGCCCTGGCTGGCGTGGCTCAGGGGATGGAGTGCTGGCCTGCAAACCAAAAGGTCGCTGGTTCGATTCCCAGTCAGGGCACATGCCTGGGCTGCGGGCCAGCTCCCCAACAGGGGGAACTCGAGAGGCAACCACACATTCATGTTTCTCTCCCGCTTTCCTCCCTCCCTTCCCCTCTGTCTAAAAATAAACAAATAAAATCTTTAAAAATAAATAAAATCTTAAAAAAAAAACAAAAACCTGCTGCAGGCAGAGCAGGCCACCAAGCCACCACATGAGGGACAGCAGGCCACCCGCTGCCTGGCTCGGGCTGCTGAGAAGGCGACCAACTCAGCCGGCATTTCCCTAGGAAGATGACTCTGCACAGTGCCCAGGACCTGATTTTACCTAGGGGACAAGTGCCCTTTACTTTGAGGAACCCACGGCGACTACGCCACTGCCCACGTCAGCCCTCGCACCTCCTGAGCGGGAGCTTGCGTGGAACCCGTGTGGGAGAACACCGACAGCTGCCCAGCGGCCCCCATCCCACCGCTGGGGTGAGGAGAGCGGCTGCCTCCAGGCCTCCCCATTTATCCCTCCCACACGAGAGTATCTTCATTCTGTGTCCCATCCTCTTAGTGGGATGTCACCTTCTTGGCCCAAGGGTGACAGTTCAAAGCTGACCCGCGAATACCCGTGATGGATTCGCGGCGCTTCCCTTCTGGGTGGGAGAGCGTGGGTTCAACCGCCGAGGGCTGGACGCCCCACAGCGGAGATTTCAACGGAGGGCCCCTGGGGGAGGGGGCGCGAGGGCCATTGAAAGCAGGTGGGCCCTGGGGTGACGCCAGCGTGGGTCCCCTCCCGTTTGCCCGGCACGATGACCCTGCGAACGTTCCTTAACCACTCTCAGCCTCGGTGTCCCTCTGTCACCTGGTCAGAGAGGGAAGAGTAAATGAGGGACTGCAAGCACTTCAGGCCAGGCGAGTGCCACCCACGAGCGTGGATGCAGCCCCGCGGAGGACACAGGGAGGCCGGGCAAGGGCCACAGCACTGGGGGACAGGGTTTGGGCCGTGGATAGAAGGGGGTAGGTAGGACGGGGCAGAGAGGAGGTTGGAGGGAGACACAGGGCAGCCGTGGTCAGGAAGAAGGGCATCCACCGCGGCTGTGCGGTGGCCAGACCGGGCCCGGGACCCCCTGGGCCTGGCACCTCTGAGCGGCCCTTGCACAGAGTGCGGGGAGCAGAGGCCCAGTGGAGGTAAAGAGAAAGAGACGGCGCGGGAAGACTCACGGCTGGGGATGTGCCCTGGTGTCCAGAAGGCTTTTTGCTGAGTTTCTGTTTCTGGTTGAGGTGCTAACAATTCCTTCCAAGTCTGCATTCCTGGGGGGACCCGCAGAGCCATCTGAACTTCCCCGAATTCACCGGGGCCCTTATCTTCAGTGGCCCGAGAGTCACCCGGGGTGTCCCTCCGGTAGGCAGCCGGAGGGGCCTCGACGGGCTGCCTCTCGCTGCAGGTGAGTCACGGCCCCGGAGCAGGCCCAGGTCGGACTCAAGGCTTCCTCGGGAAAGGCTGCGAGGCCGCGCACACGTGCGGGCACAAGCACACACAGCACAAATGCTCACACACGTGTGCACGTGCACACACAACCCCCCCGCCCCCCCAATGTGTCACGGTCACAGAGTTTGCCTCAGGGGAAGAATGCTGTTCATCTCCCTCGGGGACAAGGCCCAGAGGAGGAGAAGGGGGCAGTGTCCAAAGCCATCGTCTGTCTGCTGCCCCCTGAGCCCCGAGCTCAGGAGAGGCCCAGCTCCACCAGGAGCCGCCTGCCCTTTGTCTAGTCCTGCTGCGTGTGAGGATGCCGGCACGGCAATCCGTCAGCCGCCCTCCCGCGTCTGACCCAGGACTTCCGCTCCCCAACAGCCGAGGGCTGGACCTGAGGGGTCTCATTTCCCAAGCAGGGGCCCCAGCCAGCGGTCACCTGCGGGCAACCACCAGGAGGCCCCACTGCTGCAGCCGAGGCTCCTTCCCACTCGCTCGGGGCTCAGCACCCGTTTTGTCCCAGACGCTGCCTGCCCCCCTCGGGCGAGGTGACGGAGTTTCAAAGGCTGCATTTCTTATAAACGCCATCTCACGCAGCAGGCAGGAGTGTGCTGCCTGCAGGCATCCACCCCTCTGCCCACGAGTCCCCTTGGCCTGAGGCCTCAGCGTGCCACGCCCAGTCTGCTCTCACGCGAGCAAAGCCATCGAGGGGGGCGCACTTGGCCCGTGACACCACCACCCTCCCCAGGGACTCACAATCAGGCTGCGCAAACCAAGGGGAGCAGGACCTGCCGGGGCCCGTGGCCCCATCAGATGACCACAGCCTGAGGGGTGAACCGGGACAGGGCTCAGGCAGGTTTCTCTCCTGCTCCTGGACCTGCGAGCTGAGCCTGCTCCCAGGCTCCCATCCCTGGCTTTTCCTTAGAAGTGCCTTCAGGGCAGGTGGCCAGGAGGGAGGCCGTGTAGCTGCCCCTTGGCAGGAACACTGTTAAATATGTATTCCACTTAGAGACTTTGGTGTATAAAAAAGGAAAACCTCTTAGATCAACCTAAGGGCCTCTACTGCTACAAAGTGCCTAACAAAACCACGCCAGGATTCCAGACAGGGCGCAAGTGGCGCTCTTGTACAGCGAGAGGACAACGCGCCCACGGCAGATGCTCCTGGGGTGGGCTTCGGGGAGGGGCGACCCCCCCCAGGAGGCTGCGCTAGGTCCATGGGTACCACCCCCACCCACTGCCAGGACGCCGTCCACAGGAAGCGCACGCCTTCCCGCTCGCTCGGTGCTGACGCTGGCTTCCTCTCCCTCCCTTGCTCTTCCCCACCTGGCAGGGCCGCCTCCAGCGCACGGACCCCTCCCGCCTCCGAGCGCTCTGCTGTCTTCCCCTTCCCTCCAGGCAGGGGTCTCCCAGTGGGCTCTGGCTAAAGGAGGCACCCCGGAGGACCGGGACGTAGCGGGGACGTGGCCGCCGCCGCCGCCGCCAGGGCCAGCTCTGTCCGGTTCCCGCTGTGTCCCCGCAGGTGGGCTCACAGACTCCGCCGAGAGGTCCCAGGTTTGCTCCCATGTTGCTAAACAGGACACCCCTGCAATCAGCTCTGGGAACTGGAGCCTCCCCTCGCCTGGGGGCCGCCTTCTTCCCGCACGTGCCCTGGTGGTCACACTGTCTGGGGGCTCCCTGATGGCATGCGTCACCCTGGGCCCCTACTTCCCGCAGTGGAGAGTGAGCACGCGGTCCCTCCGCAGTAGGCTGAGATGTACACCCTGCCTCCGCAAAAACTTTCCTTTGGGTGCAAGGCTATGACCGTCCTGCCTCACTACATGGCCGGTGAAAAGGAGATTATTGGGGTCAACTTCACTTGAATGGCTCACGTCATAAGACAGTAGGTAAGGCCGCCATTTTAAAAGACCGGCGGAAATCCAGCAGTCCAGGGCCCAGCCAAGAGGAGGACCCAACACGGCCCGGCCGGCGGGCTGGGTGGAGACCGGCTGAGCTGGGGGGCCTCGCTCCTGGGCCGCCGACCCGACCTTGAGAATTTGGTTCTCTCCCCTGGCTTCGGGGCTCTGGTAACCTGATTTGCAGATTTCGCACCTTTGGCCCCAGTTCCCAGCACAGCACTTGGCCCGTGGCAGGTGATAAATAATAAAAATTTGTTGAATGAATTGCATGATTCAACGGCTCGTGATCCAGGGTGGAAAGTGGTGATGAAGGAGGAGATATGAGAACAAAAGGAGGTCATTTTCATCGTGAGGACAGGAGGGGGGTGGGGGTGGGGGTGGGGGAAGCAGCCTCCATTTAGGGGCACTGTTTTCTCCGTCATTTTAAACCAGATATTTATTTACCTGCCTCGTCTATATCCAGGGGTGCAGACACTGCGAGAAGTCACAGGCAAGGGACTGGCCCTGGGGCACATTGTCAGGCTCCCGCTCGAAGGTGCTCCTGCTCAGCAGCTAAGTCCAGAGGACCGTCCTCACCTTTGAGCATCCGGAAGCCGGACCAGGCGGCAGCGGGCACGCAGGAGCTGGGGCTCCCATCTGTGCCGCATTAAATCACCCCCTAGGAAACCCCTCTCACAGTTCCTGGCGGCGGGGGTGGGGGCGACGGGGGGCGGGGGGAGGCAAAGCCACAGCCGCTAAGTAAACACAGGTGTCTGCAGCTCCACGCCCACGGCCTGGCTGCACCTGCGCTGCCACGGGGCTGTGGCCCCTTCTAATCTGTCCCACCTGTTAGGTCACACGGGCGGCATTACCCTCCATGTTGCTAGTTAGAGAGAGAAACAACAGTTGTGAGACAGCACCTCTAGGAATGAGGACAGAGTTTAGAAAACCAATCAATGAGGAATTAAGCAGATGGTTCTAGTCCACGGGGGCCGAAAGCAACGGCTGCTGCACACGCACACTTCCCAACGCCCAGGCGCTGAGCCTGCTTCTAGGGCGAAGCTTCAGCTGATTTAGAACGAAAAAGGGCTGTTTCTTCCTGTCTTCAGATTTCTAAATTCTATTGGTTCATCTGTCATCAGCTGCTCTGTGTGTGCCTGCCACCTGGCACTGTCCTGGCAAAATCCTGCTTCCTTTCCCTGAAAATACCCCAGGGAAGCAGTATTTTCCCCGCGTGCAAACCAGAGGCCACATTTGCGGGCAGGGCCCCCAAAACTCTCTCTGTTCTCCACTTGGAGTGAGAAGCCTTGCTCATCAGAAACTGCTGCAAATACCCCCGGCAGAAAAACGTCTGCATGGGCGGCATCCCCTCCGACCCGCGGGGCCAGGACCGGCCTGGGCACTGACCTGCTCCGTCTCCACGAAGTTGGACACGTGGCCCTCGTCGTTCACGCCGCGGGTGTGGAAGCGAGCGCCGGCGCGTTCGCAGCTGATGCGAGAGATGAGGCAGGCCTTGGCCTGCTTGTGCGAGGCGTACACCGTGCGGATGGCCACCACCCCGCAGATGACCTTCAGCAGCCAGTCACAGCAGCTCACCTGGTGCTGCCTCAGGGGCACGTGGAGCAGCTGGTTCCTGCAACACGGAGCGACCCAGGTCACCTTGCAGCCTCCAGGGGACCCTGCCTCAGAGCCAGCAGGGAGCAGGCCCGCGGGCGGCGTTCCCTCTCAGCACCCAGCAGGCTCGCCCCGGCTGCCCGTGAGCGCAGAGGCCCCAGGCAGGGCCCCCGAGGCAGGCGCAGCGGGAAGGGGCCGGGCGTCCTCCCCTGAAGCCACTCCACGTTTTTAGGGGGAAATCCCATCAGTAAAAATGTAATCATGTTTTGTGATTAAATAACAATGATAGAAATAATCATATTAAATATATGCATGCTTATTTAAATTATCTCCGTATCCCATGAGGTGAGTTACAAAACAATCCCAAACAAATAAAAGGGGATGAACTGGAAATAAAACTTAAAATTCTAGCCTGTCTGTGTCCGGTGGAGGGTCCTGGACCCCTGGAGAACCCTGATGCAGTGATGGGCGTAAGAGCCCACGTTTGTCAAGGGCCCTGAGCACCACCCCAAGCACTTCGGGATGGAGTAATTCTCTTCATCCTTGAAACGATGCTGTGTGACAGGTATTGCCACTCACCCCATTTTACAGATAAGGAAACTGAGGCACAGGGAAGTAAGTGCCCGCTCGCAGGCCCCGGGGCCAGGAGGCTGCAGCACGGAGCTGGGGGCCGTGTCCCCGGATGAAGACCCTGCCTGACCAGCTGCACCCCTGGGTCCCCGCCCCGCGCTCCTCCCCCTCACGCCCGTTGAGCAGAACGAGGAGATGGCAGGGTTTGGCGGGGGTGTCTGGACCCCCGGACCCCTGGGGTCCTGAGCAGTGCCAATCAGAGGCCCTCCCAGGGGGGCAGAACTGTCATGTGAGACCCCCTCTGGCGAGCGGTAAGCAACTCTATTGGGTTGGCCAAAAGCCTGGTACACTTTTTCTGCACGACGGCTCTAGTAGGGCGTAGTTGTCTTTAAGTTTATTCAAAACAATTCAGTGTATTGAATTGTGACGGCTGTCATAGCAGCGCACATTTAAAAAAACTTATCAAAATTAGTGAATTTTTGTGTGCAGCCATTTCAATACTGAAGATGAAAGAAGACACATGACATTTTCGGCATATTATGCTTTATTTTTTCAAGAAAGGTAAAAATGCAACTGAAACACACACAAAAAATTGTACACTGCATGGAGAAGGTGCTGTGACTGACTGAACGTGTGAAAGCGGTATGCGAAGTTTCTTGTACTATTGACATTTTGGCCAAATTCTTCACTGTGGGGCTGTCTTATCCATTGGAAGATGTTTAGCAGCACCCCTGGCCTCTACGCACTAGAAGCCAACAGCAGGAGATGGCCAACGTACTCAAAATATCCAAATCAATAAAGTTATTGGAAAAAATGAAAAACGTGTCTTTTATTTTATGGAAAAAAATGTAATGGATTTTTGGCCAAGCCAGTAGGTCACAAGGCCCTGCCCTTGAGCCCTCCCTGAAGACGGCACCACTTTCCTGCTTTGGGAGGAGCGAGCAGTGAGCCCTGACGTCTCAGGTGGTTTCTCCAAGCAGCAGCGACCCCAGCTCTTAGGCCAGCCCCCTTGATGTGAGCACGGCCACTTCCACCTGGGCTGAGACCCCCTCGGGGAGCGGCCACGTGGCCCCCCACGCCCTGAGCTCCTATAACCACGGTGCGTGCCTGCCTGAAAAACGAGGATCGTGAGCACTGCTTTACAAAGACATAGCCCCCTCCCCTGCATCCCTCCCTGAAGTTCCGATAATAAATGAGCCTTAGTCACAAGTGCATGAAATCCGCACATGGCATGAAGACAAAGGCTCCAAGCATCCCGGAGTCTTCTAGCCACACAGCAATGGCCACGACCGGTCACCAGGGGTCAGGAGAAGGAGACTTTTGCCAAACGGGTGACTCTGAGTAAGGCCTGCCTGCAGTCACACTGGCCTGCGCCTGGGTGGGCGGGCGGCTCGGATCCCCGCGGGAGGAGCGAGAAAGGAAGGAGCTCTCGGCCTGTGCCCCAGGCCTGCTCGGCTGGGAAGCAGCTCAGAGAGGGAGTTGATCGCCAGCCAGGAAAAGGGACTTCCCCCCACCGTAAACCCGCCCTCCTCCACCAGCCACACTCAGTGTTGACCCCGTGTGACTCCGGACACGAGCGCACAGACATGTCATCCCAAAAGGCATTCTAGGGAATCAGGCCCGCGACCACGTAGCCAGGGCCGACTCGATTCTGGTCAGTTCCTGGAGCCCAAACACCACACCCTGGGATACAGCCGAGCAGCCGGGCACCCTTTGGAGCCTCCGTTGCCTCCTCTCAGCTCAAGACGGAGCCCAGTGTCTATTAGGCTCTCCCCTTCCCAAGCCCCTGGGCCTCGATTTGGCAAAGCTCTGCTTCGTCCTCCTGTTTCTGCGTGCCGTGAATCTCCAGCCACCGCGCTGGCAGGAGGTGGCCTGAGAAGCAAAGCTACATGGGTTGGGGCATCCAGAGACCCCCAACAGCCCTCTGGCCCTACAACGTTCCCAAGAAATGTCACAGCCTCGGAGACATCTCGCCTACGCTCCCCAGGCAGTCCTGGCCAAAAACGGCTCCATGGCCTTGGCACGAAGCCGCTCCGTCCATGAGCTTGGCTGCAGGGTGCCCCGGGTGAGCCCAGAAACACCGCCCCCGCCACGGGCCGGTTACCCTGGGTCGGTCTCTGGGTGCCACCATCTCTACCTTACTAGAAAAGCCGAGTCTCAGGCCCCGGTCCCGACCTGCTGAGTCAGAGCTGCGTCAGCGGGAGAGCCACATGTGTTTAAGGTTTGAGCATGATACTGCCTAGAGCTCAAAACCAGTGAACCTGAGACGGCCCGGGGGCAGCGATGGGAGGATTGGTGAAGCCCCCCTTTCTCCAAACGGAAGTCAGGAATTCCCGAAGGGGAGGACCCGAATCACCAAGGAAAGAACATTCATCAGGTGACCTTTGACTTCCTCTGCTGGGGCGAAGGGAGCGGGGCACAAACAAAGGATGTAAACGAGCCTCCCACCCTGTCTCAGGGCTGGGGCTTGGGGGTAGCCCCGAAGGCCGACGCCGGAATTCTAAGGAGGCGTAACGGAACAACTTCCACAGCGGAGTTTTCACCACATTGGCTTCTGACTCACTTTTCACATGTCTCCTGGTACATCCGAGGGGAACAGCGCCCCAGAAAACCCAGGCCAAGCACCAGGACACATCCCGGCTGTTCCCCCAGCACCAGAAAGGATCACAGGTGTCTACGCATCCACGGGGCCATCCACACCTAGCTACGTCCAGGAGCACCGGGGTGACGCCAGCCAGCAGAAACCCAACCAGCTCTCCTGGGCTTCAGGCCACATCTTATCATGTGACCACATCACCGTGGCAGGATGACTCAGTCTCCCCACTGCTGCGGCTGGTGTGGGATCTGGAGCCAGAATGCCCAGGTTCGAATTCCCTCACTTTGTCAAGCCTCAGTCTCCTGATCTGTAAAATGGGGATGACAGGCCCCGCCTCACAGGCCCCCCATGAGGATAACGAGTATATTCCCCAAGGAGAACTTGGAAAGCGAGCTCGGCACCTGCCCAGTGTGACCAGCATGGCCGAGAAGACAGCGGAGAGCGGGGCGCAGGCCCAGGCGCCGCGGAGGCGCCCGGCGGACGCTGGCTTTTATGCTCTTTCCCTACGGCCCAGACCTTCTTTCCCGAATCTACCACTTTGAACACCTCCCTGATCCCAGGGCTGGGGACTGTGGGGTCTGTCTTCCTCTTGCTGTGGGGACAGCCAGCGGGCGCCGATCCCAGAGGTGACCTGGGACCCTCAGAGGGATGCAAAGCGAAGGCCAAGGACACAGGTGCCCACTGGAGCCTGCCCGCCCCGCGACCGGGGGGCGGGAGATGCGGGGGCCGGGCCTCACCAAAAGAAGGCGTTCCCCCACTCATAGCTGTCATCGCCCTGCTTCTGCGCCCGGACGGTGAGGTCGAAGCGCGACCCGTCGTTGGGCCACGAGAAGTAGAAGACGCCCGAGTTGAGGATCTTCCTGAGGGCCGCGAGCCGGTCCTCCTCCTTGGCCTCTTCCTGCAGAGGGTAGAAGTCGGTGGCGGTGATTTTGTAGATCTCAGCCTCTGGGATTCTGCCCACAGATGTGCAGCCTGTCACCAAAACCAGGAAGCTCAGGGATGCGTCACCTGCAGGGGGAAGCAGACAGGAGGACTCAGGACCGCCGTGGGCAGCTCGCAGTGAGGGTCAAGGTCTCGCTGCCGCTACGCAGCTTCCTGTTCACGACTCTCACACATCCCTGGCACCCCCAATTCCTCGACTCAGTGTCCCAGGGATGCCCCTGCCATGCGGGCCCATGGTCTCAGGGATCCCATGTGGGCCCGCAGCCCGAGCTGTGATTCTGGGCGTGGCCCTGACCTGCAGCAGTGCCACCTGGGAGCCTGTTAGCAGTGCCAGTTCTGGGGGCCCACCTGCACCTGCGGGCCGGGCCTGAAGCCTGCGCTCCAGAATGCCTTGGGGCTGCCGCTGCCGGTCGGAGGCCGCCGGGTGCTGGCCCGGAGTCTTCCCAGCCCGTGCCCCTCCCCGCCGCCTGTCACCCAAAGACACTCAAAGCTCCCCCCGCCTCCCCCAGTGAGTCCCCAGCCACCGCCCGGCACGGGGCCTCCAGTGGACTCCCACCCTCCAGCTCTGCCCCTGGAGTGGCCTCCCAGACGCCCCTGATGGTGGGCCTCCCTCCCCCACCTGAACCTCCCAGGGCTCCCGCTTCCCCAGGAACTGGGGCAGGGGCTCCTCGCCTGCCGCCCCCACATAGGTGCACCAGGGCCCCTCAGCCGTGCCGGGCTGGGCTCTGCGGCTCCCCAAACGTGCCGGGTGCCCTCCCACCAGGGGCCTTCGCCCAGGATGCTGCCTCTGCCCCGCGTGCCCCCCACCCCCACCGCCATCTGCCCAGTAAGGCCTTCCACAGCCCTGCCTGACTCCATCACCTGCCCCGCCGGCACCCCCAGAACAGCACGAGCCGCCCCACCGTGGGTCAGGGCCACCCTGCCTGCTGCCCCCCGCCCCCCAGAGAACACCTCTCCACCCTCTGGGCGCGTCTCAGCAGCACCTCCTCCAAGGAGCCATCCCTGCTCTCCCAAGTCACGGTGAGTTGCCCCCTTCCACGTGCTGGCTGCACCCCCGTCAGCCCTCACCGCAGGCCGAGGTCACACTGCCCCCACCACACCGTGTCCCCAGTGGACTGGGGCTCCCGAGGGCAGCACTGCACGTGGCAAGTGCTGGGTGGACTCTCCCAAGCAAGCTGCTGCCCCCCTGAAAGGTGACGCCCCGCCTCCGGGGCCCCCCACCACACCGCCCCAGCTGTTTTCTGTTCTGCACCCCCCACCGCCCAGCAGGCCGCGGGCACACGAGCTGCTGTCAGTCAGGCGCACGGCAAGGCTCAGGCGGCGACGGGGCAGCGCCCCGGCCCAGAGGCAACGTGGGTGGCTGAGTAGCCTTCGGGGTGCGTGGGTCTGGCCCACAGTTCCCACCCTGTTCCCAGCGAAGTCCACTCCAGATGGCCAGTGGTCATCGCTGGAGCAATGGCAGTCAATGTTCTTAGACCTCTGAACACTGACAAAAGCCCCCCAAGACCGCCAGTTCCTCCGCTGAAGTCTCCCCCCACCCCCTCCGCACACAGAACAGGAAGAAGCGCAGTGCTGGGGTCAGCCCACGTCTCGTTTTTATTAGTATTTTATTATTGATCAATTAGTCACCACGGGTACCATGCCTCCTGCTGGGGGGTGTCCGACAGGGCGGCCCTCAGGGCCCACATCCCGCCTCGCAGGCCCGTGGTCAGGAGACCATTCTAAACCCCTAGGAGTGACGCAGCCATGCAGGTGACCGGGGTCAGGGGCTGAGTTTCCTGAGTAGAGCAGGTGGCGTTTCTGGAAGGCAGAGGGGCTTATGTGGTGCTGACGTCCTCAGATGACAGCCTCACGCGTGCCACTAATGCCGTAGCCTGTGCTAGGATCCAGGCCCGGGCGACCTGCCTGTCTCCCCCGGCGGGCACAGCGCGGGGAAAGCAGAGCTTGGGGATGGTCCCCTTGGAGCCCCGAGGACAGCCCGCACTCCCCGCTTCCAGCCCGAGGTCAGACTCTGAAGGGCGTGGGTTCAAGGAGAGGCAAGGAAAACTTTATTCAAATCTGTGCCTCTGCGTCCTCCCAGCCTTTGGTGGGGAACTGAGTCCCCGGCCAGAGCCCCAGGCTGCCGTGAAGACGGTGGCCACGTCCCGGGCAGGGTGGGGCCGGGGAGGCTTGGGATGGACAGGCCAGCAGGCCTTCAGATGAACAACAAAGGACAGTGCCGCCCCCGCTGAGAACCGGGCTGAGTCCTGGGACAAGGCTCGGGAGAGGGGGCGGGTGGGTAAGAGCCACTGTTTTGGAGCAAGGTGTTTCGATGACAGGTGGCTCTCAGAGCCGCGCTCAGGGTGTGCAGCACCGGCCCCCAGGTTCCTCCCCGCCACCCGGGGCACGGGCCGCTTTTGCCCCATTTTGCACAAAGGAAGGCACAGGCACAGAGGGGTCCTGAACAGACAGAAGGGTCCTGGTTTGAGCCTAGTGTCAGGCCGTGGGGGTCAGTGCCCCCGGGCCCACCTGTCCGGGTGGTGGTGGCCGCGTCCCCCAGAAGTGTCCCTGGGGGAGAGGCAGGAGGCCAGTGGGACCCGCCTGCCCGGCCGTGGGGCCCCTCGGATGCTCACCTGGAGCACAGGTCCAGGCTTTGCCCTTACACCAGCCGGGCAGGCACGGTTTTCTCACCGGCAGGACGTAAACGGGCCTGGGGGGGGGGCTGCGTCCAGGGGCTTGAAACCGGCCAGGACCTCGCAGGGAGGGACAGACAAGCTCGCACTCGGCCTGGCCACGAAGACGGGGCTCGGAGGCCCGCCCCCTGCAATGCCTGTGGCAGGTGCCCAGCCTCTCTGGGCCTCGGGGTGGGGGACCCAGGTGGTCTCCATGTCCTTCCAGCTCAAATATCCTGGTCCTGGGGCTCTGGCCAGAGCACCACCACGCCAGGGCAGCGGGTGCTGGCCAGGGCGAGCTGAGTCGGCGGGAAGGGCAAGCAATGGGCCCTATGAGACACACCAGACACAAACACACAGGTACCCTCACACAGGCACACACAGGCACATGTGTGCACACCCCTCCAGAGGGCAGGACGCACACAGTGCAGGCAGCTCTGCCTGCAGCCAGAACGGGCAGGGTGGGAGCGGACTGGGCCACCCCTCTATCGGGTTTCACGGGCAGAGTTTCAGTTTGGGAAGATGAAAAAAGTCCTAAAGATGGACCATTGCCCAGCGGTGTGAATGTCCTTAATGCCACTGAACGGCACAAGGAACAGTGGTTAGAATACTAAACTTTAGCTCCTGTATATTTTACAACAATAAAAGAAAAAACCAACTCTAAAACCTCAGCATCAGCTTAGGAATTCTTTCCCTTGAGAGGGCTGCCTTCAAAACACACCTCCAAATCGGAGCGGCCCGACGCCCCCGCACCCTGCAGCGGCCCGGTCCTTGTCTCATCCAGCGGTGGCATCTGCCACGCGGCAGGGGAGGGCTGGCACTGGGTCAGGGCAGACACAATGCCGTTTATTCAGGGACAATGCTGGGTGTGTTCTCCCAGGGCCCTGCTTCCCCGCGCTGGCATTTCTCTGTGTTTGCTCAGCTCTGAGATCTCTCCCCAGCCAGGTTTCTACCCAGCTGAACCCTGGGCTGCTCGTGGGACACTCTCCAACTTAAGTCTGTAAACAAAGGACTCGGGAACTCTCAGTTGTCCCACTGGCAGGGAGGAGCTTCGGCCAGGGGCTCCCTGAGCCCCCTTCCCCCGCCCTGTACTGCCAGGCTCAGAATTCCACTGCCTCTGGAGCCACGAGGCACAGTCTCCTGCAGCTCTCTCGCCTCCCATTCCTAGACCCTGAGAGTGGGGCATGCCACCGCGCTGTGCTGGCTGCTCCCGCAGCCAGCTGTGCACACTCGTCCCCATTCCGACGGGTAGATGGCAATCATCCAGGGTCGGCAGAGTCACACCATGGAAATTCCCCAGAGAGCTGGACGTCAAATATTTGCCTGCACACCACTGGGTATAGATAGTAAAGTGTTCCAAGACTGACGAAGGCCATTGAGTCTTGTGGCTTGCCGGAGAACGCTGCATACCTGGGATCTCAAGAGGCTCCTGCGTCCCTCCGCAGGCGGCCTTCCGAAGCCGCAGCCCAGAGAGGCGAACTCGCGGCCTTGCGTAGCCATCAGGAGGCAGGGCCCCGCAGGGACACGCCTGCACCCTCCGCCCACGCCCAGTTCTCCCAGAGGGGCCCCTCAGCGGGCGGGCCCTGCCCCCTCAGCCCCGCTCTGTCACGGAAACCTCTCAGGAGCATTATAAGGCAGGGATGAGGCCGTTTTCCAGGGTTTACAGGTGGGCCAACAGCCCTCGGGAGGGCAAACGGACGCAGCAGGCCAGCCTCCGGGGCAGCCAGGCGGGCACCCGGGAGGGCTGCTGGGGACAGGGGACAGGGCAGCCAAGCCGCTCCCCAGGCTGTGCACTGCACAGGCCCAGAGACACCAGGCCTCACAGCCCTCGGTTTACTCAACCATCGAGGCTGGGGAACAGGGAGCGGGGGCGGGGGGGCCCTTGGGCGCTCAGGTTAGAAGCAAGTCAAAGCCCTGATATCACGGGGAAGTTCTCGTCACAGCTGCACTCACACGCTCCCTGCTCTGTGCTGGGCAGTCACTGGGCCCAGCTCGCCTGCTGACTGTTGGGGAGCCACCCCTCCCTGCTGGCGTTTCAGGGAGGCAGGGGGACTGCGAGCTGTCCAGGAAAACCTAGGAGCCTGAGGTAAAGCTTTTACGCAATCTTTGTGCCTGTTTCTTCATTTCTAACATAAAAGGCTATTTTCCCGGGTGGATGGAAACCGAACAGCTTGCCGCAAGGGAGAGGCCGAGGGAAAGTCTCTTGCTCTGTATGGAGACCCTCAGCCTAAAAAGTCAAAAGGGAGGCCACTCACCGCCCCCCCCGCCCCTGGGGAGGGCTCTCCTGGTGGCAACCAGATGTTGAATTATGCTCCGTGCTTCCCAATACCCTCAGCAAGTGAGGGAAAAACACAGCAAAACAAAACAAAGCAACCTGATCGAGTTTTGGGTCAGGGGCTTGCAGTGGGAGAAGAAAATCAAGCCAAAGACAAATGCTCCTCACGTAACCGAAGCGGGTTTGAACAAGTCAGTGCCAAGTAAGGCCCCATCCCTCCCTCCTTCATACCCCAGGTCACTTTCAGAAAAGTGTTGAAAAAGCCAAGTGATCCTGACATTCCAAAGTCAACCTCACCACCCCCTGCACACCCAGACCCTCTCAGGGCCCCCTGGATGGAAGAGGCTCGGGTGGGCGGGCCTGGGGTATTCAGAGGACATCACAAATGGGGCCGGTCCCCTGAGGCCCTCCCCCACCTGTCTCCCTGGCCACCTGAGGCTGTGTTCCCGCCGTCCTCAGCGCAGGGACAGGCAGGCGGCCCACTGCGGGACGGGAGGAGGGCCTTGACGAGGCAGTTCCAGGAGGCGGTCACCTCTCTCCACACCCCTGCCCCCGGATGCTGCCCCTGGGCTGGGCACCCTGCAGACACCGTAGCTCACGGTGACAATATTCCTCTGGGGGTCGTCCCCCTTCCTGGTTAGGACGCATTGCCTATAGCTGACCTCAGATGACAGCCCAGGAAAAAAAAACGCTTCCCCCCGGGATGGGGCGGCACCGCTTGGAAGCTCAGCCTCTCTGCCCTTTGGGGACAGAGTGGCCTGGGCTCAGGAAGCAGCCTCTGGGGCCAGAAGGCACAACCCCTGAGTCACAGCTTAAGAACTGCCTGACCTCGAGCCAGTTGTGGCACTGCCCTGAATCCGTGACCCCTTCTGATGTAAAATGGGTCATTTAATTAAGGGCAGGGAAAGTGCTGCCAATTATTCACAGCCGGCGAGCTTCACGGTGTCTCCGTGTCTCCCAGCTGCCGGGGGGCTGAGCTAATCTGTTCCGGCACTGACAGCTCCCAGCCCGGGGTGAGCTCCGCGTGGGGCTGCCTGCCACCGTCACGCCATCCCCAGTGATGCCGGGGCCACAGAATTTGTGACCTGGGCAAGATCGCCGCGGGGTGGGGGAGGCATCCGGCAGCACACCCCGGGCGGGCAGCACATTTTCAGGGAAACGGCACGCGATTGGAGCAGCCAGATCTGGGTCTGACACCTGGCTGGGCTGCTTTAGGCCGGTTACCTCACCCCTCTGAGCCTGTTTCCTTTCCTGTAAAACGGGGAGGAAGGCGCACTATCACACTGCTTACCTTCTGCAGGATTTGGTAAGGTGAGGTGTTTACATAGCCCCTGGCACAACACGGACATTTAACACACGCACTTTGTCATGTGGGGACTGAGTGCTTTTCCTAAGTGCTGTTTAGAAATCATCGATGTTGTCAACATAGTTCAGGAACCATCATTCCATAAAAGACCCTGAAAAGCAGTGGCCAGCACCGGCGCTGTTCTGGCAGCTTCCACCGTGCTGCAGCCCCGAGAACAGCAGCGGAGGGAGGCGTGCAGATGGCCGGGCTCAGCCCCCGGGCCGGCACGCGGTCCGCACACAGCGACCCCCAGCGGGACTGGGAATCAGGAATGCCGCCTCCCTGGCCTTGGCCCCATGCCCTCTGCTGGCACTGGGTGGGCCCCACACAAATCAGCCGGCTGAGGCAGAGGGAAGGACGTGGTGGCACCAGGGTGCCCACGGGGTCCAGGACTGCGGAGGTGACTCAGCAGCCCCTTGGGGAGGCTCCCGCCCCCGAGGACAGCCTGGCTGACTGCTGGGCCTCTCAATCTCATCCTGAACAAGGGCGCCCACTGTCCCTGTAAGCTCTCTGCCTTTTCAAGTCGGCCCCCTGTTTAGTGCTGCATTACCCTTTCCTCTAGATTCCCCTCCCCAGGGTCCTGGTGGCTTTTCTTTCCTTGCCAGCAGTGCTCAAACCTCCCCTGCCCCCCCCACCCCAAACACACACCCAGCCTGTCCAGGGGGTTTGGGCTTCAGGCATACACCCCTCCCCGAGGACAGGTCCCTTGTAAATGACAAACATCCCCTGGGCAGAACCGCACCCCCAACACTAATGCTAGAGTACTGATGGGCAACAACAAAGGTGAGCTTTCTTTGCACCCCAGGCCGGAAGCAACATGGACAGGTGAGAACCAGGCTGCACTCACCTTGACCTTGCGGGCATGGAGGAGCAGGCTCAGCAAAATAAACATTTACACGATCCTAACAGTTAAAACACAACGCCTGAATCCGGCAGCCCTTCCAAACTAACACAAGCTGGCAGGCGCTCTGCTGGCGGCTGTTCCGTGGGAGGGGATACTCACCGGATTTCAACCTGAGCTCCCCCAGGCAGCCGTAAGCGTCGGTGAGCTTCCCATACTGGCCTCTGATGACCTCCTTCTCTTCCGGGGCTGGGGGACAAGCACATCGCAGACACCGTCAGCCTGAGTCCCCCTGGGAGTTCACTCACTGCCGCCTTCCCACGGCTCCCCACCCACTCGAAAAAGAAAACGCAGAGACAATGGCCCGGCCCCGGGAACGCGTGTGGAGGTTTCATAATCAGCGAATCCCTGGGCAGCAGAGATTTCGATCTCCCCACGGGAAGCTCGCTCTCCGGAAGCGCCCACCGCTTCTGGGGGCTGGAGAGGGTGAGGCCCCCCCGCCCCGGCCCCGTGGGCGGCAGGCGCTGGGTCCCAGCTCGGAGCAGGTGCTGGGACCTGAGCCTGTCACCCTGTTACTCTGCACCACGGTCCCCATGCTCAGAAACAGGGATGAGGCATTGTTGCCCGCAGAGGCCACTCCTAAGGGCGTCCACTGGAGGCTTTATCCTGCAGCGCCCGGGCCCCCGGAACCCGCTAACCTGGGCAGAAGGCAGGGCCCCAGGTGCCCCAGCCCTGTACAGTGACCCCCAGGGCACACGGCATGGGGAGAGCGCCCCCCACGTCCACAGCTACCCTCAATGCCCAGGGCGAGTCACAGGCGGGTGTGAAGGCGAGGCGGACAGGAGGGTGGGCCGCAGGGGCAGGGAGCCCCGCCCTCTTCCGCTGGCGAGCCTACACCCCTCCTCAGGGGGTGTCCCCCAACGCACAGAACAAACTGGAAACAAGGGCGAATCCTCAAAAGGGGCCTGGCAGAGGCCGCGAGGAGACGCCCCAGGACAGCGGCCCCTTCGTTTCCATGGGACTCGCTGACTGCCAGGGCTCTCCATCTGGGTGCCGCGGAAGGCCGTCCGCCCCGCGGCCGCCCGCAGAGCTTTTGGGGGAATCTGCATCATCTCTAAAGCTGTATGCGAATGTTTCCGGACGTGTATTTTTATGGGACTAGGTCCATGGTTTTCATCAGAATCTCAGCTGAGTGACACCAGAAAGGATAAGATCCAATTTAATAAATTACAGTTCTACTCAATACTCACATGAATGTTTCTGAGTGGGTTTCTTTGGGGGGTGGGGTGGGAGCAGAGAAACCGAAAGGTAAGTATGAAGAGGACTGGGAGGCCACAGCCCCGCCTGCCCCCCGGCCCCCGAGCCTGTGGAGTGGTGGGGTGACTTCTTAAGCTCTGACCCCTGCTGTCACGAATGACCCCTGCATCCGTGGCTCAAAGCATCACACACTCGTGGTCTTCCAGAAATGGGTCTCAGGGGGTTAAACCAAGGCGTCTGCAGGACTGTGTTCCTTCTGGAAGCTCCAGGAGAGAATCCATGCCCCGGCTTTTTCCAGATTCCACGCTGGCTGCTGGCCCCGACCCTCTTCAAAGCCAGCCACTGAGGTGCTCTGGCCCGCCCCCACTCCCGTCTGGTTCTTTCTCCGGCCTCCCTCTCCCACCTTTGAAGGTCCCCTGGGAGTACACTGGGCCCACCCACACACACCCAGGATAACCTTCCCATCTCAAGGCCCTTAATTAACTTAATCACAGCGGCGAAGTCCCTTTTACCACGTAAGGTCCCATTCCCAGGAGCTGCAGCTTAGGATGTGGACAGCCCGGGGCCCATGAGCCGATATAACACGTTCCTGCGAGCCCACAGGTGTCCTGCTCCTACAGGTGATCAAGGCTGAGGGGGCAGGGCATCCTCTCCGACCCTCGCATCTGCTCCCAGCCACCGAGATGAACAACATCTTCCGCACAGAGGCAATGGCAAGCCCCCTGCTACGGGACCGGCACCACCACGCGCCCAGGGAGTCTTCCCGGAAACAGGAGCGCTCTCTGTTGGAGGACAGGTGAGTCATGAGGAAGCCCGCCTCCCAGGTGGAGGCTGACGTCCCTCCGCAGGCCACATACACGGCCTCACGTGGCGCTTCCACGTCCACAGGGGCTGCGGGCAGAGCCAGGCGACAGTGACCGGGCAGCCTCTGGGCCTCAGCTCAGCAGACACAGGAGAGTGATTCTGACACGCACACACGCACACAACATGTATGTCAACCCTCGGAGCTTTACAAAGCCTCCCGCCAGAACCCTGAAGCCTAGTGTCACCGGGTCCTCGGCGCGTTGACCGTAAAACAAGGGGATCCTTGTGCACCACACGGAACAGAAGGAAACCGCGTGGCCCAGGGTGGCGGAGGTCAGAGCCCCACTTCAGATGCGGGAACGTGGCCACAGCAGAGGCTGTGGGGACACGCTGACTGCTCGCCCGGCCGAGTCCCAGGCGACAGGTGCGCACGCCACGTCACCCTGTCACCGGCAACGTGAAACAAACACGAAAAAGAAAAGACTCTTCATCTTCCTATTTTAAAAACGAATAAGTGCCCTCCCCTCTGGACCGCCTGCCCACCCAAAGCCTGTAAATGCCGGACTCCCTCCCTGAACGTCTTCCCGCCTGACCTTCCCTGTGCCAGGTCCCAGCTGCCGGGTCCTCCGTCTTGGTGGTCGAGACCCTCTCGTGAGCCACGAACCAGGTGGCTCAAAATGGCAGATGATCATCTCACAGTCCTGGGGCTACGGTCTGAAAGCAAGGGTGCAAAGCAAGGGGGCGCAGGGCCAGGCTCCTGCCTCCCATCCGCTTCCGGGGGTGGAGGTCACCCCTGGGTTGCGCGGCGCTGCTCCCGTCTCTGCCGCCATCGCCACGTGGCCACCTCCTCCCTGTGCGTCTGTCTCCCTCCTCTTCCCATAAGGATACCTGTCCTCCTGGATTTGACACACCCAACCCCAGCATGACCTCCTCTCCACTAATTACATCTCCAATGACCCTCTTTCCAAATAAGGTCATATTCTGAGATATGGGGAGATGGGACTTCCGCGTACGATGCTGGGGACACATTTGAACCCATAACACTTAGTAACCTTTTCACCAGGTGACCTGTCCCTTTCAAAGCCCAGACTCCCCTGCAAGCTGTCTCTGCAGTAAGCTTCTTTTCTTTTTTTATAAACAATTTTTAAAAAGATTTTATTTATTTTTAGAGAGAGGAGGAAGGGAGGGAGAAAGAGAACAAGAGAAACATCACTGTGTGGTTGCCTCTTGAGCACCCCCTACTGGGGACCTGGCCTGGAACCCGGGCATGTGCCCTAGACTGGGAATCGAACCGGCGACCCTTTGGTTTGCAGGCCGGCACTCAATCCACTGAGCCCCACCAGCCAGGGGTAGCTTCTTTTCTATTCCCGATGTTTTCCTCTCCGAGGCTCCTCTGACCCACCCCTGTGACATAGGCCCCCACACCCCCCCAAGGCCTGGTCTCCCAGGCGGCCTGTCCCAAAGCCACTCCACACCCCTGCTTGCCCCAAACAGCTCTATGTCCTCATTAGGTCTGCAGGAAGGAGAAACCCATTTTGCTCTTCAAAGGAACTTCCAAATCAAACGTCTGCAAGCACTGGGCAGGTAAGGAGTGAACGGCGGTGCTGGAGGGGGCGCGGGTGACAGAGGACACACCCGCTCCAGGGGGCAGCCTGCCAGTGCCAGCCGGCGGCTCCAGGTGGGCATGCCAGCCCAGCACCAGCAGCCCTCTAGTTTTTCAAGAGAAACAGGCCGGTCCTGATTTTTCAGTGCTGACAACGGCCCGAGTTTATTTCAGGCACGCGTGGGCGGCACACACCTCGGCAGCTGCATTGGGCCCGCCCGTTTGCAGCTCCTGTCCTTCCTTACTTCCTGTCTCGGAAAGAGAACATGCCTGCCTTCCACGCTTTTGTTGCATTTCCTGTAGGTTTTTCCCTGCGAGAATGTTTTTGCTTCCCCTGTCATTGGCTATGAACGCCCAGCCTGTGAAGGGAAGGACTCTTCGCCTGCTCTCCCATCCTCTCCCCCACCCACGTCTTGCCCCTGGGATGCTGCCATTTGTCACGAGTGTACGTGTGACAGCCTGCTGGGGCTGGCCCTGTTGTAGGCACCGGGACCCAGCAGTGAGCCACAGAGACGACAGTCCAAACACACCGGTCAGCAAGGTGGGCACTGGGCCGCCAAAGAGGGGACATGTGTCGTGGATGAGTGACGACACTAGAGGCCAACCCGGTGGGTGGGACCCTGGAGCAGGGCACCGATGAGGCCCCTCATGAAGGCAGCGGAGCGGTGGGGCCCACTCAGAGCCAAGTACCGTGAGGGCTTCCTGCCAGGGCAGACAGACAAGGGCAGGAAGTGCAACAGACAGTGCTAGGAGCTGAGGAGGAGAAGCGAGCAGGGAAGTGGGGTATGAAGCGGGGTGTGCGTGTGAAATGTTATGGTTCAAGAAGCCCTCAGCACAAGGGCGACGTGAACGCAGATCAGAAGGAGGCGAGAGAAAAGGCTGAGTGGAGTTCGGGAGCATTGTTGCCCATAAGAACACGTGCAAAGGTCCTGAGGCAGAAGCTTTCCAGGACCAGAGAGAAGAGACATGTGTCTGACAGAGGAACTGGAGTGGGTACATATTATAAAAAGCTTCCTAGGTCATAAAAAGACTTGGGGTTTCACTCGGGGTGAGGGGGAGCCCTTGCAGGGTTTTGAAGGTCCCTTTGGCTGCTCTATTAGGAACAGATCCCACAGGGGTAGGAGGAAAAAGCAAGGAGACCCGTCAGGAGGCACTACGGTGACTCAGGAGAGAGGATGCTCCGTGGACCATGGCAGCGGCAGCAACGGAGCCGCCAAGAGACACTGTCACAGTCTGGAAACACACACACGCGCTTTTTTATTATGGAAATCTCCAAAGAAAAGCAGAGTAGGTGTGATAAGCCCTATGTACCCACATACCGTGTACCCGCCGGCTCCAACATCAGCGCAGGCCCCGCCTGTTTCACTCATGACTCCCCCTGCCCACCAGCCTCCCACCCCCGGGAATGGTGGGCCTCTGCACGCGGCCCTCAGAGAGTATGCATCGGCCAGCGTTACAAATACCAATGCTCAGGCCCCAGCCCGGCCCAGCGGAGCCAGACACTCTGGGCTTGAGACTCAGGAATCTGTGTTTGAATGAGACCTCTTGGTGAGAATTTCTGTCTCAGATTATTCTAAGTCAACCC